CCTGGGTAGGCCCTGGTGGGCTGAGATCTAGCTCTCACAATTAGCGGATCACTCTCATGAGAGTCTGCACTCCGCCGGATCTCACCAACCTGAAGCGCCTGAATGGACACAGGCCATTTTTAAAAGGCCAATGACCACGACCCAGAGAGAGACGAATAGGAAGGAAAGGGGGTATCAGAAGCAGGAAACTAGAAAAAAATGGAGGATCGAAGGTGTACGAGCGACAACAGCGGAATAAGACAAGAAAGAGAGAAGAGCAGGAGCTGCTGGCGTGGGGCAGAGCAATTACATAATGACGTGGGGTAGGTCCAGCCCGGTGGCGGAAGAAAGTAATGGTCACATGACTGGCCACTTTACGCGTTATTTTCTGGCTTAACGCGTCGCGGATCACACAACCTCCGACCACCTCATCGACCACCTAACCTCATCGCTGTGCATTCATTGCCACATACTTCTGCAGTGCTCTCATCTGGGCCATTTGACAAAAATCCTGAGCTACTAGAGTGTACCAGGACCTCCAGCAGCGATCATGGCATCAGATGCGGCGTCACAGATCACCGTTGGGGCTCTCGGGTAAGTCCATCCTTTCAGCAAGAAACATATGAGGCCCTCGCGGCGAAGGTAGCCCGTTCCATCGTGCACTAGCTAATATTGGACAGAGCTATCTTCGATGAAACTAAGCCTCAGGTCCGCGAGCCGATCGTTCAGTGTGTACAAGTCAAGCCTCTGCCACCGCAACCCAACCACCCAGAACGGTATCGGGCTGTCTTCAGTGACATTGCCAACTATGTCCAAACCATGCTTGCCACCCGTAAGGCTACCTAGATCTGTCTCCGAAACTGTCGCGGGGTTTTGTTAACATGCCGTTCGTTCTCTTGCAGAGGCCAACCACGTGGTGACCGATGGATCTCTGCGAAAAGGATGCTTTGTTCGTCTCAAGTCTTTCCAAGCGAATTCGGTCAAGGGTAAAAAGTGAGGGTGGTCCTGGTGATAACCAAAGTATCATTCTATTTCTCAGTTGGCTGACCGTCTGTTTACAATCAGAATCCTGATCATCTTGGACTTGGAGGTCTTGAAGGAACTCGGCGAGGCAGAGAAGATCGGAGAGCCCAAGCCGCTCGAAATCAAGGCTGAGGATGAAGAGAAGCCCCAGCCAACGACAATTTCTAGCAACGGATTCTATGGATCCAAACCTCCCAGTGCACCAGCACAGCAACCCAATCGAGCTCAACCTACGCGAGGCCCCTCTTCCTCTGCCCATGCCACCATCTACCCCATCGAGGCCATCTCTCCCTATTCCAACAAGTGGACAATCAAAGCTCGTTGCACGAGCAAGTCGAACATCAAGACTTGGCACAACAAAAATGGCGAGGGAAAATTGTTCAGTGTGAACTTGCTCGATGATAGCGGTGAAATTCGAGCTACCGGTTTCAACGATCAGTGTGACATGTTGTATGACTTGTTCCAGGAAGGTGGTGTGTACTACATCTCCAGCCCTTGCCGAGTCCAGATAGCCAAGAAGCAGTTCACGAACCTCAACAATGACTACGAACTTACGTTTGAGAGGGACACGTTGGTCGAGAAGGTAAGTGCATAATGACGCGCGGCACCAAAGCCACATGCCATGGAAAGCAAAATGCCATGGGAAAATTAGCTGACCCATATTCGTTATAGGCCGAGGAGCAGAACGATGTTCCTCAGATTCGCTTCAACTTTACCACCATTGGTGATCTGCAATCTGTGGAGAAGGATACCACCACCGATGTCATTGGAATCTTGAAAGAAGTTGGTGAGACATCTCAGATTGTGTCCAAGGGAACTGGCAAGCCTTATGATAAGCGTGAGCTGAACTTGGTTGACAACACTGGATACTCTGTCCGCTTGACTATTTGGGGTGCGAGTGCGGTCAATTTCAATGTCGCCCCAGAGTCCGTTGTCGCCTTCAAGGGGGTTAAGGTCTCCGACTTCGGTGGGCGGAGTTTAAGCTTGCTGAGCTCCGGCTCGATGGCCGTTGACCCGGATATTGGAGAAGCCCACCGACTGAAGGGCTGGTATGATGCACAGGGAAGAACGGAAGCGTTCACTTCCCACGCATCGCTCTCTGGTGCCACAAACTCTAACATGAAGTCGGATCCGTTCAAAACCATTGCACAGGTCCGTGAGGAACAGTTGGGCATGTCTGATCAAGTGGACTACTTCTCTCTCAAAGCGACCGTTGTGTTCATTCGACAGGAATCTACTTGGTGCTACCCCGCCTGTCTTTCCGAAGGTTGCAACAAGAAGGTGACCAAGGTGGACGAGGGACAGTGGCGATGTGAAATGTGTGACAAGACTCATCCACGACCCGAATATCGGTACATCATGCCGATTAGTGTGAGTGATCATACTGGCCAGCTCTGGCTCAGCTGTTTCGATGACACCGGACGATTGATCATGGGCATGTCTGCGGATAACCTCATGCAACTCCAGGAGGATGATAATGAGGCATTCCAGGCAGTCTTCCACGAGGCGAACTGCCGAACATGGAGCTTCCGGTGCCGAGCTAAGATTGATACGTTTGGAGAACAACAACGGTAAGCGGGCGCACTAATCTCAGGGGACAACCCAAGCTGACAGCTACTTAGGGTTCGATACCAGGTCTCGTCTGCCAAGGCCATCAACTATTCCGAAGAAGCTTCTCGTTTGGCAGAAATCATCAATTCTTACAGCCTGGACTAGCAAGTCCATACAATCAGCACTCTGTTAATTTGACATGAACCTTTCTGGCAGAATTCTATTCCCCAACCTAGATGTTATTCTGCCCGTGTTTGAGTGGGACTGCGTTTTATTGTCATTATGCGAACCATGAAAATCTATTTTCCATGAATTATCATGAGTCTTTTACCAAGTAACCTCTATGGACCGAATTGTAAATGCGATCTTTGTGCTATCAAAAGCTCAGTTTACGGTGTAGTGTTTTGACCGTCTAAAAGTCGGCATTTGCATTCGAACGTATTGTCTCTAGAGCAACAATCTGGATCAACAGCTTGATTCCCTTTTCCAACGCCGTCCTTCCGAGACTACAGTTTCCCTTGACTCGGGTAGTTTAGATAGCATCAAAGGCTTTGACTGCATCTTCAGCCGTCACATGAGCACTGGCGGGATTAGCCCCGGTAACAATCCGCCCATCCGTAATCGAAAAGGCATCCCATGGGCCAGGAGGGGAGATATCTAAAGTTTCGCAGGTCAGTATCTATCATTAGTCTTGAATGTCACCCTCAGGATGTCTCACAGGTTGCTCCACAGGAGGCGGCCGAAGCCTCGATGGTCTGTCGGTTCCATCCTTGAATAACCTCCAGGATCCCGTGTTCCTCCTCACCGCGGTTTGTAAACCCAGTCACTCGGCGGGTCGCAATGATGGACTTGCCAGTGGCCGGGTCAATGATTCCCGGGAAAATAGCACCACCATGGCATCTAATCCGTATCCGTATATCGTTAGCGCGTGACCCTCATGACAACCCCAGAATATTATACATACACGGCAGACACGATACCACCCGCGGTGAAGATCTTGGACGCAATATTCTGCAGTCCCTTGGCATCCGGATAGTCGATCAGAGATGCATGTCCTGCCGAGGCAAAGAACAGACCATACTGGCGCCCCGGAGTGTCAGCAAGGCGTTCTCTAGAAACTGTCATTCATACTAACGTTGTCTGGGTTGATATCACTTGGCTTCAACAAGTTGTCCAACTTGGATCGGAATTCACTCGAATGATCATCCCACACAGCTCGGTCGGCATCGTTCAGCCAGTCTTTCTGCTCCGAGAGCCAATCCGGCTGATAGGTTCCAGTCTCAGAGACCAGATCGACTTCAAAGCCGGCCTTGCGGAGGACCTGGAAAGGGTGCAAAGCTTCGGTAATGAAAAGACCTATGAGAGATGTTAGCTAAATGGATCGTAGACAAAAGAAAACCCAACCTACCCGTCTCCTTTCCATCCGGGTAGAGGACGGCATGGGCAGAGGTGATCGCAATGACAGCTTTGCGTGCAGGAGCCATGATGAATTGATTCGAGAGTAGTGAGTTTGAAATGGTTGTCTTTCGGATTTGCGTCGATGTTTGAGACCGATGATTTTCTATAGCCATGCTTTGAGGGGGCCCGTGATGATTCTTATATACTTGAGATCGCCAGTACTTCGAAGGTAAAATGTTGAGAACGACCAGCCCGGCGAAATCAATCCTGTGAGCGCCGTCAATTGGTCGAAAGACTAGAAGAACTAACGGAAGCGCCGATTCGCAGGAACAAGACCCAAGTCCGACGGAGTTTCGCCCTCATCATTGCCATAAAGGTCGGGATAATGTGATGTCAAAGATGCAATTACGCCGAGCTCCACCTTTGCCCTTTCAACGTCCCAGAAAGTCTCCGCTGGCGATTACAAACCGCACTGCTAAGGCAAATCGGACAATGCTAATATGTAATTGAATAGAAAGAGATGGAACTTAACTCGGCCAATTACTTATCAATTTGGTGTAGAAGCGTATTGTTGGTATACAAATAGAGAAATTGCGTATATCACCAGTCCAAATTGTTGCGTCAATACTCCATCGGTGGCTGCATTAATCGAACTTTGCTGTAGCGACTAGTCTGCGATCAAGTCCTTCGGCCAGAGGCATTTTCTATGATGTTCTGCGAAAAGGCAGTCAATGTTAGGTTTTGATGGATTACACTATTCAACCAAGGAAATTAGTAAACTTTGCCAGCAGTCCACGTCAACATGGTGAAATATGATAGCATGCAGGGCCGATTTAAGGTTTTGATGACCAACTCCGACGGAGATCCCAATGGATTACTAAGGGTGCATCTAGTAACTAACTAACTAGTTAACTAGTTAACTACATGTTTCGCTTAGTTATCGGTCCCAGCAAATCATTTAATTGAATCGTTGTTGCAACGGATATAGTCTAAAGGCACCGAATAGGTGCTCAAGAACCAACACTGTTTCCACGCTGAAATAATAATTTACGGCTTGAATATATATGGTATTTCTAAGCGCTCATACTTTAGTCTAAAAATGGTTGCACATCTGGGTTACTAGACCATAACCACAGCTGACTAGCATCGGCGAAGCTAGGATCAATAAAGTATGGGTTACCTCCCGTCCACGTTAATCCAGCTGCCGAATCCATCGAAAGCAAATCTAGTTCAGGGCCCATTGAAAAGCTCGTTCCATCAAATGACCCATCCCCAATCTTATTGGGATCAGGCATAGAGGGTTCTATAGTAATAGATGGGAAAATCAATAAGAATGAATCATAATAGAGTGTTCAAGAACCTAGTTACCTTGGAAATTCGAAAAGCCTTCTGGCAGAATCGTTGAGTTTGCATCACCGAGCCGACTACTTTCGGACTCCCTTGATTCGTGTACATTAGTAATCTGTTCAACGATTCGAGTTTCCTCTTCCCCCTTGGTTTGTGCAACAGATGGAGGAGTTATCGTCGTATCACCCCGAATGAAAGAGTGTTCGGAGCGTAATAGGACCGTCACCAAATCTTCCAGTATTTTAACACTCTGCGCCGAAAGAAGGTGTTGGTTCAGGATGGGATCGTGTTGGAACCGTAGAATGTTCATAACACCATTCTTTGCAGCTTCACTGGTAGCTGATAGAGGCTCTGAAATCGCAAAAGCGCATAGAACTACACCGGCAGTGAACAGGCATATGCCGACGTGCATGGCAGCATGTGTTTTTCCGCATGCGTGCAGTACGTGACTATAGTCGTTCAATTCGGATGTTCGAAGTGCGGACTGGAAAAGTTGCTTTCGGGACAGAGCGGACTTTGGTAGATCATCAGGCAAGCGATCCGCATTCGAGACTCGAGAGCCGGATCCGAAAGCAAGGCTGCGATGGAGAATGATTTGAATGTTGTCGTATGTCAATTGAAGGGCGAGTGCTTGCATCTGCAACAGGGACGGGGTATCCTGTGTACTTTTGTCCTTGTACCTCTCTAGCCGTAAGTTCTCGGGCAATTGTGTTTGCCACGAGATAAGTTGGGCATGGATGCTCTGGACCGATTCAAGCCTATTTGTTTGTAGTCGTCGCCCTAAAAATCGGCCCACGATACGATACAATCTAAACTTCCATCGATGGTAGTCTAGTCGTACTGCCTGTCGATGTGGTTCTTCCTTGTTGGTCTTAATCTCTGAGACCGTAGTCACATCGCAGTCAGAATCGTCGATACTGCAGGGCCGTCCAAATGCAATCGCCGCATATCTAACAAAAGCTTTGATATAAGCAAGGGTATGTTCTCGGTTATTTAGACAAGAACGGACTTATCAAAAACCTCCAGCGCTAGCCATGAACGCCGACGGGATTCCAAACGAGCGGGCGAGATCCCCGAAATTGTGCCTTCTCGATGTAGCCGAAGAACCTGGGCGATTTTAATTCCACTTCCAAGGATTCCAAGGCCGGCGGTTGGACGACCGTTGAACAGATGGAAACTCCCTAGAAGAACGCAGATCTGTACGGCCTCTTCGTCTGCTGAGCTGATGATTCTCAAAAATTGTTGTTCAACCCTTCCGAGGATATCTTTAGACAGCTGCTGCATGTGGGATTGTCCGCGAGGCTCTCTTCTGCCGAGTGATGAATAATGAGCTCCCAGGCCGAGGACAAGTAATGTAATCCAAAGATTGTTGTTATCTTCCAGTGATGGCACATGGGTCGAGGTCATCAATTCTTCATATCGTTGTCGGAAGTCCTCTTCGTGAAAGACCTGGCCAGAGATGCATCAACTTAAAGCACCTTATGCAATCATATAGATATCGAAGTACCATCATAAACCAGTCAACGGCCGAGAAGAATGCGTCGACTAGATAATCGAGAGTCTGCTTTGAGGGGAAGGCTATCCCAACAGCATCTCGCCACGGGATACTTGGTGAAGGAAACGACATGGGCACTTTCTTGCCTCCCGGTAAAGCTGAAGTGTCATATTCCACACCAATGACCAGCTTCTGACCTGAGACCAACTAGAAACATTTTAGTTCGCTACTCGGTGTCACCATTCACAACGAGGCAAGAAATGTCCTCAAACTTACTCTCGTGCTCACATCCATGATACTGCTCTCAGGGAGCATGACCGGCTCCTCCTCTTGAGTCGAGATTTTCGACGAGTATGGCCTATTAGTGATTTGAGGGTCCGAATTGCGTGGGTATGCTGTACCAGTTCCATGTCGAGGGATACATGGCACGCCCGCGCGATGGCATAAATGACATGGTCGGGTGGGATCACACTAGTGACAGCCCAGGATGAGAGAGTTAGCGTCCATCTATGCCTTCTCCCGGGTAACGATAACAATGACACACCCCCAACTTCCGCTGATGGCACCTCTCACAGGCCGACGATACTTTTTGGCGCTTTCGAGGGGCATTCATCTTTCATGAGGGTTGGAGAATGCAAGTCCGTCGGAGTGGAGGAGGGGGCAAATGTCCTTGCGGAGGGAAGCGCAACAAGGCGATCGGAGGAGCTCCGTCGGGATACAATTGTAAATACAGGTTGCTTGGATATTTACGGAGACTTGGTAGAAATATAGCTCAACAAGACCCGAGAATCGTTCATTAATAATACAGGAATACCGAAGTCGACTCTGTAGAAAGCACGACTTCCTATACGACCGGAGAATGCAACGGGGCCGTGGCGCACGGACCAGTTCTGGACAATCCTCAAAAGGCGGAGGTGGCGGTGAAAACGGGCATTACTTTTTTTTCCCGATGAATTTTTTTGATTCCGCCCCGGGGTTTTCGCGTTGGACAATTGGTACTCCAGACCAATTCTTGTTAATCACCCTAGAGACTTCCCGAAAAAGTCTCATTTCTCTGGAATTTTGTTTGCGATCCCGTCAGCCGTCGCAGCACCACTTCAATATGGCTAAGAGAACTCACAATACCGAGTCAACAGAGTTGCGGCCGTCGAAAAAGTCCAAGTCAGACGATAAGCACTCCGGGAAGAAAGAAAAGAAGGAGAAGAAGGACAAGAAGGAAAAGAAGGCCGACAAGAATGGAGTCGACCAAGTAACCAGCAATACATCCGATGAGCAGTCTGGTTATTCGCAGGCTTCGGCGCTCACTAATCTGCCGCAATCTGAGATCGATCAGTTCATGGAGGAAAAGGTCGTCAAGGTCACCGATTCGTCCACAGAGTCTGCGCCGCAACTTCGCCCGATCATTTCCTTCGATTACCTCCCGCCCTGCGATGAGAACTTGTACGCTCCATTGAAGGCATTCCCGGCCCCGAGCCCTATTCAAGCCGCTACCTGGCCCCTTCTCTTCGCTGGTCGTGATGTGATCGGTATTGCAGAGACTGGCAGTGGCAAGACCCTTGGCTTTGGATTGCCCTGTCTCAAGAAGCTCTTGGACTCCAAGCGGCCCAGGAAGCCCTATCACCCGTTTGCCGTGATCATCTCGCCCACCCGCGAGCTTGCGATGCAAATCTATGACCAGCTCGTCAAGTTTTCCCACTTGGCCAAGGCTGACGTGACCTGCATTTTCGGTGGTGTCGGCAAGGATGAGCAACGAGTGGCTCTTAGGACTGCTGCGATTGTGGTCGCAACCCCCGGTCGTCTGAAGGATCTCCAGAATGACGAGTCTGTCGACCTCAGCAAGGTCAAGTACCTTGTCTTGGACGAGGCCGACCGTATGCTGGACAAGGGTTTCGAGCAGGATATCAAGGATATCATCCAGCCCATGCCGGTCTCCAAGAGACAAACGGTCATGTTTACGGCCACATGGCCTCGATCGGTCCAAGACCTCGCTGCGACCTTTATGAACTCTCCAGTCACAGTCACCATTGGCGGTGACCCTTCTGCGGATCCCCGTGCCAACCTCAGAATCAAGCAAGAGGTTGAAGTTTTGGATGGTCGTGAGAAGGAAAACCGACTCATCCAATTACTCAGTCGGTCCCAGAAGGGCCAGAACCCTGAAAAGGTCCTAGTCTTCTGTCTCTACAAAAAGGAGGCGATGCGAATTGAAAGATTGATCAAGATGAAGGGCTTCTCGGTCGCTGGTATTCACGGTGATTTGAACCAGTCCGATCGATTCCGCAACCTCGAGGCCTTCAAGAGCGGTGCTGCTACCGTTCTCGTTGCCACCGATGTGGCAGCCCGAGGTCTGGATATTCCCGCGGTGAAATTGGTTATCAACGTAACCTTCCCTTTGACAGTGGAGGACTACGTGCATCGCATTGGACGAACCGGGCGAGCTGGAGCGAAGGGTCATGCCATCACATTGTTCACTGAACAAGACAAGGCACTTTCTGGCGGGTAAGTCATACCAATGGAGACGAAAACCATGCGGGTTTTATGTCATTTCTGAGTTTGTTTACTGACCTCAACAGCCTGATCAACGTCCTCAAGGCCGCTAAGCAGGATGTGCCAGAGTCCTTGTTGAAGTTCGGCACTACTGTCAAGAAGAAGCAGCACGACGCATATGGTGCTTTCTTCAAGGACATTGGCACCGACAAGAAGGCGACCAAGATTACATTCGATGACTGATTATGAGACTGAGAGTGAATTTTTGACAACTCGATACAATGTCTATTCGGATTTCGTCCTTTTCGAGCGGGAAGATATGAGTTGCCGCAACTTCGCCAAGTGCTCTGCCACGTATTCCTTTTCCATATAGAGCCTTTTATTTGTTATCTTTTGAGTACCCGGTGTCAAAAAGCGAAGGCAGTTGGGTTTGACTTACACTAAAAGCCCATAGACACCACTGAACAAAATTGCTGGCATGATACCCCCACTGGGCTCCAACATCCCCTTCTTAGCCACGATTGTAGTTGCAATGGCGCCGGAGATATAAGTAAAAGGACGCATGCTGACTTCGCTAATACGTATGCCATCTCCATATCGGTGCAGATAGTTTCGAATGAAGGTATAGCTCCACAGAGTTCGGACTGCCATATTGACAATATTGGCCAGAACAAGTCCATACGCACCCATGGAGCCAACTTCCAGGAACAAGTAGGCCGCCAGGGCGTAACAGGTCGAGAACGCACCCATCCAAACAGTTTGTTTCCCGATCTCTCGTGAATCAGCCGCTGATGAAACGAACGCTTCAGTAATTCCATTAAACGCCAAAAATGGAATGTAATAGCAATAGAGTGACAGCAGATCGCCCACTTTGGTCGATGCCCACTGCCGGCCGCCCAAGATGCGAAGCACGTGTGGAACCATCAAAGGGCCCAACGGAAAGATGAGAAGCGAGAGAACTTGGTAAGCGCGGAGAATGTCGATCAAATGCTTCTTTGCGGCACGGACTTGAGTCTCGTTCCGTTTGCCTTTCTCGTTGGGGCTGAGAAGGGTCGAGAACAAATTGCGACTGCTTTCTTCCAGAGGCTGGAATATGATACGGGCAATAAGGCCTCCGTAATTTGCCGCCAATGAGTAGATTCCTTGATCTTCCAAGGTAGACAGGGCGGCGAGCATCATGGCATCACCTTGAGTGAGGAGATGCTTCACCAAAGATTGTAGGAAGACACTAGCAGCCAGCGACATAATTGGGAGGGGGAACCGCCCCCAGAGATACTCCGAGGAGTCCCTAGAGGTATTTAGTGGTGATATCTCGACTTGCGCATCTGGAATGTCCTTACCTGGATCGAATTCTAGAGAGAAGGTATGTGAAACGCCTCTCTTTGGCCCCTCCAAGCATGGTCCAGCAGTAGCCACAGATAAGGGCAATCGAATAGCTCATATGGCCGAGGGCAAAAGGCAAAGCACCAGCAGGCCGGTTGATGCGAGAGGCACATAGAAAGCTTGAACATGTTACGAGACTGCGCAGAAATGCTGCCGGCATTTCCACAGCTGCTCGCTTCTCATACCACATGCGCTGCTGAATCACCGCAAAGAACGGTTCTATACAGAGTTCCAAAAGCGAAGCCAGTCCTGTCACGGCCACACTGGTCTTGAAAAATGGGGTATCTGCTGCCTGCACAGGAGCAAGATACTGATAAATCGAGGTGACAAGTATCGTGAAGGGAAGTCCAAGACACAGACTCAAATAGGACACATTCACCACTGACTGAGATGAAACAGCCAGCTGGTCCTGAGAAGCATGTTCATCTGTTTTCGAGGTTCCCTTGATCTCTGGTGGTGATGTTGACACTGGTGTTAGGGGCTGTCTTTGGATGGCCAGGCGGATGCTTTCTCGAGAGAAATACAAAATTGTAACTTGATAAAGCTCCAATTGAGCAGCAATTCCCAGCACTATCGGTGACAGGTTTCGTAAAATCAGCTGATTGGACGCAAAGGTGAAAATCCTTGATGCCAATTGAATCATGATCAAGAACGTTGTGCCTGTGGCAGAAGAGGCCAGCATGTTGCCCATGCGGGCTTCGGTGGGTTGTGACATGACGGCTTGTCCACCGGATCGCTCTATTTTTGTCGCGCAGCAAAGACAGATGGAGATCTCACTTGGTCTCAAATGCCCCTTTGGATCTATCTGACACGATGGGTCAGAGCTTAGAGAGCTAGAGAGCTGATTATAGTTGATGGTTGAGCGGTTCAGTTGCTCGAGGGCGGTCAAAAGGTGCAGATTGAGAGAAAGTGCTTAGATCCAGTGATGAGCAAACGCTCCAATCTTTCTACCTCCTAATTGGATTCGCGGCTAGACCAGAGTTGATATATCATATGGACATGAAATTCTAGAGCTCGTATTTATGTACCTCATTCCATTGACATGCCTGAGAATAAGCGAAGAAACACTACGATTTTACTGTTGCACGGAGGGTAGGGACTCCTATATAGCGTACCCCAAGACAGATGGACCATGCTCTTTGGGACCTCTCTAAGATTCACGAGAGTCTGTAATGGATCGATTTCAAAGACAAAAGAGGTCTCAGAGACAGGAAAGCCGCCTATGAAACATGCTCTTTCATCTACGGTGTACAAATATGGAATACAGTTTTGTCGCCGGCGACAAGAGGTCTGAAGGCCATTGGTCGGTCCGGTCATGGTACTTCTCCTTGTCGAGACAAGAAGCCAGCCCAAATTCCTGCTGTGCGAACATGGCCTGCTGAGTTCAAGAATTGCAAGAGTTTGACGGTTTGCCGCGCGAATCATTTCCACCGTGACAATGCCCCGGGGATTTGGCCATAAGGCCCTTAGAATGGTGGAAGATAGAACGGATAGCCACCGTTCTTGGTCTTGAACACGCTGAGCAGGAAGCTGTATGTGCCAAAGAGGACACCAGACCAGATCAAAACTGCCACCTGCTGTCCCTTGACATCCTCCATACGCGGAACCTTCAATGCAAGAGCAATAGTTGCGAATGAGAGGATGGCATCTGTACCAAAACCAGGTTAGCAATCGAGAGTATAGCAATTGATACTCAGGGAAAGACTTCAACTTACAGATGGCAGCCACGATTTGGGTCTCCAAGCCAAACTGGTTCTGGAAACCACCAGCAAAGTAGCTGATGCCGCCATTGCCGTCACCAGCTACGTAAGGGACCTTCCGAATGTGATTGAACATCTGACCGCTGGTGAACAGAAGAATGGCGATCAGGCTGACGGCGGCCCAGAGGTTCCGATTCTGAATGATGGGCAGCACGTAGGGCGAGAGCACCGTGAAGAGAGTGATGGCACCCATAAGGATGGTAATTGCTGAAACAATGCGCATATAGTTGACGGGTCGAACCAACTGAGGCTTAGGGCCATCAGGCAGGTGACGGTTGATCCATGAGTAGAGTTGGTCAGCAGAGATTGGCCTGAGATTGCAACGATAGATTAGTGTATAGTTCTCAGACAATTGTCCATAGGTCCGAGCTTACCCAGTAAAGTCGAACCTCGCGGGCTCGGATTCCAATTTGGCGAAAGGTCCAACGGTAGGAGGGAACAGAAGGATGACGGGAGCAGTCTGAAGCATGAGCTGTTTTAATATATCGCGGTTTTAATTAGCCATTGAGTTCATCATCGACGTTGCAGAAACGAATCCCAATCAGACTACTCACCTTCTGGAAGACAGCCTTGCCCTGATCGAAGTCAAGAGTACCAAAGACAAGCTTTAGGTCATCCGGCTTGTTGCCCTTGTTCCAGCTCTTGGCAATGAGGTTCCATTCAGGATCAAATTCACGGCACATAGCACAACCATAGCGAGCATCCATAGCTGTCAAAATAACGGCCGCATAGTAATCTCGAGGGGCATTCGTCAGCTCCTCGAAGGCGGCATTGTCCAGATCAACTGGTCCCGAGCGCGAGAGGGACTGGTATTTTTGGAATGTGTCTTGAGAGGGTTTCGCGGCGAAAACGCCGGAAATGACCGAGAATGAGAGAAGTAGCGTGGACCAGAGCTTCATGTTGGCATGACAATTGGGGCGTGGAGGGAGAAGATGTGAGCTTGGAGAGAGTCCACGAAGCTTGTCTCGATCCGCTCGGTTGACCTGAAAGGTGTCCCCATCCCGCAGGATTATGTAAGGTCCCCGCTCAATGCAGTGGATCTAAACACCGACGCGTGTTCTCCGTCCGTCGGAGCGCGGCCGGATTTGCGACTAGCAACGAGCGGCTGAATTGAATAGATCGCCGAAATCTGACATTGTGGAATTTGGCTGCTTGGGAGTCGCGATGGCCGGTGCTTCAGAAGTGTCTCCGCTAGATGTATGTACTTGACCCTCTTTTGTTTTGCTCCCGGGACTGACGAAGCTAGTGCGAAATGTCTCTCAAGACGGTGCGTCTTGAGAAAGAATATGAAAAGGCAATTGCGGACTCGGCGCGTCTCTTAGACACCGAGCGAGATCGTGTGCGACGTATGGAGTATCTGCTTCTTCAGTTCGAGCGCGATAGCCTACAATCGAAGCTCGACCAAGCCAACGACAGGATACATGGATTGACACTGGCCGAGTCCGAGGCGCGTCTTCAGTTGGAGGAAGCCTTCCAGGAAATCGATTCTCTAGACCAGTCTGTTCAAGCCTCATCCAGCGAGATTCAGAGGCTAACCGTGAGTTGCTGCCCTATAATGAGAGTCGTTGTATAGCACCATACTAATTTATCTTATATACAACAGCAAGAGCTTTCAGCGCTTAACAATACATCAACCAGCTATGGCATGCTGCAGACAGAGAAGATCCAGCTTTCCCGAGAGTTATCCAACACCAAGTCGAAACTGGAGCGGCTACAGGCACAGAATACCTCCCACCAGGCTACGGTGGCCGAGAAACAGGCAATGGAGCGGCAACTGAACGCGGTGGAACTTCAACTAGAAAACGAGAAAAATTCGCACGAGCGGACGCGAGTGAAGATCTCCGAACAAGCGACACAGATCACGAGCCTTTCAACCAAGATCGAAGAGCTCCAAAATGAACTCGCAAGGGGGCAACGGGAAAATAAACACCGCGAACGGGATGACCAACAGCAGAATGCGGGATGGGAGAAAGAACGATCGGTATTGGAGGGAAAAATCGAAACGCTACGCAAGCAACTCCGATCGACCAAGGACAAGCTCCAGGAGGCCCAGCATGACTTGCAGCGACGGCGTAGCAACGCTCGTAGCAACGAGGTGGATGATGGCGAAGCAGGGTCGCGAAGAGTCCCCCTTCAGCGTCCGGGACCTAGCGCAGAGTCTCACGGCGTCGGTATGATCATCGCAACACCGGGAGCTGTGCGCGTGCAAGAAAAGCCAAAGAGACAATCCGCGCTGCCGGGCGACAAATCCGCATTTTCCATTACTCCGTTCCTGAACCGCACTGGACCAGCCCCTCGTGATACTCCGATCAGCTCTGACATGGATGAAGATGAAGTCAAGCAAGCAATAAAACAAAGTCGGGCAGCACTGCGTAAGCCCAGTGTCGTTGATGAATCAAAAAATCGAGATTCTTCCCCGGGCGAGCAGCTGCCTGCTAAAGCCCAATCGACCACAGCGAAGTCACGGGCACGAACTGCGAAACCTGCCACGTCAAAAGTTGCACGTGAATTGAATCAGCCAGCAAGCCGTCCCACCAGTAAAGTGTCTCTCGACGCACCGGAGGAACCATCGAATGATCCTCCCCCGGAGCAAGGACAGGCCAAGACTAAGAGGCGGAAACTTGGGGCCCAGCGAGAGCGTAGCCTGTTTGAGGATGAAGATGACGAAGATATCCTTGGTCTCCGCAAGCCTCGAAAGTTGGCTCTTGGTGGTGGGCGACAGTCAGTGCTCGCGGCGCCTCTGTCCACCTCCTCGGGAGGGGACATACTAGCTCGTGGTGGAGGATTCGGTGCAGCTAGGGCATTTTCCCCTTTGAAACGAGATCGCATGCGATAGAGCCATTTAGTGTTGGTTTTGAAACAGACGTAGTTGTCTTGATCTTCGGTGTATATACTGAGCTACGAAATCCCCAAGTTGATCGCAACAAACTTCAAGCTCATACTATCCGTCAGTAGTCGAACTATGACCCAGGGGATTAGGTCTGAATAATTAATAAAAGACAGTTCAAGTCACACGCCAACAGGCCTTTAAAAGGTAGGGCATCAAGCGTATCTCTTCTTCCAGACTTCCCCTTAAGACTTCAACGTCCCCACCCGCTAGGCGGAGTTGCGTTACGTTCGCGTTCTGCCGGCAGAACATTTCCCTTTTGCCTTGTCCGCGGTTCTTCGCCATGAGATCATATTCACAATTAAACGTCATGTTTGCACTCTTCTCCATCCGGCCTCGAGCCATTGGAAGCTCCGGACTGCTCAATCAGATCCGGAAAGCCTCATCCAAGCGCTGGCAGGCCCGCCAACAGAAGGACCAATTTACGAGAGAGGCAGCAGTGCAAGGCTTGAAAAGCCGAGCTGCGTTCAAGCTGTTACAGGTACGGACTACTATGATTTCACCAGAATCATATTCTATAATGTATACGCTGTATCTTGCAAGGAATAAGATTCTAATGAAAGCAGATAGATGAAAAGTACCGGATATTCCGGCGTGGACAAACCATTGTCGATTTGGTATGCTCTTGAAGTCCGCGACACCGGTCAGGGGAACAGGCCGAAACTAACATGTCAACCTCGACCAGGGTTACGCACCAGGATCATGGTCACAGGTGGGCCCTTTAATATCTTCCTCGATATAAGCAATCAAGGGTATTAACATAATCATACAGGTAGCTGTGAGCCGGACACAGCCGAATGGTCGAGTGCTCGGCGTGGACATTATCCCCGCGCAACCACCAAAAGGAGTTTCAACAATCCAGGGAAACTTCCTTGCACCTGAGATCCAAGACTATATCCAGGAGTTCTTGCGCAACCCAAACCGAGGTCGAGCTCGTCAGCCCGGGGCCATCGACGACGCCAGTTCCAGCTTGCTCGAGCCAGCCGTTGTAGCAGAAGCCGATGCGACACAACCCGACAGTGCGAAAATGGAAAGGACGGTGGATGTGGTTCTCAGCGATATGTCTGCTCCCTGGTACCAGACATCCGGTTTCTGGAAACGAAGTCTAAGTAATCCCTATCACAGGATGATGAACACCAGCGGAAATAATTTTAGAGATCACGCTGGGAGCATGGCAAGTCCCCTCTCCTTTCTCACTGGGTGTCTGCTGCTTATAGCAGGACTGCCAATTATGCGCAGACGTTGAACTAATCTTCTTTTACTTCGGGCTACAGGACCTTTGTAACGCTACGTTACAATTCAGTTCCAAGGTCCTCAAAGCAGGCGGGCATTTCGTCTGTAAATTCTACCAGGGAGCAGAGGATAAGGAGTTGGAGAAGCAGCTCAAAGATATGTTTCAAAGAGTTCATCGACTTAAGCCTGAATCGTCACGCAGTGTACGCCTTGTCCATATTCCTCATACTCCACCGATCATCGGCTAAAAACAAACATTGATAGGAATCCAAAGAGGCCTTTTTCGTCGGGCTTGACCGCAAAGCGTGAACCAAACTTGTTACATCTGCCCATGACGCCCAACAATATTCAAAACTAGGGAATCTTGTTCACAGCATCTCAATCTCGTCATCATCTGAGGTCTCGTCCCACTCAACGTCGGCCAAGGCTGCCTCGGCTTTCTCTTGGACCTGATGATCATGTGTTAGTAAACCTCAGGAAGTGGGACTTGGGCATTACACTATGGGGTCCACGTACCTCTTTGAGTCCGCTCAGTTCCTCCACGTACCCTCGCTCATTGAGGGCCTTTCGCACAAAGTTCCAGCCGTGTTCTTTATATGCACTGGTCACCTTATCCGAACAAGCGCTGCAGCATGAGTAACTCTTGCCGGTGACTGTGATATTTTCAAAGTTTGCGAGGAACCCTCGAATTTGATGTGGTACAAGCCCCAGAGGATGATCTCCTCGATCATCGCTGCGGGTCACTGGGGCCGGTGCTGCGGCGCCCTGTGGGTGCTGAAGGATCGAGACGAGCAGTTCCACGAGGAGTGCAGAGGCTATTGCGGCAACTCCTGGACGAGTGACGGTACATTGTTGATCGAGAGTTTGGTCTTTGATTGACTATTCTGGTGGTCAGTTTGGCGTCAACACAAATGAAGACCTGGATCATATCTTACATTAGCAGGTGCTACAACGTCATTACAGAAGTAGCATCCAAGATCTGCCGGTTCATCTGCAGTCTCGGAGATACCGTGACGCATGACAACGTATGAATCGAATCCCAATGCCGCATTCATAACAATCTTGCCCGCTGCTTTGCCCATTACCGTGGGTAGCCATCTTGATTCTCGAGTGTCCATGAGAAGGAAGATGGCATCATGCTCGTCGATGAGTTTCTGGAGAGCTTCAAAATCTGCCCGCGTCGCGTCCTCATCTATAATCGGATGACCAGCCATGGGCACCGAAAGAAGGTGTCCAGAGGTCTCGACCCCGGGGTAAATTTCCTTCAAGGCCTCAGATGCTCGATGGGCTTTCGGCGCACCGCCATTCAGGCAGTCGGCGAACGTAAAGAGGGGCTGGCGGACGGAATTAGAGAATGAAACACTGCCCTTATCGACAAAAGTAATTTTCTTCACTCCCCATCCCTGAAAAAATAGTAATCAGTATCAATGTATTTGAATATCCGAACGAGGACCGCTACGTACCAACAGATTACGAGCAACATAGCTCCCAAGAGTGCCAGCCCCGAGCAAAAGACATTTCGTGTGCTTGATCTTTTCCAGATTCAGTGACGGGCTGATGCGCCATTTCATGAGTTTGAGGTTGAGGTCGACCGACTGGTCTGCCAGCCTGAATGTCATCGATATTAGTACTTGCCAACAGCAGTTCTGCTCCATACGTGGGGATTGTACCTCTTAGGATCCATATATTCTGTGAGATTCACTATTCTCCCTGCCAACTTTCCGGCTGGATTACGCTCCCAACCAGTGATTTTGGGCATTTGACCGGTGGTTTGCTGGGATTTCGCAGTCGGGCTAGCATCATCTCCGACAGGCTTCGACTCGAGACGAATCACCATGCTGCGACCCTGATCACGCTTTGATTGGACGTCGCGATACCGTAGAATTTGCACCCGATTCAGACCCCACCGTTGTTTAACGAGAACCAACAGATTGCGAAGCATCCAGCCGGGAGCGCTCTCGTAATTGGACGGATCGGCGAAGCAGATATACTGGTCCTCGGATGCTGAACCTGTGAAAAAGCCATTTTCGTATTCCGACAGCTCAGCAATTCGCCAGGGGCTCCCAGATGAATTGCCGGATGTTCTGCGCAGTTTTCGGGCTAAGAAAAAGCCACGCTGCCGACTATCGACTCCATAACTCCAGGTTTGCACTGCATCCACCAAAGCGGCGCTATCCTGAGAAGCGAGATATTCGCCCAGAGGTGCATTGGCATCCTGGGCCTGACGGGATTCGGCCGGAGCCACGGGAACCCAGGATGGATCGGAGTGGATGGCAGGGAATGCAAACCAATAGTAGAACTTGTATTTCTTCAAATCGGCAAAGGATAGAATAATGAACGATGATAGCAATGACGGACAGGAGTAGATGGTACCGTCGTTGATGGCATCCCAGATCTGTGTATTCGTAGGTGTCAATTAGCGGATTTCGCCCACTGTACGTCGGAGTAGCGCTCGTACCGTTTTCCCAGCCTGGAGAATCATGTGCGGTTTATCCATGTTACGATAATCCTCGATCGTGTTGACATTCTTGATCATACCTTCTGCACGGTAGTAAGCCGCCGGTGCTCTGGATGCGCAAGTCTTGTTAGCCTGGATGAAGTCCATAATCTACATGTACTAGCACATTTGTATAGGGTCACGTAAGACTTACTCGGTGTTCACAAGAGCATTTCCATGGATCTGGATTCGACAGCTCGCATTCTCTGCATCGGTGGAGCGGATCTCATAGAGCCCTAGAACGGATCGGGCGGAGTCATCTAGCTTATCGTGGTTGATCTTATGTGAGGCGAGCGCCGTATAGAACGGCAGCTCGATATCGGACGCATATGGCGCGTACTGCATCTCTAGGAAGGACAAAGTAGTATGAATTTGCACGCCTAGGGCCTAGAGAAGAGTATGAAGTAGAGTTCGGAGTGATGTTCTTGGCTGATGTTGGTGCGGAGTATACCAGTTGAGTCGAGTTGGAGAGAGGAAGTAGAGGAACGGGAGGGGAAAGTGGGGGTGATGTAATCGTCGCGCGTCCCAAGAAAAGGAAATATGAAAATAAAAAAAAACACCGCGTGACCAGCCCCCGTGGAAACAGCTTAGTTCCCTCGTTCAGATTCACGAGCTCACCTTCTCGGCTCATTTGGCCCTTTCTTGACCCTCCCTTCTCTTTCTCCTTGGTCTTGTGCTCTGTGGGTTAGGCAATTACCAGAATGCTTATCGGCTTATGCGGAGGTGAGTAGAAGAATCCCCCCGCTCTGACGCCTGAATTTAACGTTTACTCCCGAAGCTATCTGCGCGGGCAAGCATGCTATTGCCGAATATTTGATCGAGCACGAAGGGTTCCAGCTTCTCGAGCTGGCTACCAAACCCACGCAACGTATCACCGATGAGCCCGATGACGACCTGCGATTACAAGCCTCGGAAATCAGAAAGAATCGAGACCGAAAAGACCGAGATGCCCAGTCTGATCTGGTATTTGATACCCCAGAGGCCTTGTTGGATTTTGTGACCAGAAGATGGCAAGAGAAGTGGGTGACGACCGACATTGCAGATGGCTCGACCCTCGACCGGTTTCTGCTGCGGCCGTTCTTCCTCTTGGTGAGCGTGGATGCTCCCGTCAGTCTTCGCTGGAAACGATTCTCGGACCGGTTCGTGACCCTACATTCCTATGTTATATGGCGATGAAAAAGAGTGATAGAGAGGAGACAAACTCGTGATGTTGATATAATGCAGGTGCTGGCGAAGGCAACTGGACCCGCCTGATTTGGAGAAGTTCGTGTTATGGAATGACCGTCATCTATATGAAAAGGACATTGGGCGGGTCTACCTCACCGATAGAGCCCAAGTGCGTCTGTTCAACTCCTCTTCGTCCCTAGAGGAGCTCCACCGTTCTCTCCAAACGCTGGGCCTCGCCGATGAACAGCGTCTGCGCCCAAACTGGGATCAATACTTCATGCAGCTTGCCTCCCTTGCCGCACAACGAAGCAATTGTATGAAACGTCGAGTGGGATGTGTACTGGTCCGCGAGCGCCGAGTCATCAGTACTGGCTATAATGGAACACCTCGGCACCTACCCAACTGCAACGAAGGAGGATGTAAGATACTTAAAATCCCTTTTACTCTTATATTGTCTTCAGAAATAACGTGTGACTCTGTTTCGCTAAACATTGACTAGGTCCTCGGTGCAATCGTGGTGATGGTGGTGGAGTCGGTCTCTCCACCTGTCTTTGCCTCCATGCCGAAGAGAATGCTTTGCTGGAAGCCGGTCGGGAACGTATTCGCGAAGGCGCGATTCTCTATTGCGATACGTAAGTCCTGCCTCGCAATGGTCTATTGATTGCCTTGGCAATATCTCATGCGTGAAAACAGGTGCCCTTGCTTGACTTGTACAGTCAAGATTACCCAGGTTGGCATCTCCGAGGTCGTGTACTCGCAATGCTACAATATGGACAAGGATGTAAGTCTACACCGGTAGCAGCTTATCGGATTAATCATTTTTGCTGAACTCATTACTTCCAGAGCGCTGCGATTCTCGAGGCGGCCGGCGTGAAACTGCGACAATTCAGCCCCGTAAGATTCATATTCCAATGTCCAATGATCAATTATTACATACTGATTATTTCTTCAGCCGTCGAATGGTTTGGTTTACTTGCAAGGCTCTACTTGAGTCATTTATCAGGAGGCTTGGACCCCCCTGATGATAACGATACCGACGACGAGACGAGATAGAAAGTCAGAAACATGATGCATTTTGGTCATTTTGGTGCAAATAAAGGGGTTGGATATGCATGTGATGCGAGAGTTCAAAGCTTTACGGTACTGAAGGTGGATATTGAAAGTCCAGCCCGGAAATAGGAGACGATGGGAAACACTGGAAATAATCATCACGCAGACTGCATAGGTTTCACTGAGAACATAACTACGTTTGGGCTCAAAATCCCGGGTTGACTGTCAAGACTCTCACGAAAGTCAGAGTGTGTATGCATGACTCGATATCTTCTATTATCGGGCAGAAGGTGATACGACATGGCTTTGAAGAGCTGGTGTCTATAATCGCGTATACACTGTTGGCCAAGGTCTTCGTCTCTTTAGCTTGAAAATGATAGTAAGAAAAACTGGCCCTAGAGCCAAGTATAATTGTCTCGTAACAATAATGTCTGAAGAATTTCATGACACATACATTGACAAAGCACAAGTAAATATACCAAAACGTTGATCGTAGATCCGATGCGCAGGACCTGACTAACCAAATACGGCAGTCTTTCCCCACAACTTTGTGCCGGCAGAAAAGGGAAGGGTTTGTGACTCAGCGGGGTGAATTTTGGAGGGGCTCTTGAATGACTCCGATCTTCCCCTCCGGTCTATTAAACCTGAGACTTGACCCTCATATTTTGTACATTTCCATTGTGACTACAGAGTCCTCTTTTCACAATGCCGACCGTTCACCTTTTGGACTACGTCGCGGGGAACATCCGCTCGTTGGTCAATGCGATCAACCAAGTCGGATACGAGGTCGAATGGGTTAAGACGCCCGAGGATGTGAAGAACGCCGATGTACGTGAATCTCAGAAAATGGAGCAGATTGCTTATCGCTGGTCGATACTCAATTACGCTCAAAGAGTTGATTGACCCTCCGGAGACTGACAAATCGCTCTTGCATGACAGAAACTAATCCTTCCCGGTGTCGGCCACTTCGGCCACTGCCTCTCGCAATTGGAGCAGGGTGGGTTCCTGGGCCCTATCCGCCAGCACATTGAAGCCGGAAAGCCTTTCATGGGAATCTGTGTTGGCCTACAGGCTCTGTTCCAGGGCTCCGAAGAAGATCCCAACGTCCCCGGTCTGGGCGTCATTCCCACGCGCATTCAAAAATTTGACGACAAGTCCAAGAGCGTCCCACACATTGGATGGAATTCGGCGATGAACACGGAGATTGGGACGAAAAAGCAAAGTTTCTTTGGATTGAGGCCAACCAGCAAGTACTATTACGTTCACTCTTATGCGGCGGCATACCAGCCCGGAGTGCTTGAGGCGGACGGCTGGTCAGTCGCGACGGCCACATACGGCGAGGAGGAATTCATCGGTGCCATCAGCCGAGGTAACGTCTTTGGTACTCAGTTCCACCCAGAGAAGAGTGGTGTGGCTGGACTACGCGCCATCCGCGCTTTCTTGACCGGCGACCAGTTCCAATCACTTCCCCAAGAGCTAGTTTCCGGCAAGGAAGATGGATTGACGCGCCGAGTCATTGCCTGCCTCGATGTGCGGGCAAACGACAATGGAGATCTTGTTGTCACCAAGGGTGATCAATACGATGTACGCGAGAAGAGTGGAGCGGATGCGGGTGGCCAGGTTCGCAATCTTGGAAAGCCCGTCGACATGGCCAAGAAGTACTATGAGCAAGGAGCGGACGAAGTCACTTTCCTGAACATCACATCCTTCCGCAACTGCCCCGTGGCGGACACACCCATGCTGGAGATTCTCCGAAGGACATCAGAGACGGTCTTTGTGCCCTTGACCATCGGTGGAGGCATCAAAGACACCGTCGACACCGACGGCACTGCGATTCCTGCGCTCGACGTTGCGACGATGTACTTCAAGTCCGGTGCCGACAAGGTCAGTATTGGCTCTGACGCGGTCTTTGCCGCCGAAGACTACTACAAGTCCGGGCTGAGCGGACGCACAGCCATTGAGACAATTTCAAATGCCTACGGCAACCAGGCTGTGGTGGTGAGCGTTGATCCTAAGCGGGTCTACGTGGATCGACCGGAAGACACCACTCACCACACTCTGAAGACTGCGTATCCTAATGCTGCCGGCCAGACCTACTGCTGGTACCAATGCACGGTCAAGGGTGGCCGGGAGACTCGCGACATGGATGTGCGGCAATTGGTACAGGCCGTGGAGGCGATGGGTGCTGGTGAAATCCTGCTCAACTGCATCGACAAGGACGGCAGCAACAGTGGCTTTGATCTGGAGTTGATCAACGATGTCAAGGCTGCCATTAAGATTCCCGTCATTGCCTCCAGTGGAGCTGGAGTACCGGACCACTTTGCAGAGGTGTTCAACAAGACGACGACTGATGCGGCGTTGGGTGCAGGCATGGTAAGTGCCAATCAAGGCTACGATACTTTCGGCACGTCCAAAGGAATTGGCTGACATTCTCTAACATTTTCTAGTTCCACCGTGGAGAGTATACTGTGAGCCAGGTAAAGGATCACCTCAAGGCCGAGGGCTTCCTGGTCCGCCAATTTGAGGCCGATATCTGAGGATAGGCATGCCCCGCATAGCATGTCTTCGTGGAACGACTTGGCTAGCCACTCTGGCTTTGATATAGATAGAGTTTTACGTTGAATGAACAATATAGACAAGCTTTCATATATGTAACTCGGCTGCTACAGATGTACTTGTACATATGCACCATAATTAAAGTTATGACTTCCGGAACCGGAAGCCGGTCGGGAGTTCCCCCTCGATGACATAAGCATGGCGGTGAAATCGGCCGCGTCAGGTGAACTTTTCCGGTCGCCACTTCACCTTACCACCTCCCCTCTTCACCCTCCGACCTCATCGACTTTCCCACATCTTCGACCTCACTAACACCACCTCTGATCCATTCAGAGCGTTACAGTCTATTCAGGATCATCGTCTTTGTGGATGGCACGTATTTCCGAATAGCCGAGATCCCGAAACGTCGTGACTACAACCGCACGTTCTCAACGCGTCTCGTGGTGCCACAAAAGTGCTCTTCCCAAACGACGGAGTTGGCTGTTCAAGAGAGTACACGAAGGATTGGAATCGATTTTCCTATTGGTGTCTCTTGGCTGGCGACAATTTTATCTGTGTTTTGCCTTTTCTATCTTCGACGAATTGTATCCATCAGTGTTTGATCTTCCATTTGTATGCAGTGTGACCGCTCACCTTTCAGCATTCAAGAGAAAGATTCATACTCAATCTCTCCTCTCGAACATTTCGATAGACCAGGAGACCATCGATCGTCTACTTTTGCCCCTTAAAAGAAAGAAAAGCATCAGACCTTCGACACATTCCCTTTGTGTCTACACCCGCAGTGCTTCGGCCCGGAGTCTCCCCACTGCCATATTTCCTCTCTTCTCCCCGGCACCATTCCCTTCTACTCGCCGTACTTCTTTTCTCCCCCGTTACTCCCCTGCTGCTTTCTCTCCTCCGAGCCTGTGCCTCCTGTCATTGAGGGTTTCCCCTTCTAAGTCCGAAGGTTTGATCTGAATTCAAGAACAAGTCCCTCAAGTTTTCCCTTCTTTTTTTTCTCTCCTTCTCCTTGCTTGCGTTCGCAGACATACTTCCAATACAATGTCATCGTCAGTTCATTTCAAATTCAAGTCCCAGAAGGAACCCTCACGGGTAACCTTCGATGGCACTGGTATTTCCGTTTTCGAACTCAAGCGTGAGATCATCAACCAGAGTAGATTGGGTGATGGGTCTGACTTCGAGCTGGAAATCTATGTCGAGGATACTGGAGAAGGTAGGTGACACAAGCCCCGGTCCAGGTCATACTGCGCCAGACCTTGAAATATCAAATCTAACCAGCAGCCATAGAATACGATGATGACACCACCATTATCCCCCGGTCCACCTCCGTCATCGCACGTCGACTCCCGGCAGCGCGCCCTGGCAAGGGTGGCGCAGCTCGCTATGTCTCCGGTAAAATGCCCGTCAACGCTCGCAACGCCTCCCGTACCGAACCGTTGACGAGTCGAGCCGCGCCGGGAATGGGGGGATCAGTGACCAACAATGTGCTGGAGCTTAACAATGCGCAGACAGAAGAGGAAAAGATCAATGCTCTCTTTAATTTGCAAGCTAGTCAGTGGAAGGAGCAGCAACAAGAGATGGCCAAGTGAGTTCATACCGTGTGGGATTACACATGTAGATCATGCTAACATTTTCACACTAGTGCGACCCCCGTCCCCTTCGGCCGTGGCAGAGGCAAACCTGTCAACGTCCCTGATCACCCTCCTCCACCTGGGTATCTTTGCTACCGTTGCCGAGAGAAAGGTACGTTCTGTCTCCCTGCGTCTGCAGTTCCCAGCTCATGACTAACATTATCAAACCAGGCCACTGGATCCAGGCATGTCCGACGAACAATGACCCCAAGTTTGACGGCAAATATAGGGTCAAGCGATCCACGGGTATCCCCCGATCATTGCAGACCAAGGTCGAGAAACCCGACTCCTTGGCACCGGATGGGTCCAACGATGACTCGAGGAACACAGGGGTCATGGTGAATGCCGATGGAGACTTTGTCGTTGCACGACCAGATAAGGCAGCATGGGAGTTGTACCAAGAAAAGGCCAAGGCTTCGGCGGCTGCCGCGGCCGAGGCCGCCGCCGCAGAGGAGAGCAAGGTGCTGCAGGCTCGAGGTCTGGAATGCCCGATTGACAAGAGGATGTTCTTAGAACCTACAAAGACCCCATGTTGTCACAGGACATATTGCAATGATTGTATCTCCAATGCCTTGATTGAAAGTGACTTTGTCTGCCCTGGTTGTTCTACCGAGGGAGTCTTACTTGATAACCTTACGCCCGATGACGAGGCGGCCTCCAAAATCAAAGCTTACGAGGCAGAGAAGACGGAGGCTAAGAAGGAGAAGGAAAAGCAACTCACCACTACCTTGGCACAGAATGGGCAATCAGTGAACGGCACCCCAGCTGCTGCCGAACAAGATTTTTCCAAGGATACGGAATCGAAGGAGCGATCTCCGCCTCATCAAGGAGGAGATGACGCATCCACGCAATCCAAGAAGAGACCTGCTGAAGATGAGCCAGTTCATGAGAAGACGGACAGTGTCGACGGTGGTAATGCGTCCAAAAGGCAGAAAAGCGAGGACCAACCCGAAACGACTAGTGCAGGCACTGGTCCCACCACGGCCACAACTAGCCATCCCAAAGAAATGCCGAATAACCTCCCCAACCCAGCGATGCCTTTCAATCCGCAAATGCCATTTGGAGACTTTAACAACATGATGCCTCCCTTCTCGAATGGCGGCTTTGGCAACGACGCCATGCCATTTATGAACCCGATGGGCATGCCGAACGGTTTCTCCAATCCGATGGGACCTGGGTGGAACCCGATGAACATGCCCTTTCCCCAAATGCAAGGCGGCAACATGTACGGGAACCAGAACAATGGCTTCCCAAACATGTTCAACGGCGATCCGTCGATGATGTTTCCCATGGGTGGAATGGGTGGCGCGATGCCAAACCAAACCCCCGGCTTCCAGAACCCTGCAATGAATAACTTTGCCAATCAACAACGAACTGCCTTTAGCGGGCCATATTCTCGCGAGGAGGACTCACCGTACTTCCGACAGCCGGTGAACCCGCAACGACACCAGGCGCGGAACCGTCGAGTACGACCAAGTGATTATCGCGAGTTGTGAATATCATGACGGCGGCCGTCTAATGGGACAATAGCCTGGCGTTTACGGTGGGCTCTTTATACCTTCTTTCTTCTTCTTCTTCTTCTTCTTTGGATTTATAGACAGCCCTTTTTGGTTGTTTACACAGCGATTTGCCTGACTGTTTTCCTTTTGCTCGTTCTGTCTCCTTTGCATATGGCCTTGTGGCTTCTATACTCCTTTCGTCCACATCATGCATGGCCTCGGCGGGGACGATTGTATTCTCAGGATCCTTCATGATATGTATTTCTAGTACATTAGCCTCACCCATCATTGACAAACCTTTCTCTTTCTCATGATCCGTCGGTTTCGAGTGTGGCTTTGCTTCTAGGATTTAACGGTTTTATCATATCGTCGAGATAGTTCCGAATGCAAATTATTTTCTTTTTTACATCTATATTCGTAATCTATACCCGTAATCTAGGTGTTGCTTATAAAAGGATAGCATAACATCCATTTTCACGACTCTGAACTCTTAACTCGGTGTGACAAAAATGGATTCCATCCACAATAAAGTCTTGATCCGAAGCATTTGATTGAAAATCGATGACCAGTCCAGCATGGCGCACGGTGCACGAACTGCCCAATGCCCAATTGCCGGAGACGGTGAGGCCAGATCAGGTGACTGGGAGAGAACCCCCCCCCCCCAATTAATTCGACTTCCTTCCAAGTCCACCTTCGTCCTCCACACTTCGTACATGTTCCACTCCACATCCAACCCTTTAAACTTCGTCTCCGCACTCGAAATCAATTTCGAAATCAAATCTATTCCTCTATCTCCTCGATCCGAATTCTTCCAAGACAACTTTCCCATCAACTACGACGACCAAACTAGTCATGGCGAAATACATGAGTAACCACAGTAGTAATTACAATCAAATGTCCCGGTTTCTCGCCCAGGAGTCGACGGTCACTGCCAGCTCCTACACCGTCGATTCCTCTAGCGCCAAGGTCGACGGCTTCCACTACTGCACTACTCTGGGCGCCGGTGAGTCAAGACCATCACCTCGCTTCATCTTTGACCATACTGACGACCAATTTTTCTTTTCTTCCAGGAGCACAGTGGTATCCCTGAGGTCCCCTCAGGGTCTAAAACAACCAACCCAAGACCTCCCCTCGATTATCCCGCTTCCAGCGGGACTTTCGGCTGGAACGGGACCAACTGGCCCGAGTCTAAAGCCAACGGGGAGGCGACGCACACCATTCCGGAAGAGTGTGAGAGGCTCTTCTGTGACACACTATCCGCGACCTTCCTTGGTGAGAGGATTGACGCCGGACAGGAGTCACTGGGAATGGGTACGTTTCAACAGACTCAGCCAAATCAACAGCACAGTCCACACCGTAAGGGAGACCACCATGGATCGATCCAGAAATGGGTCGAGATGTGGGACTACAGCGGCGATGCAATCTACCGCGGCTTCGTCACGGGCGAGGACGACGAGCGAACACTGTTCGTCTTCCTCGAGGACGGCACCATCGGGCATAGCCTGAAATCTGGGTAAGAAACCTTTCTCTTTTGTTTTTGCAAGCTCTGTCGCTGACATATTTTTCCATGGGCAGGTTAATTGCACTTTTCGAACTGGCGGGAACCGACGCCATCGATTGCTCCCAGATAGTCGCCTGCGTCAGGCGCTCCCAGCACGCCGATGAGATGGAGCTCGTGCGCAGCCTCGGATGGTGCGGTTTCAACCTGACTACCTTGGATCCCTGGATCAAGGGCACATCGGGTAAGGCAGGACCCGCACTAAGCACGGAATGGCTTTTCTTGGTCGCTGAAGTATAGCCGACGGGCTTCTCGTGCTGAGGATCTCATCCTCACTCGGGTTCCGGGCTATTATGAAGAACGTTGTTTTCTTCTTTGATTTTTTTTTTCACTTTTCGTCTTGCTTTCTAATCTTCTTTTGTCCTTGCTGCATCTGGAATGTAGTTCGAATTGGGGCACCGTATGCTAATCATTTCGTGCCTTATTCATGTCTACTGAGGTAGGGCCACGATTAGGGCTACGCTCGTTGTTTAACGGTGGACGCCTATTTTCTCTTGCAATTCATTATTATTGTTTTTAGCAGCAGATTGATCAAATCAATTGGTTCATCTCAATACAATCCTTAGTGTCTTTCGTATGTGGAGTAATGACAGTATATATAGAGAGCTCTATGTAGCCCATCGGTGAAGTCGACGAACGTGCTTCTCTTCCTGACCACTTACTCTGTTCATCTTGTATGTGTAGCCTCGGAACCTAACTCGATAGCTCAATCATATGATCCACATCTGGTGGGCATATGATGTAACTGATTCCCCATAGTTACTTCCGATCATGATATCGTGGATGTATACTTTCCCCGCTGATAAGATAAAAAACCGATGACCTCAGCACTGGCGATCACGGGCCTTCAAGATAAACACGAACAACTCCCCTCTCTAGCTCTTACCTTTTCCCTTTCCTTCCTTCATAAATCCAATACTCCCCCAAGAGCCACTCGGTTCCTAAATCATGTTCAAAGAACAACCCAGACGCTCTCTCCTCTTCCCCAAGTTCCTCATCCCCTCATTCCCCAAGCAAAACACCACCACTCCCTCCTCCCAAGCTCCCTACCCCACCGCCACTTCTCCAAAGTACCTAGACGGCCACCTCTCCTACCTCCGCTGCACCGACTGCGCCGCCCACCTCTGCCTAACATCCCAGATCATCAGCAAAGGTTTCACAGGCCGACACGGCCGCGCATATCTCGTCTCCGCAGAACCCGTCGCCAGCGCCGTATCCGTCAGCGGGTCCTCCTCGCCAACTACATCCCTCCCCAACACGATCCTCCAGCACCCGGTCCCCCGACAGCTTGTCACAGGCGCACACACCGTAAGCGATGTGAGCTGTGCATTCTGCGGGAGCGTGTTGGGGTGGAAGTACGTTGCAGCAGAAGAGGAGTCGCAGCGGTATAAAGTGGGCAAGTTTATACTGGAGACGAAGAAGATTACCGCCTCTTCGTGTTGGGAAGCTCCCTTTGATGGGGGCATTGATGCGATCGGGGCGGAGGGGGTTCATGGAGGGTCGTCGGATGAGTCGGGTTCTGTGGATGCGGAGTTTGATAGTCAGGATGAGGATGAGTGTGAGGATTTGTTTGCTGGGATATGGAGTCCTGGGTTGGCGAATCGGCGACGAAGTCGGAAGATTGAACGACGGCCTGCGACTGCTTTGTTTGGGATGTCGTGATGTAGTTAAGTCTTGACGTGTTGGGAAAAGAGAGGAGGACGGAGAGGATGGAGGACTAACGCGATGAAACTGTTTGACTGACCTAATGACTGCTTTTGGTTTGTTGGGTTTGGCTTTTCCTTCATATTGCGGCGTGGTATACCCAATGTTTGATACTAATACTTAATATGCTTATACGTTTGCTGCGTCAATATTGGGAATAAACTTCATCATGATTTATGCATTGCAATATTAGAGCAAAGCTAAATAATGCACTTTAATATTTTGAGACTATCTCAGTAGCCGGGAGTTCATGAGACCTAAAAGGGCATAGGGTAAAGTATAGGGAAGAGCTCCAGCAACGCCAGGAAAAAGGAAGAATACGCATGAAATACAAGCATTGAAGTCGAAATCTCTCAAGCATCTTCGACCCGCGCACGCTTCGACTCGCCCTCTGCGGGTCCGTTCTCCGCAGGGCGCTTGGATGAGCTCTGTTGAGAGGATTGAGGGGCAGCGGGCTTGCGTCGGACCAGCGATGACAGATCAGTGGCTTCCTTGCTGACGGCGTCGAGGCGGGCCTGTTGATCCGTGGCTGATTGACCGACGATCTGGCCGAGGATGCCCTTGAGCATGGCCTCGTTTTCTTGCTCCCTCTGCTCGATGGAGACTGGTGACCGACGGAGATCGATGAGCTTTAGGATGAAAGTTAGCCAAGCAGCTTCACAAGACAGAATGTTATCCTTACTCTTTGCTCCATGTCTGCAATGATTTCCTTGACATTGGAAATCTTCCGCTTCGCAGCCGTCACTTTATCCTCGTCCATGGCTTGATCAGCCTCCAACTTCTTCTCCTCTGAAGCCATACGAATCTTGCAGCTCTCGATAGCGCGCTCCATATGGGTTGCAGCCTCTTTCCGCATCTCCTCGTCCACCGTCTTCTCTTGTCCGTCATCCTCTTCTCCCTGCTGCTGGACCGAAGCAAATTCCAGAGCCAGCGAGAGCTTGTAGTGGCACTCGGCGACGGAAGGATCCTCAAATGGGACCAGGGTGTTGCGAAGGTCGAGGGCAGTACGCAGATCAGTGACGGCATCGGAGAATCGCTCTCCTTCCAGAGAAATTTCGGCTTGCAGGTCGTACGTGTCGGCAAGGCGCTCCTTGATGTGTTTCAAGTCTGCCGGCAGATCTGAAGACTCGCCCTTGCCCTTGTCCATGCTGTTTTCCTCTGCGGCCTCCAGCTTCTTGAGGTAGAGAATACGCGCCAGATCGAGGACCTCAAAGGCATTCTCAAAGTCATCTTCCTCCTCTTCCTCAGCTTCCTCATTCTCCTCAGCGTCTTCATCGTCGGAGTCGACAAAGTTCTCGTCGCCGGTGAATTGGAAGAAAGGCTTCGATGGCGCGGCGTCCAATTGTGCGCTGACTTCCTTCGCGGGTGTAGCAGCATTCTTATTCACGGAGCTTGAGATAGCGTTCTTGACCAGGCTTTCACCGGTAGCAGCAGACCCAGCAGACTTAGGCTTCGCCGCAGGGGCATTGCTTGACGGCTGGGAATCTCCAGCCACCTTGGACCCCAGCACATCACTTTTGCTCACAGCTACATTGTATAGAGATTTGCCGTACGCATAGAGTAGGTCCGCGTTCTCGGGAGACATTTCTCCGTTCAGTTCGGCCTGGAGCTCGGTGGCCTGTGAATAGAGCTCGGAAGCTGCATTGTGGTCCTTGGTCGCGTCTTTGGCGGCAGCTCGTGTGATCAAGTCGTCTAGCTGGGCGCGCATCTCGGTGGTTGTGGGGGCTTCGATCTGATCAGCCGTCGTGGGCTGTTCGGCTTCAGCCATGGCGAACTTTATGACAGTAAAGAGAGATTAGGATAAGACAAAAGGCAGTTGAGACTGAAGCATGAAAAGAACAGTTGGGGCCGGGTGTTGAAGAGCTGAAAAGATGTGAAGATGTAAAGTGAGGGAAAGCGATAGGAGCGATAAGCTCAGCACTTTGCGGCGCGGTCGCGGCGCGTGTCACGCGTCGAGTCAACTCTTTTGCTGCCAAACCTCCGACGAGCTCAGTCGTGTCCCCGCAATCTCAGTGAATGGGGATCTCTCCTTGATACGACGTTTAGTGATCAGTTATCACCTGTATCACACTACATCTATTGCCTTCAATTGATTCTAGAACCACCATCTCGAGCGAGAACCGCCCACACCATGGATCCAACGTCCACCCCGCGACATCCAGATCGCTTCAGAATGGGCGCTGGAGCTGCAGATCCAATTCCCTCATCTTCACCAGCATTTGCAACACCTGCACGTCCATTTCGACTACCACGAGGCCATGCGCCTCCTACAAAAACTTCCATCCTCCCTATCCTCCTTCCACCCGCGACTCTTCGACCAGTCGCATTCCGTACATTCACCCGCAAGCACAATCTCACAATCTCGTCTTCGGCATTGCAAATTCTTGCTGTCTTCATTGGCAAGAACTGTGGCTCGGGATGGCGCGAAGAAGGATTGGCAGAGAAGGCCCTGGATGAGGTGGCCAAGATCTGGAAACGAGCCGGAGGTGGTGTTATAGTGGAAGAAGGCAAGGGTGCCTCGTTGAAGGCCATCCTACAGACCCTTGAGAGCAGCATGAGTGGAGGACGAGTGGTCGCAGGGAAAGGCAATTCCCAGGACGGACCTGGAAAGTCTTCTGGTCTCGGTGTGGACGCTGGGAGGATGGACACCGGCAATGACCACTCGCAAGGGTCTCTAACGATGAGGGCTGGGGACACGGACGAAGATGAGTCGAAGTTGTCATTTCATCCACGGCACTGGCTCAAGGTAGTCGACGCATTTGACCTTCCACGCTTGACCTATAACGTCGACAAGAAATACTTTGAGGCCCTCAAGTCGAAACCCACATTATTCCCACCGCCGTCACACAAATCTGCGCTTTTCAGAGACCGTTATAACTTGGTTTATCAGCGGCTCTTGCGAAATGAGTCTTTCCAAAGCTCTTTGGGAGTTGCTGGCATGCCATCACTTCAGCGGTCATCGTCAAACCTTGGCATGCAACAATCATACAAGTTAACGCCAATCGCTAACTTGTTAGGACGAAGTGGCACGTCACATCTTCTTCTCGGTCTGCTTTCTGTTTCTCCCACCGGGGACTTGTCATTGGTTGATCTGACGGGGACTGTGGTATTGGACCTCAGCCATGCACGGATGATTCCTGAAGATGGTGCGTGGTTTGCGCCAGGAATGATTGTGCTTGTAGACGGTATCTACGAGGAGGAGGAGATGGTCCAGGGCTCTCTCCTGGGCGGCAATCATGGGGTTGGAGGAGCCATTGGAGGTCACTTTGTTGGAGTATCAATCTGCGGGCCTCCCTGTGAGCGAAGAGATATCTCCCTTGGAACAGGTTCACGCCAGGCCAGCGGCGATGTAAGCTCCAGTGGTGGATTCGGATGGGTCGACTTTTTGGGCACTGGCAGTGAGCGTGCGCAAGGCGCACGTATGAGAAGACTTCAGGAGAAATGTCTTCGCAGTGTTCCCGAATCTACAGAGTCTACGGCGCGACTCAGGGTCGCCATCTTGAATGAGGTCAATCTCGACAATATGATGACTCTGGATGCGCTGCGAAAGGTCTTTAGCACGTATAATGACCTTGCACTCTGCGATCGCCCTCAGACATTCGTCATGATCGGAAACTTTGTGCAAAAGGCAATCATCAACGGTGGAGGTCGTGCCGGAAGTATCGAGTATAAGGAGTACTTTGACTCACTCGCAGTGGTTCTGTCTGACTTCCCAGCCCTCCTCCAACATTCAACCTTTGTCTTCGTCCCCGGCGACAACGACCCCTGGGCATCATCATTCTCAACCGGCGCAGCAACCACGATCCCACGACAGCCAATCCCAGAGCTATTCACATCTCGCATTCGGCGCGCCTTTGCAGCGGCCAATTCAGAGCTGGACAGGAGCCAGACCTCCGAGCCCGAAGGCGAAGCACTATGGACCTCGAATCCAGCACGTCTCTCCTGGTTCGGGCCCGTACACGACATCGCAATTTTCCGCGATGACATCTCAGGCCGTCTCCGACGCACGACAATCAACACCCAACCAGACGAAGACGAGTCCAACGACCCCATGCAAGAAACCCTCGATGCAGCCACAAACGACGCTGTCTCCATCGCCCCCGACCTCGAGCAACCCAACGGCGCCAAATCAAACGGTGCATCACCCATGGCATCAATGGCCCGCAAATTAGTCAAAACCATCCTTGACCAGGGCACTATGTCTCCCTTCCCACTTCAACTACGACCCGTGCTGTGGGATCATTCATCTGCAGTGCAGTTATATCCCCTGCCAACGGCACTGGTGCTGGCTGACGCGGAGGCTGCGCCGTTTTGCATGACTTACGAGGGATGTCATGTGATGAACCCTGGGCGATTGTTGCCTCAGCGCGATGTGCAAGCTGTCAAGTGGATTGAGTTTGATGTGTTGAGGAATCGGGGGCGGATACGTGAGGAGCGGTACTAGGTCTATTGCCTAAGGGGTTGGGATGATTCTTAAGTACAAGGCAAGACTGGCGTTTGGGTTGATGTGTATTGGATGGTTCCGGATTCATGTACTCAGTCATGCATATAATCATTTTAATGTTTTAGACGTATGAAATCACTAAAATGAGAACTGGCGAGCATTCAGTGGTTCAACTTGGTCTTTGGTCTCGAAGATTTATATTCCTCGCAACTATATAATTGTTTTTGTGAATGTTGTTTTAGGTGTCCCATGGATATCATGAGAAGCATCTTAGTGAAGCTTGTCGGATCGTTAACTACAGTACACGAATCAAGGAGTTTGAAGCTTGAAATATTACTGGTCAACGATCGAAATTGAATGTGCTCCAGCACGATGTAGAATATGCGTGTCACATTGAAAGGTCTAGGAATACATTGCGTGAAGGGCAGGCAGACATCCGTCTGCCCAAGATATCTAAAAACAACAAGCCTTGACGGGGAGGTCATAGGCGCTCTCGAGGAGGGCGGATCCCCAGCCCCTTCCATGCATGGCATTAATCGATCGTGATGACATCGTTGTTTGCCGCGGCCTTTTTCTTCTTCGGCGAGGGCGTCTTGGCTTTCGTCTGTGCCGAGGGTGTACGTTTCTCTTGCGGAGGCTTCAATGCAGGTTTCACATTCCCATTTGTAGTCTCCAGAATAGGTTCGGGAACGGGCTGACACGTGCTGAGAGACTCGTGAAGCTTAAAGAGAAGATCTCCAACACATTGGGTAGATGCTCTGGCACCGTCTCCGAGGCCTTGCCAACCATCACCTCTAGCATTGTAGACGTTTTCGCGGACAACCGCCGAGACTTGGTTGGGCTCCACTGGAGGTGGACGGTTGGCATCCTCGAGTAGCCACTCTGTCCGGCCCTTTCGCATATGAGTGGATAGTCGGAACCGACACCTAAGCCGGGGATAGTGAATCTGGAAAGTCGTGGGGCTGCGCACGATAAAGTGCACCAAAGTAGACTCCGACTGGGCTGGTTTCGTGATCATTTGATCCAAGCTGCGCAGGAGGAGGAATGTGTCGGCCATCAAGACGAGAATAGGATCGATACCGACCTCGGCGAAGCGGTGATTGAGTACAACAGTAAGAGACTCTTGGATACGACGGTGGGGACTGGGACTGTCGAAGCTGAGCCCCAAGCGGAGGCGGAAAACGGGTGCGGCCTGTGAGATGACCTGAGGGATATCGATGGGGGCCGATAGTGTGGGTCCAGAGACATTGATGCTGAACTTGGCCCGCAACTTTTTCTCTGGACCGTAGAGGAATGTGAATTGAGAGAGGGACAATGACTGCGGCTCCATGCCCTTCTGGATGAGTCTTTGGAGAACATAGATCATACAGTCGAGGCGTTGCAAACGATCAAAGAGACCGATGACACCGGGTTGTCCCGCTGGCACGATCAGCCGAAGTGCGAAACCGCCTCCATTATCCTGCACGAGAAGATCGGGATCCGTTTGCGAGACAAGGACACCAAGGGACTTGATACGCCGTTGTAGGGTACCGTATGCCACCAAAACTGCAGAATTGCTTTTTTGATCGACGCCTTGGAAGGAGAGACGAATTGTTCTCCCCAAAAAGGAGCCTTTCTGCAAATATGAAGCGGGTAAAGGTATTTGGAACGCCGCAGGGAGCATGGATGGTTGGTAGTCAATGTAGAGATCTGGAATCTGCAAATCCGACTCCAGCTGTAGTTTCTCCAAAGGTGGCTGGAAGCGCACGCCTGAAAAGTCTGTCAAGCATCGAGCGTTGGCATAGATCGCTAGCATACCGGTCAGACCGTATACGAGCTCTGCACACGTAGTGTAATCAAAGCGACGCCCCGCTCCCATCAGATTGCCGCTGACAGCATGCGCCTGGCTTGGACTTGAAGTGCCGTCAGTAGTTGCATACGGCAGCACTGAGCGCCGAGCCTCTGGCCGAAGTTGCACCAGCCACCAATGATCGCCGTCCATGCTGCTAGTTGCAGCGGCGATCCAGCGGTGATCCCATGTTTGATGATTAAAGAAAACCGAGCGGACGGTATTAGGTGGGAAAAGTTTGCGAATGTCAAGTCCCACTGCTCTGGGATTGACGCTGTTTAGGCCAACTGCCTTGGTGCCGGATTCTAGTTCCTCCACGGCAGTGCCGCAGCGCAGGCGAGCGACCCGAGACAATACCTCTTCCACGGCTGACTTGCCCGGAGCTCGGTCACCCTCCAACCGTTCCACCACACTCGGTGTACCAGCGAGCGTGATTGTGCCAGATTGAGGCTCAATGGAGACCCGCAGATGTCGAGTGGTCGTTAGCTGCAAGTCAAGATAACAATCGCTGGGCTCTGATGAAGAGAGCTGGCCTCGTAGAGACAGGACATGGTTGGTAAACAAAAGATGCTTTTTCAAGGTGGTGTATACAGAGGAAAGCACATGGGAGGTATGTAGTGCAATCACGCTCCGAAGGATGCGCTCTATTGAGAGTGCGTCCGTATCGAACTTGACATCAACGCTGTTTGTTTGTTGACCATCGCGCATCCAGCGAAGATTGAGTTGTGGAACTTTGATACTCGGGTCACCGCTACCCCTTCGGACGCCGATCTCGATCCAGCTCTTGGGTCCTGCCCTAGATGGCCAGTACTGAACGACAAGGGTACGATGGAGCAGCTCGATGCGTAATAAATCTGACCATAGCCCTCGGACCAGCTCTTGGGCTTGTCTAAAGAGTGTGTTGACCTTATTTGTTAAGACCAAGCCGTGCAGAAAATTGAAGCACGCAAGCAGGCCATCGTTGAAGAGGATTCGGTTGACCTCAACCTCAAGCTCGTTGAGGATGCGGCCTTTGGGAATTGGGGAAGAGGGGCTGAAAAGGAAGCGAATGTCAACGAAGAAGAACTGAGAGGTCTTCGCCTCTTGCGCAACCGAAAGATCAAGTTCAAATTCCCCAGCCACTGTGAAGGTAACTCGACCATCGTGTACTCGGTATTGTCGCAAGGCGTGTGGTACTTGGTCTTGCAGAATTAACCTCGCACTGATGATACGATTGATCTTGTGCAGTTTCTTGAGAGTTGCCCGCGCGGACAGCGGCTTTGGAGGTTTGTAGCCAAACTGTGACATAACATATTAGCACTTCTAAGCCCCCTCCAGAACAAACCAGTTAACAAATTCGAAACTCACGTCCGGTAGTGAGGTTACCCTGCCCTTGGCGAGGACCTCAAGTGCCGTTTTCAGATCCGGATTGGCCACCTGTGCCCGAACAAGGTCCTGCTTCATTACACCCACAAAGTTCATTGCATTCATATATGCCTGATGCCGAGTGCGAATGAATCCTTGGATATCAATAAGCCGGCTGACCTCTGCCGCTTGCCGGCTCCAATCTGAGAGCACAAGGAGTTTGATAAACTCCGCTCTCTTGGCTTGTCCCCATTCTAGAATCTTGAGCTTCTTATGCATGTTCTGCGCAGACTGGTTCCCGGGGGATTTTCCGGCTGCGCCGGGTGCAGTTGAGTGGTCAGGGGGCACTTGAATGGTCGCCAACTCCGAGATCAACTCTGATAACTCATTCCAACAGTTTTGCACGGCCCGATTGACGAGTGTTCCGAATGGGAAGAAACCTTGGGTGATATGAGGAATTTCGAAAGGTGTTGGAGCAAGCTCTTCGACGTATTTCGTTTTGGATAGTTGATTTGAGTTGTCGGCTTCACGTCCTGCGCCATTCACATGAACCGGTCCGTTTGGGAGGGCATGTCGTTGACTAGACTTTTCATTAAATCCTGTAGAACTCAGGGTGCCGTTGGTAGCCTCGTTGAGACCTGGCCTTCGCACAGTTTCCTCAACGTTGACATTGTCCATGATGACGCCGGGCATGTCTGGCTGGGCACAGGCTAGACAATTCGCCGAAGCAGGCGCGGTTCCTTAGGATCGCCCTGCTCTTCCTGATCCTTCTGCACGACACCGACCGAGCGACACAGCCGAGTCGCTGGTTTTGAGGGTTCGCAACCAGTCGACACAGACGGCAGGAAGGAAAGTAAAGGTTCAAGACCAGGTAAAAGAAAGAACTTCTCCACCCAGTGCCATGCGTATCACTGGCCGTTCAAAACAATGGCCCCGATCATAATCAAGGGGAGCCGGGCGCACGACCAGAGTCCGGGTTGAAAGCTCGTATAGGGATGCGAGCGAGCGGTAGTCGACCGAGCAAAAAGGCCGAGGTAGTGACGGACGCCGAGTTGGAAAAAAGTAACGCTTTGAAGGAGGGGAGGAGGAGAGGCCGTTCGGATTGCGCCGGTCCCTGCACAGTCTCAGATGCGTGTCAAAGGTGAAGAGAAGGTCGTGAAATCAGCAGAGTAGTCGGGGTTATCGTCGGGACCGTTGAGAATTGCGAAGATCGTCAGAGCAGAAAAGGTCGAGCGCGTGTGGAGAGAGAGAGGGACGCTAAAAAGTGATGAAAGTCGAGTTGCCCAAAAGCGATTCGACTGTGAAAGCGCGATGCGCACGCACCGCCAAGCCTGTGGATGCCTGAGTGCCTGGTACTGTCAGGGCCCGGTATCCCCTACATTGTCTGCGGCACGTCCGCCCGCCTTGTTTAATAGATGACGCGGTATTTACGGGTTATATACCGACGATGATCCCCCCATGACCTCACCATCCCGCGGTAACCTAACTATCAGAGCTTCCCCTCAAAGGACCTCCACAGGGTCTAGATTTCGAGGACTCTACAGAACCCAGCGATGAGCTTGCACGAAGCGGAGGAGTACGAGGCAGCTGAGGCAGCTGGTCTGCTTCCACACTATCTCGGTGATGATCCACGGCCAACAAGTAAGCAAGAGCTTGCGGGCTGGTATTGTTATGGCTGGGCAGCGGAGGTCTTTACCGTCTGTGCCATGGGTATGTGTATCACCAATGAATCTGCTCGACCGGATTGGGTCTCGTCATACAATACTCATGCTGGATAGGCTCATTTCTGCCAATTACACTCGAACAGCTAGCAAGAGATCGCGGCGTTCTCCTATCGGACAAAACCACCCCCTGTACCCCAACATGGAATCCTTCGAAAGAAATGATGTCCGGCCACCCAAACGGATATCAGACCCAAGGCTCCGATGCTGGCCAGTGCATCATCTACTTTCTCGGTGCCGAGATCAACACGGCAAGCTTCGCCTTGTATACCTTTTCTCTCAGCGTCCTTGTCCAAGCGATTCTGATTATATCCATGTCCGGTGCTGCCGATCATGGAAGCTATCGCAAGAAGCTGCTAGTCACGTTTGCGTTCTGCGGCGCGACTGCAACGATGTTGTTCCTTGCGGTGGTTCCCCGAGTCTATCTTCTCGGAGGGCTCCTTGCCATCGTTGCTAATACTTGCTTTGGTGCGTCCTTTGTCCTTCTCAACTCGTTCCTACCGGTCCTCGTCCGGCATCATCCGTTGGTTTTGGAAAAGAGCATGGATGTCCAAGACGCATTGGATGCTATTAGCCCGTCTAGAGAGAATGGTGGTTCATTCGGAAATGGATCTCCACGGCCGGATGTTTCCACGCCACTCCTGGCACCTGGCTCGGCGGCCGAAGAGAACCCATTGGGCATCATGACCTCGGTGGAACTTCGCGTATCCACGAAGATCTCATCCTATGGGATCGGTATAGGGTACATCGGTGCCGTGGTCCTGCAGATGATGGCTATCCTGGTGGTGGTAGTCTTTCACCAGACCACCTTTTCCCTACGATTGGTATTATTCATGATCGGGCTGTGGTGGTTCGTCTTTACCATCCCGGCCACTTTATGGCTTCGCGCCCGCCCAGGTCCACCTCTTCTAACGAGTGATGGGAAACCATTAGACTCCTGGGCGGCGTATCTGACCTACTCATGGAAATCCCTGGGGAAGACAGCCATGCGCGCACGACGCCTGAAGGACATTCTGATCTTCCTGGCGGCATGGTTCCTCCTCAGCGATGGCATTGCCACCGTCAGTGGTACGGCAGTGCTGTTTGCCAAAACCGAGCTTGACATGAAACCCGCGGCCCTCGGTCTGATCAATGTGATCGTTATGGTGTTCGGAGTGTTTGGCGCATTCTCATGGAGCTACGTGTCGGGATTACTTGGTCTTCGGACGTCGCAGACCATCATTGCCTGCATCATTCTGTTTGAGATTATCCCGATCTATGGGATTCTCGGGTTCATTCCATCCGTGCAGCGAATGGGGATTGGCCTTCAACAGCCCTGGGAAATGTACCCGCTGGGCGCGGTCTATGGGTTGGTGATGGGTGGCCTCTCCTCATATTGTCGAAGCTTCTTCGCCGAGCTGATCCCACCGGGTTACGAGGCCGCGTTCTACGCTTTGTACGCAATTACGGACAAGGGATCGAGCATCTTTGGACCGGCCATTGTCGGGGTGATCACCGACCGTTACGGCCAAATCCGACCAGCCTTTGTCTTTCTAGCCATTCTCATCTTCCTCCCATTGCCATTGATGCTGCTGGTGGATGTGGACCGGGGAAAGCGGGATGCGCTAGAGCTAGGTGCCGAACTGGACCGTCTATCTGAAACGGCGAGCAACGGGGCCATCTCCGTTGACGCGGAGGAGGAGTCCGAAGTAATAAGGCCTGCAGTGCCTGCAGTGCCTGTAGTGCATGCAGTGCCCGTGGTTCCTGGAGTCGGTGCCTGAATTGTAGATTTCAGTTTTGCTTTGGTGGTCTTCTACTAGCTTTGGGCGAGTATAGCCAACTATAAGGATACGTGTAGAATAGCAATCGGCGTTGAGCCTGTAGATTGGTCGAGTTGCGCAAGCATGAAGATCACTGTAATTATTGATCTACATGATCATCGGAAATAAGAATCATTACGATTACTCTATCCCCTTTCTATGTAGGGTAGAATGCTAATGAATTTTTTTTAATGCAGTGATAGATAGAGACTACGGGCCAAAAGGCCACCGTGTTGACAAGTTCTCAGGACCGACGTGTAACCCACGAGCGTCGTGCAGAACTCACGGGTAACGTGGCCAGAAGCAATTATCTCAATAGTCTACGCTCGTATTGCCGGATTAGATCCGGGGAGGCGGGAAGTATCATGCATGTATCGAGGTACCTGTCGATCGAGGGAATAAGAGGTACAGGAGCGTAACGAGGAGATATCGGAAATATTACAAATCAGATCCTACCATTGGAAAGTATACAGGGTGGCCGTGTTTGACGGTATCCCTAGCTGCCGTAGTGTGGATGCTTCGTTCTACTTACTTGGGGTATGAATTCATTAGCTACTTTCTGATAAGAGTCAAAAAGCTGATTGTGAGCGACTTCCAAGGTTAGTATGTACACTGACAAAATACATCTCAGCCTGAGAAACGGTCCAATTATAAGCATCGGCCTCCATTTTGGCCCCGTCAGCTTGAGCTATCTATAGTGGTAATCCACCTCGTACCAAGGGACTAAGAACCATCAACAAGGGGATGTACAATAGAGTCAAAGGCGATAGCTAAGCTATCACCTTCCTATTCATATGTACGTATACCTTCAATCAGCTTGAGGAACAAGATCGCATAACAAAGCGTCCGTAATCGACTGGGTATCTCAAGTACCCGCGACCTAGCAGGTACTAATGTCTTGGTAGACAGGGACCCCGTTCCCCTTGCTTTTGAGCGCCCGCCCTACATAGCGACCGAGGGGAGCTCCACTCTGGACCTTCTGCAACTCTCCACTCCCGCAGCCGCAAAGAACAAACTGTCCTCTACGACCGGCCCCCGTCCCGTCGTCATTAAATACATACCCGTCCTTCTTCAACCTTTCAACCCCATTCCCTCATTGTATACCAGCCGTTTGGGTAAGCTTCATCTTGATTGATTTTTGTTTTGCCTCTCTTCCTGCCCTGGAGTGTTTTCCCCAATAACCACCGTTCTGTTTACTGTACTCCCCATTGCAAAACATCAGCTAACCCCAACGCGCTTGACTCCATTAGGTGATCACGGCTTTTTTTTTTTAATCCCATTTAAAAATCATCATGCGGTCCTTCGCCCCTCTCATTGTGAGCCTGCTGGGCGCTGCTGCGGCCGTGTCGGCTGCAGAGCCCGCAGCCGATGCTGCTACGGACGGCAATGTCCTCGCGCTGACCGGCGAGACCTTCAACGACTTCGTCAAGGAGCACCCGCTGGTCCTGGCCGAGTTCTACGCGCCCTGGTGCGGTCACTGCAAATCTCTGGCCCCCAAGTACGAGGAGGCTGCTACTGAGCTGAAGAGCAAGAACATTCCCCTCGTCAAGGTGGACTGCACGACTGAGGAGGAGCTGTGCCGGACCTACGAGGTCGATGGTTACCCGACCCTGAAGGTCTTTCGTGGCCCCGACTCGCACAAGCCTTACGGCGGTGCCCGTCAGGCTGACTCGTAAGTGGATTGTCATTCCACTGTCAGATCGTTGGGGATCATTTACTGACCGGTGCGTTCTTCTCTACAGGATCATCTCTTACATGACCAAGCAGTCGATGCCCGCGGTCTCCATCCTGACCGAGGAGACCCTGGGGGATTTCAAGACCATGGACAGCATCGTCATCGTCGGCTACATCGGTACCGATGACAAGACTGCCAACAAGAGCTTCACCGCGTTCGCCGAGTCCCAGCGCGACAACTACCTCTTCGGTGCCTCCAACGACGCCGCTCTCGCCAAGACCGAGGGTGCTAAGCAGCCTTCGATCGTTCTCTACAAGGACTTTGATGAGAAGAAGGCCGTTTACGATGGCAAGCTCGATGAGGAGGCCATCCTGAAGTGGGTCAAGGTCGCCAGCACTCCTCTCGTTGGTGAGCTGGGCCCCGAGACCTACTCCAAGTACATGGCTGCCGGTATTCCTCTCGGCTACATTTTCGCCGAAACCGCCGAGGAGCGTGAGCAGTTCGCCGAGGAGTTCCGCCCCATCGCGGAGAAGCACCGTGGTGAGATCAACATTGTTACTCTGGACGCCAAGGCGTTCGGTGCTCACGCTGGCAACCTGAACCTGGAGCCCGAGAAGTTCCCCGCCTTCGCCATCCAGGAGACCGACAAGAACGCCAAGTACCCCTATGACCAGTCCAAGAAGCTCGATGCCAAGGAGGTTGGCAAGTTCATCAAGAACGTTCTGGACGGCAAGGTGGACCCCAGCATCAAGTCCGAGCCCATCCCCGAGGAGCAGGAGGGTTCCGTGACCGTTGTCGTTGGCAAGAACTACCAGGAGGTCGTCATTGACAACGACAAGGATGTCCTGCTTGAGTTCTACGCCCCCTGGTGTGGACACTGCAAGGCTCTGGCTCCCAAGTACGAGGAGCTCGCTGCCCTGTATGCCGACGTTGCCGAGTTCAAGGACAAGGTTGTCGTCGCCAAGATTGACGCTACCGCCAACGATGTCCCCGACTCCATCACTGGCTTCCCTACCATCAAGCTGTTCCCCGCCGGCAAGAAGAACGAGCCCGTCGAATACGCCGGTTCCCGTACCGTCGAGGACCTGGTTGAGTTCATCAAGCAGAACGGCAAGTACGAGATTGACGGTCTTGCTGGTGGCAAGAAGGCCACCGAGGGCGGCGATGTCACTGCCGTTCCCTCAGCCTCCTCTACCGAGGCTGCCGAGACTCCCGCCGCCTCTGACAAGAAGGAGGAGGTTCACGATGAGCTGTAAATGCGATCTCGTGTGGAAATGAACTTGATTCTTTGCTATAGTTATTGTATCATCACAATCTGAAATGGAAAACCCCCTCGTGATGTCCCGTTGATCAATCCAGTTTTGTAAACGTTGGCTCTTTGTAGATTCGACTTGTAATTTAAAAAAACATATTTTTCACAAAGTTCGGAGAACCAATCGCTATGATCATAATTGAGTCCACACTACGGAGTCTTCTGCCAAGTGGTACGTCTCGTATTCGTGCAGTTAAAATGTGACGGCTCCGATCCATTTGGCCTCCGGGAGGAGTCCGCTTATCTTATCCACGACGCGTTTCGCGCAACGCGTCCAATCAATGCGGCTCGACCTTTCTTCCCACGGACCACCATAATCCTGGGGAATTTCGAGTTCTCATCCAACCCCCCTATATCTATCCTTCTGTCCATATTCCAAGCAAAGCATTGCATGCTACCCATCCTCCGCCTCACTCGCCAATATCACCTCCCCCCGCTCTTCGCCATGGTCAGTCCCGCACTCAAACGAAACGCGGACCACCTCTCTGGCCCGGCGGCCGATAGCAAAAAGCCCAAGGGTGGAAGCATCACCGCTTTTTTCGGGGCGCCGAAGCCCAAGGCACTTAGTACACAGACGAACAGCTTGGATACAAATGGCACAGCTCCAGCGCCGCGGTCTACCTCGTTCAATAAAGAGAAATGGGTGGCTAGCTTGACGCCAGAGCAGAAGGAGCTGTTGCAATTGGAGATTGATACTCTGGACGAGAGTTGGCTGGCACATCTCAAGGATGAAATTGTGACGCCAGATTTCTTGAATCTGAAGCGGTTCTTGAAGAAAGAGAAAGAAGGGAAAGTGAAGATCTTTCCCCCAGAAGAGGACGTGTATTCCTGGTAAGTCAAACCCAGTTCCAAAGCCAGCTAAATCCAGCCATATCCAGCCATATCCATTTGTGACCGTTCTAATACCATGTTCAGGTCCAGACACACACCCCTCCACACCGTCAAGGTGGTCATCATCGGCCAAGACCCCTACCACAACGACAACCAAGCCCACGGCCTCTGCTTCTCCGTCCGCCCACCCACCCGCGCACCCCCGTCCCTAGTCAACATCTACAAGGGAATCAAAAAGAACTACCCCGACTTCGTCCCACCACCCAATAACGGGGGTCTCCTCATCCCCTGGGCCGAGCGGGGCGTCCTCATGCTCAACACTTGTCTCACCGTGCGCGCACACCAAGCCAACAGCCACTCCGGCAAGGGGTGGGAAAAGTTCACGCAAAAGGCGATCGACCTCGTTGCGCGGGTTCGCGGGAACGGAGTCGTGTTTCTGGCGTGGGGGAAACCGGCGGGGACCAGGGTTGCGAAGATTAACAAGTCGAAGCATTGTGTGTTGCAGTCCGTGCATCCGAGTCCGTTGAGTGCTCATCATGGATTTGTGAGTGTTTTCAAACCCCCCGTGTCCGAGGATTTTGGGATGGGATGTATGATGGCTAATGATGCGTTCGCACGACTACAGTTTGACAATGGTCATTTTAAGAAGTGTAATGACTGGTTGGCGGAACGGTATGGGAATGATGGAATTATAGATTGGAGTCTTGTGCCGAGTAAGAAGGCTGTCGTGCCGCCGACAGCCGACAAGGAGAACTCGGCTGCTTTAGCGAACGCCTCCCCGTCGCCGGTAGAGATGAGTGGTGAGACGGTGCAGGGGGATTCGGTCAAATCCGGTCCTTTAGAAGATGAATTTGACGATGATGATGCTCTGGAGGCACTCGTGGCGGCGGAGAAGGAGGAGGAGGCTAAGAAGGTATAAGGAAAGGGGATCTGGTGTGATGTTGTCAATATTGTTTCGATTATCGGGACTTGTAGTATGTGGCATATCCGGTTTTGTATTCACTCGATCAAGGATTTGATGGCGTTGGCAAGATAGGCCTTATGGTGTTTGGTGGGAATTCAACATTGTTTTCGAACAATTTCCATACTTGATTACAGTAGGCGTCTCCAGATATTCTAGACAAGAACATCAGGTCTGTAATTGGCTCCATTGCGATGTAGGGAATATGTACAGAGTACGGAGCAGTATGTGAGCTAATTCTCAATTTCGGCGATGGCAGCTCCACCGAACCGATAAGACCGACCTCCTCGCCACGGCCCGACAGCCAAGCTCAACCATCTCCCGAATGGAGCTCACCTGGCTCGCCGATACACCGCAGTCGCGAACTCGGACGCGGGCCTTGAGAGCCTGTCCGGCCTGCCAGCGTCGTAAAGTAAGTCGACGTCTAATACTACCAGCTCTCTCGCAAGTACTCATCACTTCCATAGAAACGATGCCGACACCTCAGTGCAGGTTCGGAGGTCGAGGAGCATCGACCACCACGGCAAATCCGGGGTGTAGCCACGACGCAATCTTCTAGCAGTCATAACCATGACTTTCACTATTCACACCATCCGCGATCATTTGCAAATGATCCTCCGCGGGCGCAGACTGCGTCTGCCGGCCCGTCTTTGCCGGCTTTATCAAGTACGGAGCGATTCGTGGGTGATTTGAATCCCGAGGCCGTCATTCGCGAACGACTTGACGAGCCGATTGGCAATCCTTTGCGAGACCGTGTCGGGCTCTGGATTAGTTCGCCGGACAGTGCGGACGCGACGCAGACGAAACGATCCGCTGCGAGTACGGACGCTCTTCCAACGGTGCCCTCCGCCGAGGGTGCTCTCGATGGCCAGACCGTGGCTGCCGTTCTCTCACAGCGGTATACATCAGCAATGCAAGCTTGCAGTCGAATTCCCGCCACGACTCGGGAACCCCTCATAAGTCTATATTTCTCCAAGGTCAACCGGATCATCCCCTTGGTAGACCAAACCGCCTTTACCTCCCACCAAAATCAAACACAAGCCCACTCTCCAACCTCGCCATTCCTCGAAAGAGCAATCTGCCTCGTCGCAGCCAAACATCCTACTGCACGTCCTCATCTCCGCCTGACAGAGACCACACCTATAGTCTCACCCCGCCACTTCTGCACAGAAATCTACAAAGGCCTCGTCGCGTCCATGAACGCAAACCTCGAACCAGATCGATACACACGCATCCGAGTCCTGGCATTGATGTCACTGCACTGCGAAGGGTACGAAGGCGCGGAGACCGCGTCCTTGCATCTGTGTGAGGCGATCCATCAAGCTCAAACGGTGGGTTTACATTTGGACCGGCCGGGTCGGGAAGATGGGGATTCGCTGTCGTTGTTGTTTTGGGGGTTGTGGACGTTGGATAAGATGCATGCCAGTTTGGGGGGGAGGCCGGTCATCTTGGCCGATCGGGATATTGGGATAGGGAAGCCTGGACCCAATCTTGGACAGCAGGGGCAGAATCAGAATCACGACCAGAACCAGAGACAGAGGCAAGGGTATACCCCGGTTCGAGGATCTGGGGTATCGCAGGGGGCGTTTCGGGTGTGGTTGGCCGTTTCGGAGTTGCTGGCCACAGTGATATCCTTCTACCGGCCCTCGGCGGGAGTGACGAGCGGATGGGAAGAAGGATTCCCTGCCTTTGAGGATATCGTGGGCGAAGCCGGACAGGGCGATTTAGATTTTGCTACACTCGGTTCGTCCGATCTGACAAACCTCCAACCTCCAACCCTCCAACCCGGCGGGCTGAGAAACTAACGGGTTCCTTTCTACAGGCTTTCTAGAATTATACTACCATTGTGTGGCAATTCTATCTTGCCGATACAAACTCACCGAGCCCCTCGACAACACCAAACTCTCATCCATCCGGCAGGGACTCGCCGCCATCCGAATCCATTCCATCGTCGCATCCGAATGCGCGGGGGATCTTCCGCCGTTACCGATCGTACCGTATGCCCTCTCGCTATCGATGGGCGTGTCGTATCGACAATTACGCTCCAGCAGGTTGATCACACACTTTGATCGAGCCAAAGCTAGTCTAGAGGCTAGTTGCGCTTTACTCGAAGATCTCAGTGCGGACTGGTACTCTGCCGAGGCGATGGCTCGGCTGGGACGAAAGGCATTGCAACAGATTGAGCATGAGCATGAGCATGAGCATGAGCATTCACGGCGGGATACGCCGGAGCCTGTTCAGCTTCAGGCTAGTGTTAGTGGCGCAGTTATGGATAGCAGTGTACAAGCCGTTGATCATGACAATGCCCCGATGATCTCGGGATCCGTGGGTGCAGAGTCTAGTCAAAGAGTCGTGGGGGTGGACTCGGCGATGGCACCGGTTGTGGGTGGTACTGGGAGTGAGGCGGGTTTGGGCAATTCGATGGCAGAAGTGGATCATTCGAATGGCTTGGATAGTGGGATGCATGGGTTTGCAGATATCGATACGTTGTTTGGTGAGTTTCTGGACTTGTCGCTGCCGACGAATTTCTGGGATCCTATTTTCCTGGAGGATGATATGATGGAAGGGTGATATACTCCTAGAGGTATACTCCTAGCTATACTCCTAGCTATACGCAAGAATGTGTATATATATGCAAATGTATACATGCACGGTCTGTACAGTTCTATAAATATAGAACTCAACTTTGATGACCGTCTCGGAGATTGGACGGTCTTGCCCCGCCGATCTCGCGGTCCAGAACCCCGTCGAATTCGTCGCGTTCCCACATTTAGACATTTGAAGACGAATTTCTTTGTCAATCCCTCGGGAGAAAGAAATGGCGATCGGCCCTTTGGCCTCGGTCCCTTCACCACCGTAAGTCGACTCCCTCGTGGACTCGTGGGATTTCTCTATTTCTCTCCCTCTATATATGCTTGGGTATATACTGTACACACATTCGGACTCGTATCAGATTAGGCCCAAATCTCCCTCCAATTATAATGGACCGTCCCATAGGGCAACCATAATTCCATGATTCCACAAATTAGACGGAGTACAGTACACAAGCCGTCAAATCTCCCGGATCCACCGGGCTCCACTCGAAACGGTTTAATTTAACAAACAGAAAAAGTAGTTCAGATGGAGATTCCGAAACGGCATCTCCTCCGATTTGGATCGTTTGTTCGAGTCGTGGCCCCCTTTGTCCCTCGACTAGTTCTCTTCCAGAGTCAACGGTCAAAGTCAGAATAAGACATTCCGCCCCGCGTGTTTCTCGTGAATCGATCGATTGATTCCAAGTGTACGGAATACACACGATCCTGTCCACCGTGCAGTTTAGGTCTCACCGATTCCATTTAATCTATTCAATCTATTACCTTACCCCTCTCGTCTCGTCTCCATTGTTCCCCCCGCCACCGGTCGCGCGACCGTTCAGCCACTTTGGAACTCCTCCTCACGTTTGTCTTTCTTGCCCTTTCATCCCACCCTGACATGAGACAATTCCCTCCTTTCTTACAGATCTGAACAGACGGCACAATTATCGTCAATTTAGGAGACCCTCCCGACCACACTCATTGCTTTTCGATTCGTCCTCCAGCCATCACCGCCCAACCCCTCCAGGTCTGCTATCTACGTGTTTCACATTCGATCATTTTTGTGTGAACTTATCCCGATTCCAGACCTTGACACCACCTGCAACCTGCACGTACGCTTCCACGTATACCCTGCCACCCACGCCTCCGTCCTGCTATTGCAGTATGCATAACGCCCCTTTCGGTTGAATTTGGACCTGGGCCCGATTGCGATTTCTTTTATATCCGGCTACTTTTCTTCGATGGACGGTGGTGTGCAATCTGATTGGGAGGTCGTGCGTTGGTGTTGAGATCAATCGCCCTTTTGAGTTACCATTGTTCGGCTTTCAATTGACCCAGGCGAGGATTGGAGTATACCCGAGAAACGGGGGCCATTCTATATATTCGGGCTTTTGAGGCCAGCGCATACGTCAAACCGGGCATCTATCATTCATGGCCGCATTGGAGGAAACCTCGGGGAATGCCCCCGCTGGTGCTAGTCTCAATTGTAAAGAGCAGCCGGTATGCGCGACAAACACCGACCCCGAACAACGACCAATGTCCTCGACCTCGGCGTCTCCGGTGCATCCCATCTCTCAGCTCCAGGGCCCCTTTGAAGAATCGATAGCCGAAGCCGTGCCCGGTTTGGCCAGTCAATGGGTGGTCGAAATCGATGCGCAGACACGCCGGCGGGATCTACTCGAGAACGACGAGTATGAACGATTGTGCGGGAGGAAATGGCGACAGCGGGCTACTGAAAAGTGGGCAGCAGAACACCCCCGAGACCTGGCGTACGGTCATGCTAACTAGCCTATTTCTAGATACCACCCGTTCTGGAAGCTCGTCTCCCAGATGGTCTTCGGGGTCCACCTTTTAGCCAAACGACAAGCCAAATCACCAGCAGCAGTCATGCAAATCCTCCAAGGTCACGTCAACGAGCTAGACGGGTTTCTCCAGCGAACGACCGAAGACTTCCTGATCATCCACCTGGATGTACGCACGCGCATTCAATACCTCAGCCTTCCACTCGGCAATCTTGCCCTCTTCGACGAAATGCTCGAGGACCGCAACTTTCGACTCGCCCTGGTATCATACAACGACCAGATCGAGCATGCCGTCGAGCGATTCACCCTCGCTATTACGGATGCTCTTAAAGACTTGCATAAAGGAAAGCAGGCTCTGGGTGCGTTGTGGCATTATTTGCAGCAACTGGGCAATGAAGGGTGTTTTGAGACGGATAGTCTCCGGGCGTTTTATCAAGCGATGATGGAGAATATGGAAGGCTGGGTTATGGCTTTGTCTAAGCTTCGGAGACGGGGATCTGCACTGCAAAAGGCGCTGGGTCAGCTTGCGTTTGCGGTTACCGAAATGCAGAGGCGGGTGGGTGTGGCTAGTCGAAAGGACGTGGTGAGTTTGATATCAGACGGGTCAAAAGGCTATACTTGATTGCTAACTTGGTGCAGCGCTCCCTCGTCAAGACGCCGAACAGAGCCCCTTCCCGGACCACGTCTGTCCGACAAAGACTCTTTGCGAGGAGTCCCGGTCCCGGTACACCAGGACGACGACCCATTTCGGAAAAACCACTCCCTCGCGACCCGTTATCAAAACCCAAGTCTCGACCTGCTTCACGAAATCTTGACGATACCCTCATTGCAGAGCAGCGCCATACCGAGTCCCGCCTGCGCAAACCTTCTAGACGAGACAGCATCATGCCCCGAGTCCTCAGCCGTGCCAGATCATGCAGCGCCCTCGAAGGACAACCCGGAACCACAACCACCGATCCCTCCCCACCCCGTACACCATCCCGATTAACCAGAAAACTCTCCCGACCTTTCCTCCCCAAACGCTCCGTCAGCGACAAAACGGATACAAACAACCGACCCTCGACCGCACCAGCGCGAACCCTGAAAACCAGAAGCGCATCGATAGAACAGCTCAAAGCGCTATGGGCAAATGGACGACCACGAACACAGCAGTCCATGGCCAAGCAAGCCCAACCGCCTCCATCCCGCCCACAAACATCTCAACCTAAAGATTCACAACCAGAAGGTCTCGACACGATGAAAGACCAAATCTCGCACTTCCTCAAAACGGACCGCGTCGTCGAGGCGTGGGATAATATAGCCAAAACGGCAAACTGCTGCGGCACGACACTCGCAAAGACCAAAGAGTGGCCGAGTAGTATCTTCCGCACAAAATCCTCCGAGAATCTCCATGCTGGAGCTCGTCACGAACGTGGAAGCGGAGCTGGTGCTGGTGCTGGAGTCTCAGGCACAGATCTACAACGACAAATGTCCTGGATCCAAGAGCCCGAATTCCTGAGTACGTACTCGTTCAAACAACGACCGGCGATATCCCCACGTATCCACGTGTTGTCCGTCGCTATTGACGACGAGCTGGAGAAGAGTTTCGAGGATGCCGTGAGCATGAATATGAGTATGAATGATGATGCCGGTGAGACGGGGTCGATTATTACGGCGTTGCCCGCTGTGCCGGCCCCCACGCCCGTGCCGGTTCCCGTGGCATCGACGGCGTCCGTAGGTCTTCCGTCCAGTGCGGAGTATAGACCGCGGGCTATCGGGGCTCAAGCTTAGGGGTTGTTTTTCTTTGAATTTGATGCGGGCTAGCATCTCGTCTGCTCATTTATATCATGCTGTCCTGTTCGACTCTCGTATTGGTCTTGGTACGATACCTAGGACTGGTTTCCTTGGGTTTATACCGATATCTCTATCGTCAGCGGCGGCATCTTACTGGGGTCCGGCAATCGAGATAACAACTGGCTGGCTCGTTTTTGTTTTACGCATTATACATAGTTGAGCTTTTATACCCATTCTGTACTCTGTACTACGCAATATCATTTTCTTGTAGCATTCATTTCCATCATAGGACAAACCATAAAATTTAAGAATTCACCGTGGTAGCAAGATAAGGGACATACTCCAAGACAAAGACAGGGAAAAGAGACCAAAAAAGAAGTCCCTTGACAGGAAAAATACCGGCAGATGGTAGGTAGAACGGAAGAAAGGCAGATATCTAGAAATCAAATTTCAGACTCTAGCATCGAGTCTCCAAAATCCGCATATTCATTTCGTACTTCTCGAAGACAAAAAAAAAAAAAAAGGGCCCCGGCAAGCGCCTCAAGCAAAAGTAACTAAAACGCCCAACATGATCAAGTACCACGAGTCAAAAAAAAAAAAAAAACAAAGAACAGAAAAAAGAAAGAGAGAGCAGAGCTGCATGGCGTGGGACACAGGGCCCACATTCACAACACACATGAACGCCCTTGGCCAAGCGAAACACACGTCAAAAATGAAGCGTAAGCATACAATGAAGCAGTGCAAAAAAAAAAAAAAAAACAAAAACAGGCAGGTAAAGCATTTCGACTTTATTTGCATCGTTTCTCAACAATGTTGGCACCATGCTCGTCGTACTCCTTCTTCGAGATCCACATTTGATGGAAAGTACCCAGACTGGCCAGGATGCTACCACCGATCCACGAGCCGAAGCGACGCTCGGCGGTATTTCCGGGTGCGGAGATACGCACGCGAGGACCGGGGAAGAGCTGCATCAACTCGTGGTTCAAGCGATCCGTGAATCCGTACAACAGACTAGAGCCACCGGTGACGACGACGTTGGCGAGGAGGTGGGGGCGGATATCGACATCGACGCCGCCGAGGGAAGCCTTGATCAGTTCGGGGAGGGTTTGGGCCTGTGTGGGAGCGGGGATGGGCGAGTCGGGGTCCGGAATAGCAGCCTTGACATCGAAGAGGGACTCGACGACGCGGAAGCGGTCGACGCCGAAGAGTTGGTTGTAGCCATCAGGGAACTCGAAGGGACGGCCGGGCGATGAGCGGGCCATTTCTTCGTTGGAAGCACCGGTGGGACCGGTGGCGGAGAGCTTGTTAGGTCCTGGCCAGACCTGGACGACGCATTCCTTGAATTCGGCTAGAGTGCGCTCCTCAAGGAGAGCCCGGTAGGTAGCGTCGGGAGCCTTGTCGGCGGCGAATGTCTTGTACTTGGCCTGAGCGGGCTGACCGGCTTCAACGGCGGTCTTGGAGCTGATCAGGTAGTGGGGGGTGATATTGATGGGCTGCGGAGAGTTCTTTTTGAATAGCGCACGGGTCTGCGCTGAGATGTAGTCGCCGCCAAGGGGGGAATGTTGCACGCCACGCTTGAGGACCATGCCGTCGTGGACTGGAGTGATGGAGATGTTTGAGGCGCCAATGTCGACGACCAGACCGGAGGCTTTGCCAGATGCGAAGCTATATCACGATAAGGAATCAGTTCAGTGCACCAATTGCAAAGGCAATTAAAAAATTGACAGATGAAAACTTACGCAGCAAGCACACCGCTACGCGCCAGATAGAAAGCAGGCGTGCCCCATTTCTCCATCGCAATTTCAATGGTCTTTTCACGAGCCTTGGCCGGATTCCAGGCGGGCTCGGTCATGAGTAGCGGGCTATCCGCGAGGGGCTTGTCATCCGATTCCACCTCCATCTCTGTGGGCAGCTCTTCGGCGGGGATGTCGTTCAGGCCATTGTTGAAGGGGTTACCGGGCTTCACACCCGTAAGTCGCGAGGTAAAGGAGTGTTCCCAGACCTTCTCGGCCATGTCCCAATCTTCAACGATACCATCCTTGCCGATGGGGTTGTGGATGGAGAGGCCGGGGCGCGGAGTCACGTAGATGTCATCACCAAAGATGAATTTTTCTTGGCCGTCGGCACTGTATTTGGCGTAGTATGTGGGAATCAGGGACTTGGGGGCATCTTCACCGGCGAAGCCAGCGCGAGTGGTGGAGTAGCCTGGATCGAGGACAATGGCGGAGACTTCATCTGTACGCGTCGAGAAGACATGTTAGCATCTGCTGGGATGAGGCTGGCACTTTAATGTACGAATTGAGGATTCACAGTAGCAGCGCGAAGCGATCGGGGTCAGTCGCATCGCGAAAAGTACGTACCTCCACCATACTCGGCAGCTTGAGGCGGGTTGGAAGGGTTCATGGTGATGGCGCAAAGGGTGTGAGATCAGAGGTCACAGCAGGCCCGAGAGAATTGTTCAATCTACCGGTGTTGACAATTCAAGACCAGACCATGCGCGTGGGACAAAGAGGTGGTAAGGAGAGAGGAAGGGCGGGTTTCTTTTTGGTGCGGGAGAGAGACAAGCAGCTTTGGCGGAGAGAATGACTGGCTGCCGCTTTGAGCTTGGCAGATGACCTCACCTTGCGCTCTTGTCCTTTCTTCTTCTTTCACTTCCACTCCCGGGATTTAACATTTTGCATTTGACACGGTACAAACTATGGATACAGAAGTCGATGCTACACCTGAGAATCTCTTTCGCCCTGCCAAGCGACGCAAGTTTGCCCGGCGACGCCAAGATGACCCCGAAGAAACACCCAGCGCCGCTGTCGAATCGGTAGCTGAGGGCTCTGACAAACCTCTTCAAGCTACTGAATCCAAACCCTCGGATGATGCTGATGACTCGACACATGCGACCGGTGTGGTGCGTCTACGTCGGCCAAGGACGATTAGAAAGGGAGGCATTGGATTCTCTGCCACAACGCGACCATCAGGCAAAGACGACAACCGCCAAATGGCGCTGATCGCGGGGGAAGACCAGGAAAAGGAAACTATCCGGGCGATGGACGACCGTTTTCAGATGTACACTGGGCAGGCGGAGGATGTGGACAGGCACATGTACGAACTTATACCCCCATCCTGCAGCAATGTTGGAGCAATGCGGACTAACAAGATAAGGATGGCATATATAGACGCCGAAATGGCTAAACGCTACAAACGTAGCCCGCTACCAGAGGGCTCGCCGGCTGATCAACCGGACTCACAATCAACGTCCGGCGCACGATCAACACAGGGCCATCAACAAGAACGCCTCCCAGCATCACTGGGCAAGCTACATGAGATCGATCTCGGACAGGAGACGAAGCTGCAGAATATTGCCCGTACCGAGGCAGCAACACGCCGGCTTACTGGTGATGAAGACTCGCCTGGTGGACCAGCAGATCGTGTGGACGCCCCAGGGAAATCCTGGCGCAATCGCAAGCGCCGCACCAGCGCGGATGTCGAGCGTGACCGGCTGGTGGAAGAAATTCTACGAGAAAGCAAACGTAAGTCTTACGCAGCTGCGAAATACTTTATCAGTCTTGTGACGATTTGCTAATCCTGTCTCATTAGTGGACGTCTATGATGAACCGGTGGAGGAACCGCAGGCTGATGACCAAGCCGCAGATGATCGTATTGCAGAGCAATTCCGACGAGACTTTTTGGATGCGATCCAGTCGCGTCGGAGGACACGCACTACCAAGACGGTCAGTAAAACTGAGGCACCAAAGGGACCCAAGCTGGGAGGAAGTCGCAGTGCACGAGCGGCGATGCGGGAATCGCAAGCCCAGGCAGGAAAGAAGTGAGCTAGATCAGGGTTCAGAGAATTATTGTTGGTTGGAATGTGTAGACAGATGATACATATATTTTCCCCAGGTCTACATTCCGGTGGAGCTATAGTCAACTGGCAGCCATAATGTCGGTCACCATATGCGGCTACTTGTAGTTATTTTGTAGGGAGAGCTTATTAAGACCATACAGTTTACAATAAAAAAAGGAAAAAGAGGAAGAAGTAAAATAGAATTATGCACTCCAGAAATCGCATTTCCCAGATAGATGTTGAAGGGAAAAAAAAAGACCAAAAAATGCTCACTGCCAGATTTGAACTAGCGACTTCGTGATTACTAGTCACGCACTCTACCAACTGAGTTAAGCGAGCTGGTACTTGATGGAAGGGGGTAATTTTTGCATTATTGGGCAAAAACATAATTGTCACAGCAGTACACATAGAATGAGAGATATGTCCCAGCGTTACATCCGAATGAGTCGCTTTGGTCTTGCATAAAAATAGACCCCGAGGAGCTATAATGTTTGTTCCCTCATATTCTCATCGTCCACGCGACATTCTGTATTGTCTATCGAAGATCCATCACGTGAAAGCCATCTAACGAGTAAGATTCCGGTCTTCATTAGTTGATTCCCACCATCGAGAATGCCCAACTACACCTGTTGTATCATATCTGACAGATGGTTAGAGGCCTTTGGGATAATTAGTACGTGGTGCAACCACTTTGATATTGTATCATGGAAAAATTCCCCATGAATCTTGACAGAATGAAGAAGACAGTTGTCTAGGATAGGCGGCTTCCCGAAAGGGCTTGTCGAATACTGTCCGAAGGTTTGGTGCTGTCTGACTTTGCGAGATGTAAGCCGAGTATATTTTTGGAAGATCTGCCAAGCGCGAGGTCCCAAACGCCACATCCCAAATGACGGAGATGGCTCACAACGGTAAACGGCTGACAAGCGCCCGGACGATCGATGGGATTATCCTGCATACTCTAATACAGGATTGAGGGTGGACGGACTGCATACAGTATGAGGCCACACGCTATATACGCAGTACTGCCTGCAGTGTGCATGTCATACTGTATCTAGTGTAAAATGACAATACCTGTTCTGTAGTGAGTTGAGATACCGGTTGCCGTGAGACACAGCATATCAATGGCAGTCAATCGCATTCTTCTGGGACCAGGAAATTGACGGCGCTTGGCCGTGTCTCAGGTTGATAGGGCTTGGGGCCACTTGAGGGGCGGAAATGGGACGATGAAGTAGTATGGACGGGTTCCATTTAAGTTTTTTTCTTTTTTCTTTACAAGACCAGAATGGCCATCTGGTGGAAATGATTTCGACCTTTTTTTTTTTTTTTCTTTTTTTTTGGACGGAGGTTACTTGAGTACCGGTTGACAACTCGAACGATGCTAATCATGGGAGTAAGGAAGGGTCTCGTCCCGGATCGATCGCAGAAAATCAATGTCCAGAAGATTGCTCCATTTTCACAACTGTGCGAGGATTGATCCACCAGAGCGTCTAGAACAGGCCTTCCTGGGTTAGCGATCGACGTGTCTTCGATGTCTAGACTGCAAATTATGTGGCGAAACCTGTACGTGTACGGGAACTGCAGGAAGAGCTCTCAAGTTGCGTGTCTCTGGTATGTACGTAAACGGAGTACACGTATTGCGTGTTGCAAATCCAGGGTGTCCATGGTTGTGCCCAGTCTCAAGTTTCAGCCCGAAAGAAAGATCCGTGGGCGGTGGGGGGCTGAGGGGAGGCCGAGGCAGCGGTGGCCATGCAGGTACGGTACCTTGCGTTTATCACCATTTCAAGGTAAGGTACCGTAAATATCTTTCAATACAGTACAAGCATCACGGACGGAGTACAGAGTACGGAGCACTGCCCCTAAGAGTCCCGCGGTTCCAATTACGACCTGCGTATATATTATTATCCCCGTCACACTGGCCGTGGCTGAAGCGTGGCGCTGGACTGGAGCCTTCATGCCCGTATTTAACATTATTAGTTCTGAGATCTTGACCAATCCAAGAGTAGTCAGGGCGGCACAACCGTGGGAGCTCGACTCCGGCCCGCTGGAGCTACTCCACTAGGCCAACCCAGAGTGTTCTTGGTGATGGTAAACAATAAGTTGGAGATGGAGCTGGAGAGTGCAGTATTCGAAGTTGTGATAGTAACAGAAGAGGATAAAAATAATAGGGTTCGATCCAATATTAATACTCGAGGATATACACTAGCAAAGGTATAATTAGAAAAAGATGAGCCAAAACCGATGAGAGGAGGAGGAGTCTAGACTCTGAAACGCGCCCGGGCCAATCAGCCCTGCTTCAGGGGCAACTTGGGCCCCCTCCTCTCTCTCTCTCTCTCTCTCTCCGTCTCTCTCTCTTTCTCTCTTTCTCTCACTTCACCAAAACTAATCACTCGCTTCTCTTCCGAGACTTTCTTTTATCCTCCTCCACTATCCCCCCGGTCGCTTGCATCTAGACTCTTTTGCATTGCTATATTCATTTTTCACTTACCCTCGTTGGATGCCCATCCAATCTCGTTCGTCTCAACAAGATCCACCACCATCTTCCCTCGCTGCAACTACGTCCGTTTCGTTTCCAATCTCTGTTCGATTTTTTTCTCCTCGCAGGTTGACCCTGCTGAGTCTCCTTTTCCACAACAAGGAATCCTCTCGTCTCCGATTTGATACTTCCGAATTACGCGCTTCCATATCTCTCACTTGAAACCCTCGTTGATGTACGCGCGCGCTACCTCAACCAAGATCGCCTGGTAATTTGTGCGAAACTCGGCCCCTCCAGATCGACTTTGGTCAGATATGCGGACGACCATCTGGGCTCTGCTGGGCCTGGGTGTTGTTCTACCCCAGGCTCTAGCCTCCGACACACTAGGCACTTCGGGCTTTACTCTTTGCATGCAGGATTCGGAGATTGAAGTGCAGAAACTCGATGTCACCTATACTAAATCTACCAAAGAAGTTGTCTTCGACGTGGCTGGTACCAACTCGAAGGAACAAAATGTCACTGCCACCCTAACGGTGACCGCCTATGGCTCTCAGATCTATTCGAAAACTTTTGATCCTTGTGGGACTGAGGTCCATGTTGCAAAGCTGTGCCCTGGTAAGGAAAACCCTCTGCATTGAATGATTCCATTCCGTCACCATACCATCAAAATTCGATCACGAATTTCATTCTACAAAAGGCATGCATATGCTAATTGCTCCTCATCTCCAGTTCCATCGGGTTCCTTCAGTGCCAAGGGCGAAATTGCCGTTCCCGACGAATATGCAAGCCAGATTCCCTCAATCGCTTTTAGTATTCCCGATTTGGACGGCCAGGCCAAGCTGACTCTCACCTCGGACGGCAAAGACGTGGCCTGTGTGGAATCTACACTTACTAACGGTAAATCCGCTAGTGTGAAGGGTGTCGCGTGGGCATCGGCCGGTATTGCGGCGGGTGCATTGGCTCTGAGTGGTCTGTCTGCTCTCGGTAGCGCTGGTAGCACCGGTGCACCCGCCTCCAGCCCGACGGCCGGTGACGTGGTGGGATGGTTTGGCTCATTGGCTATGAATGGCATGTTGAGTGTGAACCACCCAAGCGTCTACAAGAGTTTCACCAAGAATTTTGCCTGGAGTACTGGGTTGATCCCATGGTCCAGCATGCAAAACTCCATTGATTCCTTCCGAAAGGCTACCGGTGGAAACACGACCCACGAAAGCTATATCTATCTCTCCGGCCTGAGTACCGCGTCGGAATCGAATGGAACCTCCTCTTCGAAGCGCAGCCTGGATCTCGTATATCGTGCGGTAAACTTGATCGCCCGGACGGACTCGAGTTCCAACAGCAGCTCCTCGGATCTAACCGACTGCGGTTCCTTGAATTTCTCCACCATTAAGTGTTATGGAGAAGAGCTCATGATTCCCTCGGCCAACATCTTCATGACCGTTCTCCTTGTCTTTGCCATCGTTGTCGCCGTTGTCATTGTGGGTATCCTTTTGCTCAAGGTTATTCTCGAACTCTGGGCGCTGTACGGCAACTTCCCCAAGAAGCTCGCCACTTTCCGGCGAGACTACTGGGGTCTGATGGCACGTACCATCACCAACATGATTCTCGTCCTCTACAGCGTCTGGGTCTTGTACTGTGTGTATCAATTGCGGAATGGTGACTCGTGGGCTGCCAAGGTTCTAGCTGCCGTGACCTTGTCCGTCTTCACAGCGCTTCTGGCGTTCTTCGCCTGGCGCATCGTTTACCTGGCTCGCAAGTACAAAAAGGCCGAGGGCGATACCACGGGTCTGTACGAGAACAAGGAAACTTGGCGCAAGTACAGTCTGTTCTATGATAACTACAAGAAAGATCTGTGGTGGCTGTTCATCCCGGTGATCGTGTATGCCTTGGCCAAGGGATGCATTATTGCTGGTGCCGAGGGCCACGGCATGGTCCAGACTATCGGTCAGTTGGCTATTGAATGCTGCATGTTGGCCCTGCTGCTGTGGAACCGGCCCTACGCCACCAAGTCCTCGATGGGTATCAACATGACTATTCAAGTTGTGCGCGTCCTGTCCGTTGCCTGTGTGCTGGTCTTTGTAGAGGAGCTCGGTCTCTCCCAGACTACCAAGACCGTGACTGGTATCGTGCTGATCGTCGTTCAATCCACTCTTTCGGGTGTTCTTGCCATTCTCATCGCCATCAATGCTATCATTGTCTGCATCCGGGAGAACCCTCATGCCAAGAAGCTCCGTGAAGCCGGTATGTGCAGACAGTCCGAACTTGAAATCTTGCTCCGATTATTTGCTAACGTGCTCACCTCCTTTAGAAAATGCCAACAAGGACCTTGACGATCTAACCCCACTTGATGCACGCGAGTCCCTTCTGATTGACCACCCACCCAAGCGCGATTTTACCGAGATGAGCAAGTTCAACTTCAACGCACCCTACGAGGCATACCGGGACCACCCAATCAACCGATCCAACTCGAATGGTAGTAATGACCGCCTGGTGTACGCCGACTATGGTGTCGCACATGGTCGCAGCCACAGTCACGATTCCCGGTCTTCACTCGAGGGCCGGAAGCCAACTGCCCCCGGCTACGGCATGGCCTATTAACGTCACGACGCCGCGTCATTGTTGAACTTGTTTCTCCTTTCTCATTCTGTGCATACCCCTCGTCGTTAAAAGACTAGCGGAGATGCACATCTTGCTTCTGTCTGATTTTATTTAGCGTGTTTCCATGGCGGACGGAATCTCTTGTCTCTGATCATACTTGGTCCTCTCACCCTTCCTGGAACGTCTAGACTTGACCAATTCTTCGCCCCTGTCTTTTGACATTCTTTTTTTTACCACCATATTCCCACTCTCTTACTCTCTTTCTGACCATACGCTCTGACTCATCCTTTCGACACTTCTTGTCCTCTATCTTGATCTTGCTCACCGATCGGCCCGGATCCCCCCACCTTCTTTCCTCTCTGAACCACGTTTCAGCGGCTTTTTCTTGTCCATTGCTAGCTTGGTGAAAAAATGTGTTTCTTTCTTTCTATTTTCCTTCTTGTACATGTTATATATTTTGCTTATATGCATACATCAATTGTCAATTATTCACAATTACTTTGTTTAGGCCCTCGGGTAGCACTGTATCCTCGTTAGTGATGTGCTGATGATCTGTAGATCTGCAGATCTATAGATATTGACTTTATGATGTCAGTCCTTAATAGATCTTCCATATACCAACTAGATAGCAAAAGACTACATTCCCTCACAACCCTTTAATAGCAAGTATATCCACAATCCAGACCGTGTCTTAAAACTATGTTACGTAAAGTGTCCGGCGGATCTGAAAACCTCAAATACCATACAAAATGCAAATTTCTCTGAACACCTAAAGCTTACAACATAGGCTAGAAATACATGGAAGTTTTACATACTCGGTATACAAGATATTTTTGTCTAGGTCCAGAGGTGTCGAGATCAAAACACAGTAGAAATATATCGCTAACAGGTTTAGAGCGTATGCCTGGTATTCCAGGTACATGCCAATTCTTATTTCGGCTGAGGTATATCATTCATAATGCTACCAAATCGTACTATGCTATATATCAAGCAAAATATACTCTTCGCTGCTGAGATATGAGAACCTGATAGATCCTACCAGAGTATGGCGTGTTAGGTAGCTCAGGACAGCCGAGTGTTCAGATCCGCTGGGATTGGCGTTATGTACTTATTCTACGATACGAGTAAAACATAGCCCCATCCACGACCAATCTGTCACCCCCGATGCAAAAACATAGAGATACATCCCATTTTGATAACTCTGGACAAAGAAATTGAGAAAAATGAAGAGGAAACCACCACCATGCCCCTCGCATATCTCTCGCAGATTCCCGTAGAAACGAACAAGGGAACAAAACGAAGTAGAAGAAACACGGACGAGAAGAAAAGCCCGGAAAGCCGCACCCATAGCCCTGGATGTTCCTTTTGAAATGGGATACCAGGAACAGGAAAAGAAATAGGAGTAGGAAGATGGATAAGAATAAGCACACGGAAAGTGTAGCATGTAGCGGGTGGCATTTGAAAGAATAGCAGCACAGAACAGTAAGTTCCAACTTCAAGTCCAGGGCCCGGGGTCATGTTCATGGATAAGTATAACAGGTGACAGGTGGAAGAGGAAAGAGGAAGAAGAAGGAAGACATAGCATAGAAGAAACAAGAAAAGAAAACCCCATAACCCCAGGCCCCGAGGAAGCGGGACTAGACTAGATACTCCCAGATGTCCTCCCGGATACGATCTGAATACAGGCACAGCCAAGCCTAAGCTGGTCTTTTTTTTTTTTTTTTTCTTCTTTTATTACCGAGAATAAGGATGGAATCCACGGTGTCCGCCACGGCCGCCGCCGCGGTAGTTTGCGCCGGGCTTGCCGGCGTTGCGTGGGCCCGTTGGGGCGTTGGCGGGGGCGGCGCTTGGTTGGGGGGTTGCGCCTGTGTATAGAAAGAGGGAAGGGTATGTTAGTAAAGTTTGACTATAAGGGAAAAGAATAAGAGGGCGAAATGCTGTACATACCACGACCCATGCTACCACCACGAACCATACCCTGCGGACCGGTGGGGATGTTCGGCTGAGGGACCTCGTCATACATACCCTCCCATGAAGTCGGGCCACCCTGCTGATATGGCGAGTAACCGCGGCTGGGATCGATCACGCGGCGCTGCTGTTGCTCGTATTTCTGCTGTTCAAAGGCAATTTGTTCCTGCGCATTGTAGCCCGGTCCACCGGGTTGTTGGCGGTTATATCCCGCGCCGGGACTGGCGCCGTCACTACCGCCTGCTCCGCCCTGTTGGCCCTGGGGTTGACCCTGCTGCATTTGCTGCATCATGGCCGGGTTCATCATATTGGGCATGGCCTGTTGAGCGCCGGGCGAGGCCGGGTTCGGACTCATACCGCCGGGCTGCTGTTGCCCCTGTTGCTGGGCACCGCCCATCTGCTGCATCTGCTTCATCTGCATCTGCTGCATTTGCTGAAGCATAGCCGGATTCATCGCGCCCATGTTCATTTGTCCACCGCCCATGGCCATCTGCTGCTGCATCATGGCAAAGTACTGCTGCATACGCTGCCAATACTGTGCCATCATTTGCGGTGTCATACCACCCGCCATGCCCTGCTGTCCAGCCCCAGCACCACCCTGCTGTGGGCCCGAATCCCCGCCCTGATTCATATCGCGGTAGTTATCGCGACCGCCGCGGCCGCCGCGGTTCTCGTCCCGCAGGTTACCACGTGGCTGGGCTTTCTTGACTTCGATGGTTTTGCCGAGGATCTCGAGGGGGCGGGAGAGTGCGTTCTCGACCGCGGCTTCGCTGTCGAAAGTGACGAAACCGAAGCCGCGGGGGCGGCCGGTGTCCTTGTCGATCATGAGCGTTGCGTCGATGACGCGGCCGAATTGGGTGAAGAATTGTTTGAAGTCCTGTTCCGTGGCTTCTTGGCTGACGCCGCCGACGAAGATTTTGCTCGTTTTCTCTTGTTCGTCGCGAGGGATGGCGCGCTTGGGATCGATCTGGTGAGACGTTGTTAGTTGGATCTTTGGAGAAGACATGTCATTTCATGACGATAGTTTCGGGGAAAGAATGGAAAACAAATGATTTGTCGAGTTCCTTCTACCCCGTTACAACGACATCGTCCACGGTTTGACTTACGATCTTGCCATCTAGGTAATGCTCCTTCACCATGACCGTGTTGACAGTCTTGGGGTCACGGAAAGTAAGGAAACCGAAGCCACGAGAGCGGCCGGTGGCGCTGTCACGCATCACAGTACATTCCTGGACCTCACCGAATTGCGAGAAGTAGTCACGAAGAGATTCTGTATAGGGGAAAACCCAGCGCGGTTAGAATTGGGGTCTTTACTCCATTATGATATTCAAAGTGGATCATGTATCATGGAGTCATGCTCCTCTGAGGACATGTAATACGTACGATCTGTGGTCTCCCAGTTCAATCCACCAATGAACATTTTTCTATAAAGGCCTGTATTAGCATTGTCTGCTAGTACGAGTCGAATCTCGAACGACAAGCAAATTGTAACATGATAGCAGAGGTCTCGGAAGGAGAATGTAGATGGAAGGGTAGAATGTAAGTGTCAATGTCAATGTCAACGTGTCTGAGTGCTTTCTGAGTGCTCTGGCTAGGGAGCTGGGTGGCGCTAAGCTGCTATTCACGAATACAGCTAATGCTGCACTGTCTGGAGATAGGCCAATTTCATGTCTGATGCAACTTCGGAATTCGGAGCCTCGAAGGCAAAAGACTTGAACTCCTTGTCCTGCCCACGGAGTTCCCATCCTGCAAGGTATACGGCGACTGCGTTAAACATGGAAAGCTTCAGGTAGCGTGGCCCCATGTACCCCAAAGGAAAATTCCACCCATTTGGTTTACATGAGCATTGAGTCGTGAGTCCCGAGTCCCGAATCGAGCGAATATTTCCATCTCTTGATCTGGGCATGCTCTGTGGGATACTCCTGGGCCACCGAAGAAACTGAAACCAGATGGAAGACTGCGGTAGCGAGAAGTGGGTTTCAGGCGAAGAAGTGAATTGTCACTGTATCTCTCTGTCTCTGACTGTGCTCCTAACAGAATGTTCCCCAAACTGGAGCATGGGGTATGGGAAAGGCCTCCACCAGACGGCGTTGTTCCTTCTTGCTCTGTGCTCTATCAACTGTATCGACAAGAAGCTATATAGTATCCGCTGTACTATATGGTGGCTCGCAACAATTGGTCTGTGGCAGATGCCGATCTGTCTCCCGTAGTTTCTTCTTCTCTTCGGTTGTTGACAGCTTGATGTGCTCTGCCTGCTCTCCATTGTCTGACAGACACCGCCGATGATGACTTGCGAAGAAATTGATAGAGAAAGAAAGTAAAGCTTTTTCCAGAAGGAATGCCGGTGACCTTGGGACAAGATAAGATTATCCCACACATTTGTCCGCCCGCTGAGCTCATATGACTTGGCCGCTCATGTTCCCTCGCCATTGACCATGTGCAAAAGCAGTCTCCCCAGGACTGTAACCTCTTCCCATGACCAGGAAATATCATAGCATTGCGCATAGCATTGCGTAGCCAACCAACTCCCAGAACGGTGTATTGTGCACCGTGAATAGCATCCAACGCCACCGAGACACACCAGTAATTGACGGAGGGGAGATAACACAAAGTGGATTAAGCATCATACAGGGCAAATTTCACTTACCCGTCTTCTTTGATTCCCGTTCCTGATCTGGACTCTTCGTGTTCCACCGGGTGTCCCACCGCAGAGTGCTGGGTGTGGGCATGATCCGCCCCATTGTAGCCACCTGCGCTGTAGTCTTGCTGGGGAGCGGCGTATGTAGGGTACGTGTCCACGGGCGAAGGGTCATAGCTCGGGACGGCGGACTCTTGCGCAGGGACTGCTGCCGGGACAGGCTCAGCAGGCTTTGGAGCCTCCACTGCGGAAGTTGCACGGTTTGTGGATTCGTCGGCATCGTAACTGAGAGACGGGAATTAGCCGAGTGGTTCTTAAAGTGAAAGGTACACACGATTCATACAGATCCGCGAAGAGATCGTCCTCGAGTCCCTCCTGGTCAGCCATGGTGCTGAGGGGTTAGTGGTTTGGGTAGAATAGCAATGGAATGGAAGGCGAGTCAAGACCGATGTAGACCGTTGGCGATGGGAGAATCGGGGTCTTGGAAACGTCCAGAATGCGTGGGTAAAGAGAAGTTGGAAGTTTGTCACGAAGCGAAGGGAGGGAAAGCGGAGGAGTAAGTGGCTTACATACGCACGGCTGCGTCGCCAAACGGCCAGCCTTGGCTACCAACAACTACAACGGACATCCATAGCTTACTTCTGATCACGAGTCTATTGCTCTGAGCTCATTAAGTAGACTTCGCAGTTCAAATTACGCGTAGTTCGTCTTCAATTGACAATTGAATTCGCTGCTGCGTCTCTTTTAACTAAAGAGGCCAGGATACTTTAGGTAGGCGGAAACCAAGGCGGTCAGGGTCATATCCCGTATCCTGAGGAAAGTGGCTGCGACTGGCCGGTCGTCTAGTTGCCGACGTCAACAACTACAATACCTCTCGACCTTTCACTCACTTCCTATTCTGGATCCTAGTCATTGAATTTCGGCTCATGTTCTGTCTTGCAATGTATCTCTAAATTTGGCTCGTCACATGGCCCCCTGGCTGGAGGAGAGAACACGACAGATATCCCTGGACCGCCCCGCATTTGAAAGCCGCTGAGATCACTCGAGCTCGACCATCACAGCAGTAACAGCTATGGCGAACAAAAAGGGTCAGCAGGTAAGCAGCTCCCAATTTCCCACAAACAAACAATATCGATTCGAGGGTTAAACATGCTTCCAGGAAATGATTCAGGTTGGTACGTATTCGCTTTCTCCCCCGCAATTGCCTTAGGGTTTGTCCTATAGCTAACGCAAGCTGGTGGACGCAGATAACTCCGAGTATGTATTGCATGACCTCTTCGCTTGCTTTTTCTTCTTCTTTGTTAGCCAGTGGAACTATACTAATCGCTCGCTAAAGACGCGCCGAGTCTCCTTTCTGGGCTGGTCGGAATGCATCCCTGAACCAGGGTTCGTCCAAGGTCCACAGCCAGAACACCGTTGTCGGCGCTTCATACTCCCATGCCAACATTGTTCAGTTAGTACCCTTACACCATAAATTTTGCGCCAATTGCCCACCCCATATTCTTGATCAATTACTAACCATCTGATTCTCAAACCTGATAGCGGCACCTCATCTCACCAGCGAACCAAGACACCGCCCCGGCCAACGGGAACTGCTCCGTACCCCGCGTCGCACCTGGCGAATCGATCGGGAAACGTGGTCGCCTCACCTCCCCGGCAAGCATACCCCGGAATCATGACACAAGGCGTAGATGAATGGAGCCAAGATCCCACGGAAGAGGACGATGACGAAGATGACGACGACGACGAGATTGTGTACGATGATGACGAAGACGAATTTGGCCTTCCAAGTCTTGCTAGCATGCGCAGAAAGAAGGCAGCGCCTTTCAAATCCAAGAACCTGGATTCTGGGGGACTAATGGGAGGGAATCCTACTTCTTTGGGCTTTGGATTGGCCGCTGCCAATAGGCAGCGCGCGAATAGCTCCGATATCGCCGAAGAACGAGGAACTCCAATGTACCCAACGGCGCGCAAGAGTGAAGGCAAAATCCTCCGTCCTCAGTATAAGGATATCTTACAAGGTGAGTCATTGAATTTTTTTACATCAAGAGAGTTTGGGTTGTGGTCGTGCTGACATGGGATTTGTTAGATCCTGCAAACGCGTTGAATCTGATCAATCACTCTCCCCCGCCCACCAATGCCTCCCCGAAGGAGAGGGAGATACATTCCAGCCGCATTACGCGTATCAACAAATTTAAGCGCATCCTCCAGGCTAGCACCGTGTCCCTCACCGAGTTACGGGACCTGGCATGGTCTGGAGTTCCCGAAGAGGTTCGGCCGATGACCTGGCAGCTCCTGCTTGGGTATCTCCCAACGAACAGTGAAAGGCGTATATCAACCCTTGAAAGAAAGCGCAAGGAATACCTCGATGGAGTACGACAGGCCTTTGAACGTGGCAGCGGAACTGCCTCGAAAGCCTCTGCCTCAAGTACGGGACGTGGAAGAGGATTAGACGAGGCTGTCTGGCACCAGATTAGCATCGACGTCCCTCGCACCAGCCCTCATATCCCGCTTTACGGCTACGAAGCTACACAGCGATCACTAGAACGCATTCTCTATGTGTGGGCTATTCGGCACCCGGCCAGTGGCTATGTTCAGGGTATCAACGACCTAGTCACACCATTCTGGCAGGTCTTCCTAGGAGTGTACATTACGGATCTCAATGTTGAAGAGGGAATGGATCCGGGCCAATTACCTCGCAGTGTTTTGGACGCGGTGGAGGCCGATACGTTCTGGTGCCTGACAAAATTGCTTGACGGCATCCAGGACAATTACATCTACGCGCAACCTGGAATCCACCGGCAGGTTAGAGCCTTGCGAGATCTGACAAAGCGCATCGACTCGGCCCTGGCCAACCACTTGGAGCAGGAAGGTGTGGAATTTATGCAGTTTAGTTTCCGATGGATGAACTGCTTGCTCATGCGGGAAATGAGCATAAGAAATACGATTCGCATGTGGGATACGTACATGGTATGTTCTTGTTCCATGCTCTTTGGTCTGCAGTTGCTTGGTACTGACCTTTGTGGCAGGCTGAGGAGCAGGGCTTCTCACGATTCCACCTTTACGTTTGTGCTGCATTTTTGGTTAAATGGACAGATCAATTGGTCAAGATGGATTTCCAGGTGAGCATTTCTCCTCTAAAGTGCCCAGAAACCTTCCAATCCAGAAGCTAATAAATGTACATAGGAGGTTATGATGTTTCTCCAAGCATTGCCGACGAAGGACTGGACGGAGAAAGATATCGAGCTCTTACTGAGCGAAGCTTTCATCTGGCAGAGCTTATTCCAGGACTCACGCGCTCATCTTCGACCGACTGGGAACGAGCCTCCTGAAAATGGTATCTTTTATTGATAGTAATCATAATTCATCATTCTATTTCCGGCCCTCCTTCGAATTTTTGATGGCCCGGTGGGGTATGTGGGTGGGTGGATTCGCGCAAGCTACAGAGACGGGGTTTCAATCAGTTGAAGTGGATGCCCTTTTGGTTGAATGCCCACAGCAACTTCAAAAACTCGTTCTCATCACACATTCTGGCGCGCTTATCAGCCAGGCCGGTCTCATCCTCCAACACCTGGCGCACCTTCTCGCGCACCAACTCCGAGACCTTGCCTCGCTTCTTGCGCTGGGGCTTGCTGAGTGCTTGTTGGATGCGGGCGTTGGCCTCTTCTTTGAAGAAATCGGGGACATCGTCATCGTCGTCCATTTCCATGACCTCATCCGCAGGCTCCTCCTCGCCTTGCTCCTCCTGCTCCTGGCCCATATCCATGACATCACCCTCGGCATCCTCGACGGGGCCGTCCTCCACTGGGATATCGTGCTGGGCACACCACGTGCGGTAATTCTGCTCAAGCATGTTCATGATGGTGGGCGTACCGATGAAACTGGCCCGTAGTGTCTTGTTCTTACGCACAAAGGCGATACGCAACAGACCATCCCATTCCTCATAGTTGATCTGCGGCCTCGGGACCTTGGGCACCATGCGAATGACGCTGGACTCGACCAATGGTGGGGGCTTAAAGTTGTTCTTGCCGACCTTCATGATGTGATCGATCTTGGCCCACATTTGGGCGTTGACGGAAAGTCGACTGTAAAGTTTGTCGCCGGGCTTGGCGAATAGACGCAGAGCGAATTCACGCTGGAACCTAGAGATGGGCGGGTGTATATTAGCTTGTTATTCGCGAGGACGAATTGGATATATTTTGAACGTACATGAGAACACAAGTACGAGGAGCGGGCGTTGTGGCGAGTAGCTTGAATGTGAGAGGGGAAGAAATCTGGGAATGGTTAGTATAGAACAACATCGACTCTCCTTTTAAGCTATAGTCTATGACATAGCTATCCTTAGTGTACCAACTCACCTGATAAGGCGTGTTACTGATGCAGACATCAAAGTATGGAAGCTCCGTCTTCATCACGTCTCCAAGAATGACCTCCAGACGCTTTTGAGCCGGAGTGCCCTGGAAACGTTTGGTGACTTCGGCAGCCATTCGAGGATCCAACTCCACCGCGATGACCTTCTTGGCCTTTTCGAGAATCTTTGCAGTCAAGTTACCAGTACCGGGACCGATTTCGAGAACGATCTAACCACCGAAAATGTTAGGCGCAGTCCTTCTGTGGTCTTGTCGATAGGTACTCACATCGCTCTGCTTGAGGTCGGCCTTGTGGACAATTCTGTAGAGGTTGAATTAGCTCGAGTCCATTCGTACCAAGTCTACAGAAAAGAGAACTTACTGTTCAGCAATACCGGGGTTCTTCAACACGTGCTGGCCGATATCTGTGTTCATCTTGAAGATACTGTGGGCAGCCTTTGTCTTTGCAGCAGCATCCTCACGCGCATTATTGCGCTTTCCCTTCTGAACCTTGGGCATCGTGAATGTATCGACGTGCAGTCAGTCCCAATTCACTGGAATACCCGTTTGAAGTAGTAACAGCGTTTAAAAATTGCAAAGAGAAACTTTGCAAGTCCCCGCGGGCGCAGTTTAGCTGTGGGCAACTTTTTTTCCGTTGCGATAAGATTATCGGCCTCGGGCCTACTTTTCTGCGGGCGCGGCCCGCCTTTCATCTGTCTCTTTCGCCATGAGAACTCCAGTCTCGAGCTTGAAGCTTGCTCTCCGTGCCTCAAAATGGCGTCTGGACGGAAGGATTTTCTCAGCCAGCAGGCACCTGAGAACTATGTGGCCGGTCTGGGTCGTGGTGCGACCGGTTTCACCACGCGATCCGATTTGGGACCCGCGCGCGAAGGTCCCACGCCCGAACAGATCCAGGCCGCGCTGACGAAACGAGCTGCGCTTCTCGGAGCTGCTGCACCTACGGCTTACGGCGACAAATCTCGAGAGAAGGGAGGCAAAGAGGATAAGGCCGAAGAGGAAGATGAACGGTTCCAGGATCCCGATAACGAGGTCGGTCTGTTTGCGTACGGACAGTTCGACCAAGAAGACGATGAGGCGGATCGCATTTACCAGGAGGTTGATGAGAAGATGGATCGACGACGTAAGATTCGAAGGTTAGTTATTTCCCCAGCCCCGGCTCTGTTGTCCCACAAAACAACTTGTTCATCGGGCCAGTTCCCCGTTGTTTGGATAGATTACCGACTTGAATCGTTCGCCACCTACAGGGAAGCTCGAGAGCAACAAGAACGCGAGGATTACGAACGGAAGAACCCGAAGATTCAGCAACAATTTGCCGACCTAAAGAGATCGCTCGCTGCCGTTTCCGAAGAAGATTGGGCCAACCTCCCCGAAGTTGGTGATCTTACGGGCAAGAACCGACGAGCGAAACAGAACCTTCGTCAGCGATTCTATGCCGTTCCGGATAGTGTTATTGCAGGTGCAAGAGATTCAGCCCAGTTCGACACTACAATTGCCGACGATGGCGCCCCGGCCGATGGAGGAGAAGGCGTTAGCGATGGGACGATGACGAATTTTGCAGATATCGGTGCCGCTCGTGATAAGGTTCTGAAGGTTCGACTGGATCAGGCAGCGCTGGGTTCGTCGGCTGAACTCGCCTCCTCGGGAAGCGCAACCAGTATTGACCCCAAGGGATATCTTACCAGTCTGAACCAGTCGGAGATGAAAGCTGGCGAGGTCGAAGTTGGCGACATCAAGCGAGTGCGGGTTCTGCTGGAGTCTGTCACAAAGACCAACCCCAAGCATGCACCTGGATGGATTGCCCTCGCGCGTCTGGAGGAGCTTGCAGGCCGAATTGTGGCGGCTCGGAATGTTATTGCTAAAGGTTGCGAGCTGTGCCCGAAGAGCGAGGATGCATGGCTGGAGAATATCCGACTGAATGAAGGCCACAATGCGAAAATTATTGCCGCAAATGCTATTAAGAACAATGACCACTCTACGCGACTCTGGATCGAGGCTATGAAATTGGAAACCGACACCCGGGCGAAGAAGAACGTCCTCCGACAGGCTATCCTGCATATTCCCCAATCGGTGCAGATCTGGAAAGAAGCAGTCAATTTGGAAGATGATCCCGCAGATGCCCGTCTTCTTCTCGCCAAGGCTGTTGAAATGATTCCCCTTTCCGTGGAGCTTTGGCTGGCACTGGCACGCCTGGAGAGTCCCGAGAATGCCCAGAAGGTTCTCAACGCAGCGCGCAAGGCCGTTCCCACTAGCCACGAGATCTGGATTGCCGCTGCTCGTCTGCAAGAGCAGATGGGTACTTTCGAAAAGGTCAATGTCATGAAGCGTGCCATTCAGTCTCTCGCCAAGGAGAATGCCATGCTGAAGCGAGAGGAGTGGATTTCGGAAGCTGAGCGCTGCGAGGAAGAAGGCGCCATTCTTACCTGCGGTGCTATTATCCGAGAGACTCTCGGATGGGGTCTGGATGAGGACGACGACCGCAAGGATATTTGGATGGACGACGCCAGATCTAGCATTGCCCGCGGCAAATACGAGACTGCTCGCGCTATCTACGCATATGCCCTCCGGGTCTTTGTCAACCGTCGGTCGATTTGGCTCGCAGCTGCTGACCTCGAGCGCAATCACGGCGACAAGGAAGCTCTGTGGCAGGTCCTGGAGAAAGCTGTTGAAGCATGCCCGCAGAGCGAGGAGCTATGGCTGCAACTTGCCAAGGAGAAATGGCAGTCTGGCGAAATTGACGACGCGCGACGTGTTCTCGGCCGTGCCTTTAACCAGAACCCCAACAACGAGGACATCTGGCTTGCTGCTGTCAAGCTTGAGGCAGATGCGCAGCAAACGGCCCAGGCCCGCGAGCTTCTGGCAACAGCACGCCGTGAAGCTGGCACAGACCGCGTTTGGATTAAGAGTGTCGCTTTCGAGCGGCAATTGGGCAATGTCGATGAAGCCCTGGATCTTGTCAACCAAGGACTGCAGCAGTACCCCAAGGCCGACAAGCTCTGGATGATGAAGGGCCAGATCTACGAATCGCAGAACAAGTTCCCGCAAGCGCGTGAGGCATACGGTACCGGCACGAGGGCTTGTCCCAAGTCTGTACCTCTGTGGCTGCTCGCCTCACGACTCGAAGAAAAAGCCGGCGCTGTCGTGCGTGCTCGCTCTGTCCTCGATCGAGCCCGTCTCGCCGTTCCCAAGAGTCCCGAGCTCTGGACCGAAAGTGTGCGCGTCGAGCGGCGCGCAAACAACATCGCCCAGGCCAAGGTGCTTATGGCCCGCGCTCTCCAGGAAGTACCAGCCTCCGGTCTACTATGGAGCGAGAGCATCTGGCACCTGGAGCCGCGTGCGTCGCGCAAGGCACGCAGCTTGGAGGCGATCAAGAAGGTCGAGAACGACCCTATCTTGTTCATTACAGTTGCGCGAATCTTCTGGGGTGAACGGCGGTTGGAAAAGGCCATGACCTGGTTTGAGAAGGCCATTGTAGCGGACAGCGACTACGGCGATGGATGGGCATGGTACTACAAGTTCCTACAGCAACACGGTACAGAAGTGAGTCAAGTCCTTCAGCGATATCAACCTCATCCATCCCATATAAATAATCTTGCTAATCCCTTCTTGTCTGGACAGGATAAACGCTCCGACGTGATTTCTAAGTGTGTCACGACGGAGCCTAAGCACGGCGAGGTATGGCAGGGTATCGCGAAAGATCCGGCCAACGCGTCCAAGTCGACGGAGGAAATCTTGAAGCTTGTTTCTGAGGCGGTCAGCTAAGCAAAAGCAAGGAATCCGTCTTTGTCACGATGTATTAATAGTACTCATGGGGGCGTTTTGGACATGGATATTGGTGTTTGAATATAAAACATTGCTTTCCCTTTGCCCTATAAATGATCATTCCATTATCAGTATTGTTATTAGGATCATGCTTGTGGCACTACAAGAAACCTTTGTTGTAGTACTATCTCTTGATGTATATTGAGAAGTATAACTCATATGATGATCTAGAAGGTTACTCGTGGAGTTTAAACTTCAAATATACCCTAGGGGACCTGTGATATGCGATATCCGGCTAGTTTTGCGGATTCCCGGCCTGGCGCATTGATACACCGTCCTGCCACCTCTCCCACCATCTCCTTGGCGTGAAAGACTCGATACTCCTCCTACTTCCTTAGTAAAAGGACCGTAGACCATAGCACCGTGTATGGACGCCCACAATCTATCCCATTTTTTGGCCAATAGGGTCGTCGAGGGCTTAACAAAATTGAGGTATACAATTAGACACTATGCCCTAACGAGTTGTATATTAGTCCCTGGGCCATATCGCTGACCGCAGATATAGTAGTGTTTCTAGTTTACATAGGAAATTAGGCGACCCAGGCTGATATCTTCATATAAGTATATCGAGGTCATTCGAGGTAGCGGAGTGCACAATTCTGTTCGCGGGTATCCCATTATATACTGCTTTAAAAGCTGAGCTGATCTCACTCTATCCAACCACAGTGCATAAAATCAGTTGTAAAAGAACCCAATCTCATAAGAAGGTGAGGAGCAAATCATTTTGATATAAGACAAACAATCATATTCATGGGTATCGAACAAGCGAGGCCTCTCTACGCCGGGCCACGGCCATCGCCACCATTTCAGCTTTTTAATACTGAGGCCAGATCGGGCCATCATACACCCTTCTCCTCTGCCTGGTGCTGCTGTCCCTGCACATCGCCAGCAAGGAAACGATAAGGTAAATAAAAAAGAAGAATAAATACTGTACATCACATGGCTCAAGAGGCAAACACCAGAACCATATGCAGAACGTAAAATGGGCTGCCCTGCTTGTACCAGATGTAGTCTGCAAATGGCAGCACCGATAATTTCCAGACGCCGTGATTGTCCCACCACCCTAGACCGGAATCAATAACGCAAGAAGAAACACAAAAGAAAGGGGTGACAGAAGGATAGTGTCGCAGGTGTATATCGAGGTCGAAGGGAGAAGCAATGAGAAAGAAGTGAAAGCAGTTAGTGGGTGGGGGGTATGGGTATCAATTCTTGTTTCCTCGATCCTCAAGCAGCCATCGATAAACAATCGTCTAGCAAGCTGCTCAGTTGCTCACGATCAACAGCCGTGCCTCCTTCCCAATCCGAAAGGGCAAGATCATCATCGTCATCCACATCCATCTCGTCATCATCATTAGCCTCGGTCTTGGTTTCCTGAGCTCCGCCCACCCCGTTCTCTAACCGGTCCTGCTTCTCCGTCTCAAGCTCATCTTCAAAGTATCCGCCCATAATCTGATCAATGATTAGTGGCATATGACCTAGGACACCACGGCCCAACTCCAAAGCAAGCCGAAGATCCCTGACACCGAGCGACCGACGAGTCGCAGCCTCTTTAGCCTCAACGGGGAGCAGCCCAGTGGCGGTGTCTTTCACAATTTCCCCTCGGGTAAATGCAAGTTCCTCGCGCTCCAATTGTTGGCGGTACTTGCGCATCATCATGCCGTTTATGGTACCCGACGGACCATTAGAGCGCGTGCGCGAGAACACCGCGGAAAGGACATCCTTGACAAAAGTCTCTGTAGCAACGGCCATGAACTCCGCGCACGGCAAGCCAGCACCGCCAGGGAGTGATTCTTCGTAACACATGGGCACCATGCGGGCGTAGATAGATTCGGCATCAGGGAACTCGCCAGAGTCTGCGGCGAGAGGCTGCGCATATCGTTTTCGGATTTCCAATTCCCAATCTAAATGTGAGGAGTCCAACATCAGTGAAAGAACCTCTTAAAAAGGAGCGAAGTCCGCGCGCGATTCGACCAGACAGTTTATAATGCAGGTTGGAGGGTAAGGGGATAAAGCGATCTTACTTGTCTTATTGAGTCCGCCCGCACTTGCGGCAACTTGACTGGGAAGTTTAATCTGCTTCGCCTGATGATATATTTCCAATTCATTTGGAACCGTATCGTTAGAATCTCGCTGTAATTTGGGAAGGAGATCTCGTGTCAGTAATCCTTGTCCTGTCTCGCGCCGGGATAGACTCGGCCACCACAATCCTTAAAATGCATACCTCTGCAATAGCCTTGATCCTCCGACGATCCCTTGGAGGTAATTGCATAACCTCCGTCTTCAATCTTTGTTCGGCGGCGTCTCCGGAGATGGGCTTGGAGACCATAGACGGCTTATCGTTAGCCGAGACCCATGTTGCGACGCCATGGTCGGGGAGGTCGCGCGTGAGGTTTGCGATGATCGCGCAAATGAAGTTATTATGTAGATGTTCAAGTTTCGTATCGGCGCATAAAAAGTGATCGACTCGCGACGCGTATTCATTTTGGTTATAATGTCCTAGAAACGGCAAGAGGTCAGGAGGTCAGCCACCAGAAGGTTCAATTCGTCGCGGCGAGGGCATTCAATAAAGGATATCGTGATAATTTCACGGCAATAGAGAGACCAAAGCACGCGCCGGGGGAAATGAGTTTCATACCTAGAAGAAAGAAGGCAGTAGACTCTTTGTACTCCGCCCATTTGTCTCCGATGGCGGCCTTCAGCTCGGTATAGGACTGTTCCAGGTCCAGGCGCGGCACCGAAGGTAGAGTCCGCGACGACTTGATCGTCGTCGATGGATTTGATGCCGCGCTTTTGGCCGGATTAGATGAGTCTGTGCGACTCAGGGCCGCCGGATCGATCTGCATGGCAGCTGAATGAGTGGCAGGAGCGCGACAAGGCGAGGCCGAAGGGCGGCTGGTTGATGGGGGCTACGCATTCATGAAGAGGCGCGGAGGTCGATCAGAGGAAATTTCGAGATAGGATGGGAAGAGGGGAATGGCAAAAATGATGGATTGATGATGAAAAGGCGATGGGATTGATGGAAGGAGGCTTTGGAAGGGTTGGGAGGTTGGAAATGAGGTTCCGAGAGTTGCGGTTTCCCCGCCAGAAACGGACGCCTCGTCCCGGGAACAGTCAGACCGGCGACGAAGTATACGATTATCGAGGGATTGTTGCCTGTTGGACTATTTTGAACAATCTCTGCCTATCCAGGAGCCTCAGTAGGTTCAATAAATATACAAAACTACAATCTACTAGACAGGAAAACCAACAATCATCATGGACTCGGGTGTATTGTAGCTAGTATCTACGCCATCTGCAAGACATCCTCACTCAACACACCAAATAGCTGTCCAATATCTGCAAGAATCTCGCTAATCTCTTTCGACAATTGACCTGTCACGAGAACTACACGGAAGGGTCAGTAACAGAACCACACGAGATGCAATACCTGGATCACTCACTATACGCAGACAGCAATGCACTATCTTCATCCGTTGTCACTAGCGAGAGTTCCTGGTCCTGGCGATACCGGTAAATGCGCGCCAGCAACCTGTCGCGAGCATGATCAATGCTGGGAAGCACATCGCTCAGTGGGTATTCAAGTTTCATAGACGAGGCCATAACTGGGATTAAGTCAGAGTAAGAATCTAGCATTGAAGTGAAGGCGAAACTTACCCGTAAGAAGATGGCTGATCCGAGCAGAGAGCTGCTGTCGTTCCTGCGCAGTATACCTCAGAAGGCTAATTTCGCCATCAGTAGCAGTCTCGCTCTTCATCAGCTCCAAGTTCATCGCATGGAACGCATTGACCATGCTCCGAGTACGGCGAATGATGCTAGCATAAGTATCGCTTGCAAACGCACTGCGTAGCTCAAACTCCGACCCTGCCGAGACCAACAGCGCCTCCAAGCGGGAAAGGAAGCGCTCAAGTTCGAGCTTCTCGCGAGCAGTCATGTATACGACAGAACGCTTTGTCTCGACCATCGCTGATAGCGGGTCACGCTTCCAGACTAATCCCAGTCGCAGCCAGAGCATGCTGAGACTATCTTTCAACCTGCTGCGCGCACTGATCGGCCAGATCACTCGTGTGATGATGATGCCCCAGATGCAGCCTGAGAGCACTGCCACCACTCGGTGTAGCGCGATCTCGCCGATGACGGGGTTCTGGCCACCCTCGTCTTTCGAGCCGTCCGCATCTTTCTGCGTCAGAGAGTAGGCGTATAGCACGGACAAATTATAGGTGAGCATTATAAACCGGCCCAAGGGGCCGTTACCCTGGACAATGGTGATGTATGAGATCCAAACAGCCATCACCCATCCAAAGATGGCAAGACCATAGGCATTACCGCTAGAAATGTACCAGGACAAGATGGCACAAGCCGCTCCCAAGCAAGTACCGAGAAAACGAGCAAAACCCGTAGTGTTTGAAGCACCAATCGTCATCGAGCAGACCAGCATGTACGACAACAGACCCCATTCCCCACGCCAATGTTGATAGAAAGGTCTCGTGGAAGGCAAAAATGCAGGCAATGCATAGAGCGCCGCACCAGCGCCGACTTTGATCGCGTATCGGGTATCATCTCGGCGGAAGCACTTAAGAGATTTCCAAAGCCGATAGCCTAGTCGTTGTTTCACTGATGCCTCAGCGCGTGGATATAGGCGAGCCCGAACAGCGGGAGACACTCGAGCATCTGGTCCAGGCGGAGCTAGGAAGGTAGGTTCATCTCTGGCGCTGGTATCTTGGGCTCGCCAAAACTTGAGCCAGCTCCAAGACCGGCCACCAGGTCTCTCCTCGGTTTCCAGCTGGAGTTGGTCCAAGACTGCGAGTAATTCGTGGAGCTGCTCACCAAATTCTAAGAGTGAGAAACTAAAATGGCCACAACTCGCAGACACCTCTTCCAGATCGGCTTCCGCCTCATGCGTCTTCAGCTTGATAGTTTCTATCTGCTGATAGAGCGATTTGAGGGTCTTTTCTCGGGATTCCTGGTAGAGATCGAGGGCACGGTCAAGACTCGTAACCAGCCGACTGTCCACACAGACTTTGTAGTGTGGAGCCGGACCAAATGGGATCTCATTGAAGATCTCCTTCAGTGTGAATGCTAGAGACCGCTGTAGCAGGTGAGCTTCACGTTCAAGATCTCTCAGTATAGAGCTAAACTTACCATGGCCGGTCCCAGATGGGAAATGAAGATTGTAAATACATCGGCTGGAAGCAGAGGGTGTTTTGCAGACTCCAGCTTTCCATCCGAATTCGGGGTACTGAACCCTCCGCTGGGCGAGAGCTCTTCCTCCGGACGCTCATCAATTGGCTCCAGGAAAGATCCATCGGGGAAAGACCACGAGCGTTCCAGCGAAGCAAAGTACTCCGTTGGCAAAGCACTCTGCTGACCCCCAGATATCTGGGACTCACGAGCAAGTGTTTCGCGAATCAAACTGAACTGAAGAGAAGCAGCACTGCGCAAGCCGCCCATGTTATGAGTAATGTCCTGCACCCAACGCACCAATTTCTTCTCCAATCTGTATTCTCGTTCTGTACCTGCAAAGTAGTGCTCAAGTTTTGCTTCGCGCACTAGTTTGTCCAGTTGGCCGTAGGCCTTTCGGTGCGTGGTCTCTGCCTCAATAAACTCTGCAGACTTGAGCTCGTCCTCAGACCCACTGAGGAAGCTCTCCGTAATGATAGCCAGCATAACGGCCAGCGTATTTGTAGTTGTGACCAAGTTTGCGCGGAGCTTATTCCGCGCAGAGATGGGAAATATCAAAAATGAGACGGCGCCCGCGAATACGACGCCCATGATAACCATCTTTAAGACCTGGATAATCTTGTTCAATGACAAATCACCACTCTGAACGGCACCTTCTTTCGTCAAGACTGTGATAGTCGACAGTGCGGTGAGCGAGCAGGCCACATTCACCAACGGGTCTCCCAGTCTTTGCTTAGTCCAGCCGACGAAGCCCAGGCCACCCCCACAGAAGACGATCAGCACCACGGCATGACCCAGCGCAGGCAGATTCAGCGTGTCCTGGAAAAAGTTCTCGACCAGCATACTGGTAATCGACAAGAAGGCCGAGTAGAAAAATGCAAGCAGCGCGCAAATCAAGGCGCGGTACATGCTACCCTGGGACCTTGCCGGATGGAAATAAACGGTCACCGTCGCGACCATATGCTTCCCATCCTGGTGACCCAGAAAAGCGGATAAAGCTGGAATAAACGTCGCCATGGACCCAAGCAAATAGGCCAGACTGCATTTCAAGACTCCAATGCCCTGCTCGGAGGTCACGAAGCGGTGCAAGCTTGCCCATAGCTCCTGTGCCTTTTTAGACAGCCACATCCCATATCCATCATGATGTGTCTCGATCTCGCCCGACAGCAGACCTCGTCGTTCCTCGCGCGCTTCACCATCTTCATCTGTCGCTGTCGATATTCGTGTGGGGTTACGCAGGCTCACAAGGCCCTTTAAGCGCTGACCGGTTCGTGGAAGGACAAAAGTTGCCTGTCGGAGCTGTAGTTGCAGTGTCAGTCATGACTAGAACCGAAAAACTGAGGTTGATCTCCTCTGCTTCTGCCCTGCACTTGTTTTTGTTTACAGCGAGCTCGAATCGGGTACACACTTTGGGTCGCAACAGGCGGCGGGAGCTACTGGGAGCTCCTCCAGTCTCTGACGGAGTCATTTGGGGCGGCTCTCCCGCATTTGCTTGGGAAACTGCTCGGGGTCGGGGTTCACGTTGGAGGAGGGTGCGACTTCATTGTGCAGAGTGCATGGGTACGGGAAGAAGGTCGCAGGGTTGTTGCGATTGGAGGTCGAAGTATTCATTACACCGTCTCCAAGTGCTTTTTTGTGGAGGTGCTGGCCCAAACTTGAACAATGCGCGGGCTCGGGCCACATCCCTGTTGCATTAGGAACACGCACCTCTTTGCTCTTGACTGACTGGTTTCTTGTACTTTGTATGACTCGCTGACTACATTCTGCTCTCTTTGACTACTGGACTGTCTTAAAGTCAAGCAAAAGGCCGCCAAAATTCATTCAAGCTAGATACAACACTCATACCCACCCGGTGGCTACTCATTGCAGACCCTCTACCTTCCACACCTTCACGGCCGCATCGGCACCAGCAGATGCGATCTTCGAGCCACCGTCGATCCACGCCACACCATTGACACCCTCCTTGTGGGCATTCTTGACTTCCAGCCAGTCGCCAGGCTTGGCCAAGCTCCAGACAAAGATATTAGTGTCCAGCGAACCACTGACAAGGTGTGTACCAGCCTTGTTCCAGGCAAGCGAGGTGATACGAGCCGTGTGGGCGGTCCAGCGATCCGTGACAAGACTGCCATCGGCCACCTTGTAGACCAAAACACGGCCACGCAAATCACCCACAGCCAGGACGGAAGCATCGGGGGAGAAAGCCAGCATGGAAATCTGATTGCGCGAAGCTTGAATGTCGGTCTGGGCGGACAGGCTAGAGCCTGAAACCTTGCATATCTGCAAAGCTCCGTTCTCGCCGCCGATGGCTGCAACATCCCCGTGCGCAGCCACAGTGGTTACCGAGAACTTGGTCTTGAAGTCACCGGTCTTCTTGCCATCCTGGAAGATTTCGACCGCCTCTGCAGCACCCACCAGAACGGTCGAACCGGCGGCGGCAACGCCCTTGGGCTGCGCGGTGAGCTTTGACGAGCTACCGGTGTAGGTCTTGGCAGCCACATCGATGGACCGGATTGTGTCGTCCCAGCCGACACTGTAAATACGTCCAGAGCCCTCCGCTGTCGAAGCCAGACCGGCAATGTACCCGGGGTGGCCCTCCCCCTCGATCTCTTCCGCGGAGCCAGAGGCGACCTCCCAGCTGCAGACACGACCCTCGAAGCTTCCAGTCCAGAGAGTATCCTTGTCATCCGAAGTGGACTGGCCCAGAGAGGTGATGCTCTTCTGGTGACCCTGAATCACCTGTCGGGGCTTGGGGTTACCCTCGACAAGGTAGTTTAGATCGCCACTGAGCGACAAACTGATAAGCAGGCCGTCGCTCCGGCCGTGTGGCCAAACGACGCCAACCTGATGGTCACGGATAGCGTTGGCACCCTCCTCACCGAGAGTCCAGCTCTGCGTGGTCTTGCCGGCCTCAACGTCCCAGATCTTGACCGTCCGGTCTGCGCTGGCAGTCACGAACTTGCGCGAGTCCTTGGACCATGACACGCTGAAGATACTACCCTTGTGCTCGCCCTCGCCAATCTGGCCCTTGGTCTCACCGGTCTTTCCATTGTAGAGCCAGATCTTGCGGTCCGCACCCACACTGACCAAGTGCGAGCCATCCGGGCTGAAGCCTACGCCGTAGATATAGTTGATGTGTTTGTCACCAATGCCGGTGTTGAACTTGAAGGGTGCACCGTGGTAGAAGACCAGCTTCTTATCGTCGCCCGCGGCCGCAGCCCGGAGGGGCCTCTGCTGCCTGATCGAGACCGAGTTGATCTGTTGCGTATGGCCGTAAATTTCACCGACGGTGTTTCCACTGTCCCAGGTAATGCAGTGTCCGTAGCGTTGCTTTCCATCACCAACAGCAATGATGCGCTGAGAGTCACCGTCCCAAGCCAAGTCATTGATCCGGCCGTTGACAATGCTGTAATCGCCCTTGGTGATACCCTCTCCAACACAGTCCCACACTCTCACAGTACCAGTAGCATCACCGCTAGCAACGTAGAATCCGGAGGGAGAGAAGCGCGCGACGGTGGTCTGAGCCTTGTGTTCGGTGTACTGTCTGGCGATTGCGGGGTTGTCGATTGAACGGATGAAGATGGATTTATTCGACTGTGAGGTTAAATTTGTCAGAAACGCTTATAGAACTGAAACAATGGCATGAACAGGGCTCGAAAGCCGTACAGCATATGCAAGTCGCTCACCCTTGGTGTCGGACGAGAGCTGCGTAGGTGCGCCGCGGGTGGTGGAGGGGCTGGCGGCCCAAATAGACTCTGTAGACTAAGTCAATGGGGCGTGTAAGAAAATCGAGAATGGACAAAAAGGCCTATATACCGTTTGTGATTGACATGTAGGAAATGCGACTCGTTGTTCGAGGAGAGAGGTGGGTTGGAGTGCGGATCAATAGCGGGGGAGAGAGTTGTTTATGAACTGACGTACGCGAGCCAGGCAGATCCCGCGGGGATCAGTTTCAGGTCCGTCACAGGCTCACGGCCCACTCGCTTGACACCATAGTTGATGATCCTGGCTCAATAGACTCGAAAAGTGAATAGATAGAAATTAGTCCTAGTATCTCTATCATGCTTATTCTCTTTTTTTCTGTACTAAGACCGGAGTTTGCTGCACCCTGCCGGTTTCCATTCAAAGTATGCAGGACAGGCATATATAGACTCAGAGTGCAAGCCACACCATGAATGCGTATAGGTGTTCAAGGCCGCTCGAGAACCCTAGCTCGATGTTTCAAAGTTGCTGCCTTGAACTCCACGGTCTAATGTGACGCGAAAGTACCTCGCAATAATGTCATGTTGGTCAAAAAGAATCAATTTTGCGCTGAGAGTAATAATACAAGAAGATGCGCCCATCCAATGAGCCGCTAGTCTGTACAAGAATGCCATAACAGATCTCCCAAGGATCATACCATAGAAAAACAGAACACTCCATCTACCGGAAACCACCGTCCATCTTGGCCTTCATCTCTGCCGCAAGAATCTCCGGGTGTCGGTGGACGGAGGGCATTAGACCGAGGCCCATGGCCCGACGAATGGCCTTGGCAATCTTGCGCTGGTTGACGGGTCGCAGACCAGTTTGTTCACGGTGTTTGATGCGACCGAGAGGGGAGACATACTCGGACATGATCGAGAAGTTCTAGAATTGAACGAGGCATTGTTAGTGATTGTATCTAATGTGACCTCCCGCCACCCACAAGGGATTGCTTGGGAAAAGAATAATAGCATAGCTATTAAGTGGATAGCGGCAGAAATGAAATGCAATTACGTACCTTGTAAAGGTCCATTGGGTTCAGGTTCAGAGCGTCAAAGGCGTCGCGCGAAGGGCTCTTGCGCTTGCCCCATTTCTTCATCTCGGCCGGGCTAAGATCGTGAGGAGCATAGATATCACCGGCCTTCCAGTCGCGGGTCTGGAACTTCTCCAGGGCTCGGCTTTCACCCTGAGCTTTCTGTTCCTCGAGGAATCGCAGGCGGTTCGGCAGCCGGCGACGAATTGGAGCTCGGGGGGCTATTGCAGACAATTAGTCGTCACTCAATACAAAGGTTGTCTTCGCGCTTATCAAAAGAATGCAAGTGCATTCACTCTGACGTACTCTGGTTGTGAGAGGAGGTGGCACGCTGGGAGGTGAAGGCGCTCATGGCTGCGGTCGAACTCGAACTCCAGCGGCAGGCCGAGGGCAGCGCATTGGCGACGCTGCGCAGCAGCGGCGAAAAAAAGAGACTCTGAGACATGTTGATCTGCTTCCAACACCTGCAGTGAGTGGAAGTTGTGGACTGTATCGGAGGGGGTTATCAAATGTTGAATAGTGAATGTCGAAGAGAGTCGAGGCCAGGATCAACGCGGAGCCGACAAGCGGATCTTTTTTCGCGGTGCCAAGACCGCCCTCCGCCTGTGCAGCTTCTCCGCGTCGCGAAACTCTACCAGCCTATTCCACCAATTCCAGCTTCCCGACAACCTCAACCGACCGTGAATCGTTCAAGCCGATTTTTCAAATCAGTCAATTGAGCGGTAGAGCTCGCTTTCGACAAGCCATGCAGTCCCATCTCACGAGACGGGTCTTCCGGGCACTCATCAATAACGAGCCGCTGTCTTTCTCGAGATGTCGACGAACCCAATTGCTGCATACCATTTCTCCCGCCCGAGTCCGATCCAACACCGTCCGTCTTCCTCATGTGCAAGTTCGCACCCTCTTCGCCTTTACTATGGACCCGAGAGCAGCCTCAGGGGAAGGACTACCGACGACCTTGGCCTCCGAGAAGGGACTCAAGCCGATGACCGACCTGAAGCGATCACTGGAGGATAAGAGCAGGGCTCCTCCGAATAATACACTGGTCAACGCTTTCAAGCTATTCTTTGAAACACGCGTTGATTCTCCTGGAGTGATCAACTCATTCCAGGCTCAGCTGCTATCCATGACGTGGAAGTACCTGAAGGCTCGGCAAGAAGAGTTGGACGATAATGACTGGCATAATATTTTCTCGGTAGACAGCTTGGAACGGATCCTGTTTGTGCTTTCCGAAGCCCAGTGTCTACCCGAGTCTCGTGATACAGTCTTGAAGCTCGCTCGCTATGCCTACCTCGAGCTTTGTGCTGATCATGGGTTTGGTCCCAACTCAATTAGCCGGCCAGCGCTATTGGTCTACATCAACCTTTTGGCTATGAATGGGAATCCCGAGGATGCCCGACAGGTTATTATCAACTTTGGAGGCCAGTTGCGCGGCGCAAAGCCATCGCCCTGGCTAAACGTTCTAAAAGGATTTGCCATGAAAGATGATCGGCGTCAACTGAGGAAAATCACTCAGGAACTGGAGAAATACGGGGTCAAATTCGACCAAACTTCTCACAAGGAGCTCGTCGATATTCTGATCGCGCAGAATCTGTTCAAAGCGGTGCAGACTGTTTACGAGTGCCCCATGGCTGGCAACGCCGAGCCGTCTTTGGCTACCAAGAAGGCTGTGATCGAATATGCAATTCTCAATTCGGAGACCGCATGGGCAGAGCCAATCTACCAGTCTATCCGTGAAGGCGCCACTCCCAGCTTGGAGACCGTCGGGGTTTCTTTGCTTTGGGAAGCGGCGCAGGGTGCCAGTGCATCTTCGCTAGGCGAAAAGGTCAAACTCTGGGCTGCAACAAACCCTCAGATCAAAGATGCACTGACTATCACGGATATCAACAACCTTCTTCGGTATGCCAATGTGCAAGAGAACCCACAATCAGCAAGTGCTCTCTTGAGCTTGGCAGACCAGTGGGGACTTTCTCCGGATGAGCAGACACATCTGTTGCAGTTAGAGTCGGTCATCCAGGCTGGAGATGTCGAGGCCTCGCTTCGCATCTTGCAGGACCAGTTGGATCCTTCTTCTCTTCCCAACGCCAACATCACTCTTTCCAACCAGCTCCTTACGATGCTATGCTCGTCAGAAAAGAAGGATGAACTGTTCCAACAGATCTCATCCCTCTTAGATCCGTTATTCCAGGAGGGTGTGCATTTGGAACCCACCACTGTCGCCGCATTGACTCGTATGCTCCTCTACCGTCACGATAACGAAGCTGTTTCTGAACTGCTTCGTCCGCGACTGGCTACCTATGACAGCCAAGGGAAGACTATTATCCGCACGGCTGTGACAGATTTCATCTTGGATCTCAACGAGAAGGACGCAGACGTTTGGGAAGTATATGAACTGTTCAAACTTGCCTTTCCCGAGACGGGCGTCAGCGTGCGAACCGAAATTATGTGCACCTTCTTTGAGCGCAAACGCAGTGATCTGGCAGTCCTCGTTTTCGGCCACATGCGCCAGGCAGAAGACCTGTCACGCCGACCAAAGCCAGACACATATGCGCGATGCTTCCAGGGTCTCGCGCGGACTGCCGACGCGACCAACCTGGAGCTGGTGCACAACATGCTCAAACTTGACCTGGAAGTGGAGCTTACCACTCGGGTTCTCAACGGCTTGATGCTGGCCTATGCTGCCTGCGAGATGCCTGAGAAGAGCATGAATATTTTCCGGCAGATCTTGCAGTCAGACGAGGGACCGTCGACCAAGACAATCGCGCTGTTCTTCAAGGTCTGCGAAAAGCATCACAATGGAGTGCAAGAGGCAGTTAAGATGATGAGCAAAGTGAAGAAACTGGAGATCGAGGTTGACCGTCGGCTGTACTCGTCGTATATCGAGGCGCTGGCTGCGCAGTGCGAATTCGACCGGGCGACGGAGGCTATCAATAACATGCAAGCCGAAATTGGGGTTCCTCCTACGAGTACAACGTGAGTTCCCCACTTCAGTGATGGCGGTGTTCTTGGATATGTCCTGCAATGCTGACTTCATATAATAGGATCGGGTTATTCTATAATGCCATCCCGTATCAATACTGGAAGGACCAGGTGGAAGATTGGGCTCGCCAGACGTACCCCGAGCTCTGGGACCACCTGGCGAAGACGGAGCGCAATGAGTATGAAGAAGGGCAAAAGTTTGACGGCATCTCGAATGAGGTCTGGGTGTAGGTATCCATGAATTCTGCTCAGGATATTGTATTTATTTCTCTTGTATATATATGTGTCATCTATTTCCCAAAGTGTACATTACGAATTCTTCTCATCTGGCCTGCAGTCGATCACATTCTGTTAAGAACGAGTCGACTTGTTCTTCTGGATCGGGATACTAAAACAGCATAGCTCGCGTCGGTCGACTAGCGCGGGCACTACTAAACCTTCAATTGAATCTGGTTCTCCAGATAAAAAAGATCGCTGCCCCGAGAATTGCTTGCAGAGCCCTTTTTCATTCTCTTGGGAGCCCCTTTCCATTTCTTCTCTATATCTATAGGACCTACGAGCGATGCCAACGTCTCGATTCAACCCAGAGCTATCAGCTGAGCTTCACAATAAGATCCTCGAGTATGGATGGATCGGATCTGGACGAGAACTTACTTCTCTCCCTTCGACAACCTGGTGGGAACAATTTTCTCCCATCTCATTCGATCTGGCATCTCGTTTAAAGCCAAGTCTAATTCGATTCCTACGATTGGCTAAAGTCGGTATCTATGATGACCAGAAGTTTCATTTTTTCTTTCATGCCCGGGGGCTTTTCCATAAGAACTGGCTCTTTCTCTCGGACGACTGGATGTGTGACTCGCCGCGTGATCGCTATATTTCGCTGTATTTCGCTTCGGGCTCGAAAAGTGATCAGGAAGTCGGTATCGTGTAAGCCTCCTCGCGTTCATCTTGCTCATGTCCCGGTAGTCGAGGCTAACAAATGTGAAGATTCGACCAAGAGACTGAATTAGCCTCTTTCATTCCACAATGGGAAGATCTTCGCCTCTGTATTGAAGAGGATTGGCCATGGATACCTTTGCAGGCTATTCTCCAGGCCTATTTGGACATGATCCATGACAAGAAAGTCACGACCTATTCGGATAATGATAGCGGAAGTACAGGGGGGACGTTGTGTCCATTCTTTCCATGGGAAATTCATCAACACACTTCCATAGATGTTGAGAGGGCTATAAGTGCGTTCACTCGTCTGCTTGATGCTATCGAATCTCGGCTTCCTAAAAAATTGCAGTCGCACTCTCAATCCTCGCAGCTCGATGAGGCTTCGAACCGAAATCCTGAAGAACAGAGCCGCCAACAGCTATGTTTCCCATACACGGACTCGGTACTCGATAGCTCATTTGTACAAGAGAATTCTTTCGCACGAGTATTTTTGTCTACGCTCCCTGCCCGCCAAATCAACTTCCGTTACATTGCCCCAGGGATACGGATCCAGAGCCCAACAGAATTCACGAACCAACCTTTCGCTGAACGTCGGGACAATTATAAGCGGTGGTATTATCGAAGTGAAGAAGATCCAATTTCTATCCCTCTTCTTCTATTTCGAGGTAAAGGAGAGAACAAGTCGCCCTGGGTTCGACCGTGGTTTCTAGACGGAATTGTCGAGGATATACCCAGTGGTTTATACATTGAGTCTCTTGAGGATTGGCGGGCAGAAGATTCGGGGAATGAGACTCGTTTACTGCTGCCGTTTGAAATTGGCATGAACAAATTTGCACGGAGTACCGAAGGGTTTTTAATCGGGAAATGGGGATCAAGTCATGCAACTGATGGTCTTTACAGAGTGATATTTGCGAGTGGTTTCATGCCGTTGGACTCGTTCAGTTCGCATATTCATAGGGTTTTGTCGAATTGGGCAGAGCGTGTGGAAAATGGGGACTGGGAGGTGAACGACGACGGTGTTGCTGATGGGATTGAGAGATTTAAGGAGGCTGATACTCAGGAACATTGGAAAAAGTACCATATACCCTGGCAGAGGGTTGATTGAGCACGATCATGAATATATTCCTACTAAAATGGCATATTTGAAAACATTATTCATTCAACACGTATAGATTGTGGTAGAGTCTTGGTAATATATGTAAACTAATTGGGAATCTCAAGACTGCGACTCTAAGTTGAGCCAGAGTTGTCAGCGCAAGACCACGCGGCAGTTCCTCCAGCTTTGCGATAGGAATCAGCGATGCTGACTACCGACCCGTAAGTACCAGCAATGACCAAGAAGGTACCAGCAACAATAACGAATACACACCATGCAACCATCAGACGCCACTTCAACGTCGGCGACTTCTTGCCCTTGGTCCAGTTATCATATAGCCACATGCAACCCATAGGCTGCATGCAGAGCACGGTGCCTAACAGAGCACCAACCAGAGACACAAGTCCACCAAAGACTGGAATACCACTTGCAATAATATACGCAGTCACGGTAACACCAAGTGTGCAGCATAGCCATGTAATCCAATGGGTGGCTGAGTTGGAGGTCAGGTGGCTCGAGCCACGCAGAATGCGCACAAAAACGTATTTGGCTGGGATCTATCTCTTGATTAGCTCGGGTCCTGGCCAAACATAGCTTCTTTTTGCTTACATGTGTCAACAAAATGGCAGTCACCAGTAGACCAGGAAGGGCAATTCCATAGGCAACCTTCTTCACAACAGGACCAGCTGAGCCAAGTGCTGGTGAAGAGACGTAGGATCCGCAATAGTAGTAAACAACAATTCCAACGACGATGTAGGCGGTGCTGATAACGGTCTGGCAGACTACCAGTGCTTTCGTGTACTGTCGAGGGTCACGCATCTCCGATGCAATCGAGAAAAAGGCGGGTGTGCCAGCATAGGAAAAGACGAGAGAGGAGACTGCTGAAGCGGCATCCGAAAAGCTGGGGTTGTTGAAAAGCTTATAGTCCGGCTTCCATACACCTTGCTGGGGGGCTGCGCTAGGTCGATCTTGAATTCCGACGGTGATTGTCACGGTGAAGACTGCATGGCGTGTTAAAATCACTGTGATCGTATAGCAGTTTCATTGAGGAAAGACTCACCTGAGATGATGATGCAAACTGCACCGACCCAAGCCAGCCACGAGATACGTCCCAATGTACGGATACTTGAGAAGACGACTGTGATGATAGCAGCGATGGCCACGAAAATGGCTGTACAAACTGCGTGCATGGAAAGGGCGTTCAGAGCAATGGACACACTCAGCATCGCCGAGCCCGAACAGAATGTGAAGACTAGCAGACTATCAGTAAATGACCCAATTATAGATGATTAACGTAAGAAATGAGGAGTTGGAGAGTCCTTACAAAGGGTAAAAGCCGCTCCGAAGAATTCACGACCAATGCGTCCGAACAGCAGCTCCCCAACATCATCAATACCATATATTTCGCGATGGTTAACTTTGAAGACACCGACAATATAGTTCGACCAAGTTGTGATGACACCGATCGTGATAAGAATGATGATTCCTGGGATCAAGCCCAGAGTATCGAAAACCGAAGGAATAGATAGAACACCAAGACCGATCTGGGTTTTGATCATCAGGATAGCAGTTCCCAGCCATCCAACCTTGGGAGATGTCAGCTTATTGACTGGGATGTTAGAAATACGGGGCACTCACGTTACGATAGTTGGGTCCAGATTCAGTGATGTCGCCGAACACTGCATCGTGGTGAGTATCCTCAATATCCTTAGAGATATTGTCAACTTCACCAGCCTCCACGGGCGGTGGGACAATATTCATAGAGTCGTCCATTGACTTGAATTTGGACATATTGAGTGCATCTAAGATGAAGTAACAATGTTATGGAACTGATAAAGATCATCTCGTGGAGGAGAGGAGTGACCCCCTTTATAAGCTGGGGGAAGTAAGCCAAGCCAGTCCAAAGCCTGGAGAAGCTACTCCACACTCCCCCGGAATGGCCCACCTAAAAGACACTATCCATATCAGCGGACTTTCCCAGAAAGACTTTGGGCAAGAGTAAGGCTTCTAAGATCGATACACTATGTTGAATTTGGTTAGCACCTGGAAAATAAAGTTTTATCTTGTCCGTTTTCCGGGGAAATGCATGCCGTGGGTGCTTTTCTTGCCAGAACATTACGGCCAAGGAAAATCATAACTACATGCCTGTTCATTTTTCGCGTAGATTGAAGAAGATGAAAGATCCTATCGACGAGGACTCTATTGGCAAACATGTATCTGATAGCATATCTAGCCAGGCACTTACCGATCAGCTAGGTCCCCATCAGGTCCCCATCAGGTCCCCACCGAGGAGCCATCATCGGGCGATTATCATTAAGATAGGCTATCTCACACGAGTGTCGAGATGCGGAAGTTGGCCGCGCACGTAGTCAACTCAGTTTCAGTAGCCGATAGCAAAAAAAATTGAAAATTGGCTTCAGCCCTGAGATAAGGTGGTGGAATTGATAAAGGAATCAACCGTGGCTGAACTCAACGAGTGTGGACAAACTAGGCAAGTCAATGGTTTAGGAAGGTGTCCGCCCATTTGGCAGATATGGAAGCTCCCGCAAACCCAGATCATTGCATTACTTACGATTAGGGAGGACTTGATCAATATTTGTCCAATTGATAATAGAATGATAAGATTGTAATGAGAGATTAGAGGGTATGAAAAGCTGATATCGCGATTGAGATATGGGTATGGGGTATATGGAGCAAACCATTCACGCGGGAAGGGGAAAGGCTTGCCCAATACAGCGTCCACAATCTGAGTCAAAGTTAGTTACATAACTTACCCTAGATTATTAGACTTTGCGCTCCGAAAAGCCTAAACGGAAGAGGCAATTAACGCCCGCAACAGTTCGAGGTTTAGACTGTCGACGTTTATAGGCCGATCACACTCATAATCATAGAAGGAAAATACTCCAGGTTCAATGTAGAACTAATTAATGACCGTACTTACGAATTTCTTCAATCTCAAGCCGCGATAAGAGAGCATGGAATCACCTTCTAAATGGAATGTATTGCCGCACAGGGACTACCGCGGGTCTTGGCGGATCTAAATCCCGCATGCCACACCGATATGGAAACATGGATGGTCAAGGCAGGTAATTCCAACGGAGACCAGGATTTTGTTTCCATTATCTTATACTGTGCCGACCGTTATTGCCTTCCATTATGTGTATACATAGAAATACTGTTTCAAACCCTAGTTAAGTGATTCAATCAGCATATCGTGATTATACCTGAATCTTGTATCTCATTATAGATAGGGTCGAGAACTAGGGCATGGAGGACTAGAAGGATCCATGTAAACAGAGCAAACTAGTGACGATTAGCAAGCTGTCAACTTTCCTCCTCCATCCCTCGTTAATCCATTACATGGGATATAGCGTTGCCCCATGGGTCCACCTCCCTGATACACAAAATCCACTCGGAAGTTTTCTATCTGCCTGTTCTTATCGTCATCCCAGCATTCAGTGTATATGAGCAAGTAATAGCTGTCTTCAAATTGATCGACAATTGGTGTGTCGCAGAACTGCAACGTGCCCCCCAAGTAATCCCCTCAAAGACAAGTATCACCCGATGGCGTACGAGACGTATTCAATGTCTCGTCTATTTTTTTGAGATGCCAGAGAATGACCTCTAGTCTGGCTTGTATCCCGTGTTCATGGCGCTCAGCTTGCGTTGCAAGGTGAGCCTTGCAGGCTTGCCGCTCGTCCAAAACTCTTAGTCTTTGCTAAGCGAGCAGAGGGGGAAGCACAGCAAGCCGTATCCTTTGTCACTGTGGCCGAGCATACTCATCACTCGTCCGTCGGCGGGGACGCAGATGTATGAGTACTGTTTTGAGGCCCCGGTTAGTTTAGAGATACGAGTCCCCTTAATGATCAGGCAACCTAGATTATTAGGGTTATCTTTGTGCTGCCTTGGCATTATAGTATTAAAGTGACCATGACTGTATAAAGCGATGAAAATAATGGGGGGAATAGGCAATGATTATGGCTGTGAAAATGTCGCTTGAAGCTGTGGCTTTCTGCACTTCGGCTATACCAGATAACGGAGTGGAGTAGCGCCTGCTTAATTCTTGACTCGCAGTCTCTAGTCTGTCTCGTACAAATCGCCCCGGCGCTTAAACACATAACCCTCAATCCAAACGCCTTCTCCGAATCCTAGCAGGTATCTTCCCCTTAGGATGCATCACACCAAACATGAAATACCCCAAATCAGGCTGGATCCCAGATTTCTCATCGAGCAACAACTCAATATCGAATGCTGTCAGGAACATCGCCATCGTTACAATCATCTCCTTCTTCGCAAAATGTCGTCCGGGACACATTCGAGTGCCTCCACCGTAGGGGACCCAAGATCCCGCCGTGCCGTCGAGAGTGAAGGTTGGTTCTGCGATCGGCAAGTTTTGCGTGTTCTTTGCCTGCTGTTGGGCAACGCTTCGAAGGACGGGACCACTATCCTGATTGTCCGGGTACACGATGAATCGTTCTGGCCAGAACTCGTTCACGGAGTGTGGGTCGTCGATGGAGCCTTGGTTCCAGACGTATGGATCGCGTGCAGTATCGTAGGTGGACACAATGATTTGTTCGCCTTTCTTGAAGTGCCACCCATCAATATGGAAGTCGTTAGAGGTAGGGACTCGGTTGATGAGGGTGCCCGAGCGGAGACGTAAGACTTCGGCGTAAATAGATTGGAGGAGAGGTCGACTGCAGAGATTAGGAATGTCGACGACCATTTGGCTCGGATCTGATGAATTCCAGGATACGTAGGGAGCGATCTCTTCCCGGACTCTCTGTAAAAGTTCTGGACGCTGGAGAACCTCCAGTAGCATCCAGCCAAGTGCAGGAACAGTATTTGCAGTCGCACTGTTTATGCGTTAGCCAACGTTCTCGAGTCAGACAAAGTTGAAGCAAGGTTCTTACGCCCAAATCAGTCCGAGGTCGTCCGCGGCAATGGTCTCCTTGCTCAAGGGCATTTTCTGGAAGAATTCATGTCTGGTCCTCATCAGCCTCGATCCGAAAAATTCCTCCCATTCCCTCTTGTCCTGTTGGCCTTGTTTGACGTCGTATCGCTCGTGGGAAAATGCCTGCCACTTTTGTACATTTTCCTTCATCTTATCCCTCGCCGCGTACGAAGACGGCACAAGCCATCGTGGCTTTTCCTTGAACAAATCCGGGAGCGCACTATCGAATGTCCAAAAATCTTCATCGAAAGTAGGGACGACTTCAAAAACACGTGGTCCACAGAGCGACACGACAGCTGCTTTGAAGGCAATAGTGCGAAAAAGCGAGCCGTACAGATCAGGTACTTCAGTCCACGAGTCCGATTGGAAATCTGTTTGATGGATCTGGGAGGATAGATTTCGCACAAGCTGTCTTTCCATCTCATCAAGGCTCACTCCGCTTAAACCAGAGTGAACGGACTTGAAGACCAAGTGGAATATGCGATGTTCTGGATTCGTCATTTTACTCCTGGGGTCAGGTTGGTTGGCAATACCAGTGTCATCGGCCAGATAGAAGGGTGCATCGGCAGGCTCGATGCCAAAGGCGTTGACCAAGACCTGCACTAGCCAGTGCTCGCTACTCAAATCTCTTGAGCTTTTAAAAAGGGAAGTGATGGCCTCGGCACCCTTGAGCAGGCTCATGTGCCGGTTCAGAAGCTGAATCCGGACTGGAGTAGATGGCCCATATTCCGCTCTGCACGTACATTAGTACACTGATTTCTTTGTGTATAGGCGATGACATTAAACTTACGTGGCCCTTGCAAGAAACTTCAATGTATCCTTTAAGAACTCAGGAAGATGTCCAAGCAGTGGGATAGTATACGGAAGTTTTGGCGGTCGGCTTCCATGATGTTTGGTGCGAACTGTAATGGAACCTTGGACCGTCGAGATTAAATAGGTCAATACAGTGATGCTGATTAGGGTACCAATCAAAGCAAGCAAGCCATGCGGTGCCAATTGGTAGTCTCCAATTCGGCTGTTGATGGTCGGTAGATCCAAGGTGACCATCTTGAGTGATCAGTGATCAGGTGATACCAGTTTCGGCTGGGAGTGGGCCACTTGGCAATTCTCCGATGGCGGGCAAAATAACTTAAAGAAGTCGAAATCTGGCCCTAAGCTGCATCAAAGAGGCAAGGAGAAGGTCAGGATCGACAGTCCAATGGCAGACCTCATATAAGTTAGCCGTGATAATCTGCTGGGGGCAGATAGGGGTCGGGGAAGGGGAAAGGAGGAGGCTCAGCTGAAGGATATAACGCTAAACCTAAAATGGGCTCAGCTGATCCGTAAGCTTCTGTGCTGACAGAAGTACCGGAATGCAGTAATATAGGTAGAGAAGCGATGCAGGAAATATTGAGAGTATAATAATTTCTAATTTTTTCCAACATTAGCAGTCAACAAAGTGGTCTTTTTGGTCTAATGTGGTGTTGCCGTGCCCTAGAGAACGTAGCGCACGAACAAACACGGTAGTCCCCGCCTATCTACATTGTAGCCAAGGCCAATCCGTAATTTATAATGTATGTAAGTAAATATGTCCTAAGCCCAAGGGTCTAGTCGAACTGCACTGGAGAGCCTTGGCATCTCTTCAAAATTTTAGAAGTCAATTCATCTTAATCCAACTAAAATGACACCTTTCACGTGACCTTCCTAGATATATCTTCAGTCAAGGAGATGAAAAGATCGCATCTGAAAATCTCCAAGGAGAGAGATATTACGACTATATTAGTTCTAACAAGGTTCAAGCAAGGCGCGCACCGGCAAGCCTAGCTTATATCGTAGTCCCCGGAACCCTGATATTACCGAAGACAAGAGAAAAGGACAAATATTCAAAGTCATAAGATTATATCATCTACCCCGTATAAGGTCATTAAAACAATCAGACCTCGAGTATCAAGCAGGTCTTCCAACAAGAAAGCCGTAAGCACAAGACCCTCTCTTTCCTTCTACTCCACAAATCTCCCCCAAATCCCCTCATCTACTTATTCTCCCGAACATCAATAACAGTACCCTTAAACTTCCTCGCCGGCACCTTCCGGTTAAACAAAATATCTGCCTCACGATACGACCGATCCTTCAACTCCGGCAAGAAGAAGTAAGCCATAACCCAGCACACGATAGCCGTACCACCCCAAACATAACCGCACTTGCCCGCCATATTCCACCCGGTACCATTCAGCATCTGCGACGCGAGATAGATCATTGGAATCTCAGCAATGTAGTACGCCGCACGACCGACACCAGTGCTAAGCGCACGTAACCGCACGGAACTAGTCTCGGAGATGATCGTGTAGGAGATAGGACCTAGGCTACCCGCGAAAACGAAGGAGATAACTATGCCCAGAATGGCTTGGGCGTAGTTTGTAGCGTTGTTTTGGGGGATGGAGGCGATTATGCCGAGGAGGAAGAGAAAGGTGACGTTCGTGGCTGTGCCCCAGAGGTAGATTGTGCGGCGGCCGAAGTAGGGGATTAGGAACCAGGAGAGGGCATTGGCGACCAATTGGAGGCAGGAGTTGATGAGATTCAATTGGAAGGATTTGTCGGGGGAGATTCCGGCTTCTGGAGAGGTGTTATTTTTTTTAATTTTTTTTTTGATATACGGGGGTTACTGATATTCGATATTGGTGGGAAGGGAAAGGGTGACTTACGCTCGAAGAAGAATGTAGATTGGTTAGCGATCAAGTTGCCCGCAAAGTTTTGCGAGGCATAGATGAGACAGGTGATCGTCGTACGGCGGAGATCAGTGCCCTTGAAGAGCTCCAGAAGAGACGGGGAACCGCCTATCTGGGCTTCGATCTGGACGGTACGCTCCATCATGGCTAGAGACTGTGACGCGGTCTCGGAATTACCGTCACCAAGACGTTCAATGCTGCGGAGCGCTTCTGCCTTGCGCCCACGGCGGATGAGCCACCAGGGGGACTCTGGGGCGAGGAAGAGGAGGATCATGAGGGGGGTCTGTAGTGGTGGGAGGATTAGTATTACGATCAGGACACCGGAAATGACCAAGTCTAGTCCAGACTTATCAAAACTTCAATATCAGAATATCACTCACGGGGAAAATCCACTGCAGAGCAAGGGGAACACGCCAGGACCATTCATCGTCACGCTTGTTGTAGCCGTAAGTAACGGCCGCGACGATGATCGAACCAATGGACCACGACATTTGCAGCGTGGCCGTGCAAGCACCTCTCAGGGAGAGAGGGACAATCTCACTGGCATATGCAGGACTGTTGGAAATTAGCAGACCCCAGGGCACACCTTCAAGTGCTTGGCCAACGACCAGAAGTGTGAGGGAGTCGGCCTGTGAAGAAAGGAAGCAAAAGTCAGCCGGACATCCTCGCTAGGTAAAACAAACCGTAATAATAATCATAGTTTGATAAAATGGAACTAGAATCCTGAAACCTGGAGTTTAGGCACACTCACAAAGAAAGAAACGAAAATAGTAGCATTCATCAGGACCAGAGCCAAGACAGTAGTCCAACGGTATCCGAGTCTGTTGGTGATAGGGCCAGCGGCGAACACACCAACGAAAGCACCACATTGACCGGATTGGAAGAGGGCGCTTTGCCAGCGAGTGGGAATGACATAGCCATCACCAAGGGGGATACCGAATTTCCTTTGGAAAGCACCCAAGGCGACGAAGTTTCCATTTAGGAACATGTCGAAGGATTCCATAACCTGTTTGGAATAGTATTAGTCATGATCCACATTATATGACAGTGATGCAAAGGGAGAACAGCAAATATAGATCCGGGCGAATCTGGTGATCATCCTTGGGGAATAGATCTGGCGTTGTGGACAAATCCGGGGGAACCCCATGAAGCATCCGGACAGCGAGAGGCCATCACTCACAATAGTAAAACACATCGTAAACGCCCACAAACAGGCCCAAGGATGTTTCTTAGCCGCCTCCCATGCACCCATCTCATGCTCCTTATTCTCACCCGCAAAGGCTTCATTCAAAAGATCGGCATCGTCAAGGACCTTCTCCGTCTGCTGAAACTCAACCTTTTCGACTTCATGGTCCGAGGAAGAATCAACAGTCGTTGACTGTTTCTCGCCTGAAACGGACATCGTGGATAGTTTTCCCTCTTCTTATCTTGACTGACACGTCTGGGGCAGTCAGTGGTGAAGGGGAAAGAGGAGATGGAGGAAAAGAAGAACGGAGCGAAGACCGGATGGAGCACAAGGGCGGGAAATGGTTCTTATATAGAGTATTCATTTTAATCGTTCTTGTTCCTTTACGGATTAGTTCGAGGGAAGGTGGGAGCTGGCGAGATCCACGCATGCGGATCTGGGGAAAGCCAATTTGGGGGATAGCGTTGCGAATACCTGGTACTATCGCGGGGGTGCGTGTGATACGTGGACTAAAGGGATGAAGTAGAATACAATAAATCAACTTTGATAATTAACAAAGCTCAGGAGCACTCCACAGATCGGTCTATAGAATGAACAGGAAATGATGCTCCGTAGGGAGTGACTTCGGAAGAGGACTGCCCGTTGGACTCCCCAATTAGTTTCCATTCGTAGGTCCTAACGGATGGCCCGCAGGGATACCACCCTGAGTACGCTTCACGGTTATAATAGACCGTTCATTTACCCGAAGCCGAAAGCTTAGGAAACACAAAGTAATTGCGGGGCATTAAGCAGTACAAAGAGCCAACAAAATCGCAGAAAGTAAAGAAAACGTACACGAGGTTGAAGAAAAACCCTGGTTTAAACCAAGCACCTCAGCAACGCCAAACGCTCCTTCAGGCCGAGAACGGGCGGGCCGAGATCAAACTAGCCTATTGGCCTGGAAATACAGAGGCGAGACTCTGGCACCAGACAAGGCGGGCCAAGCTAGGGCTTCGCAGGCTTCGCAGGCTTCGCAGGCTTAGCCGTGTCCGCATTCGGGTTAGTCTCGACGGGCCCTGAACGCCCCCGAGGATTTGGCCAATCCCGACCGAGAAGGATTGAGAATTGCCGGACAGGGACGTCGGAATGGCGGCGTTCGGGTTGGCCGCAAAATGAAAAAGGGTCTCGGGAGGGAATCCGAGAATTGGACGATTGAATGGCCGAGAGGGCGATGGAAAGGTACATTCGCCATCAAGAGATGTAAATATTGAAAGCTCTTATCGACTTACTAAGGGGGACTTGAGCCTTGACTTGGGATGGACACCGGTATGGATAATGGATAGTTTATGGGTAAGGATCCGCTCGGTGACCCTCCTCCACTGGAAAATCTCCATGTTTGGGGGAAAAGAATGGAGAGGCGGGGGTCCCCGGAATGTTGACACTGGAAGATTAGAATATTTGGAAACGTGGGAAACCTGTTAATGGCCATTTGTGCTTATTTCACGATCAGCCCATCGTTGTAATCCAAAGCAGTCCATGGAAATAGGGTATTGCCTTGATATGCTCACATCAAACCATCCTAATGCCCGACAAAAACAACCCGAACCGAGAAGGACGGCCATTCCCGAGTCACTCCACGAATAACAATAAGGGGCTTGCCAGCCGGGCCAAAAAGGAGGGTCTGTCTGAGCCGATTCTGGCTCAAACAAGGTCGGCCTTCCGAACATTCAGCCCAATCAACCCAGACCCGGCCGGTGGGACCTGCAACCCCGAGTCACCGACCGAGACAAACGGTGTTTTTCTCGATTGGGTTTGTGTCGCCGTGGTTGTTGGGAAATACGGGCGGGGACACGGCCGGGTTGTCTCATAGTTCCCCATGGGCCGATGTTCGGTTAGGTAAGAGAAGAGGAGACAGAGTAGACTAAGGGAATAGCCACACGAGGGTGGAGTCTGGAATACGATCAAACCCCGCTGGGTCGAGAATGATGCTGAATTCATCTCGGGAGAGTGCGAAAGGTAAAAGGAAATCTAGTAACTAGTGGAAGGTCACTGACAAACGCGGAAAGTATTTCATACTATGAGAAATGATCGATTCCCGCTTGCTCGGGCGCGGAACAATTTAGAAACAGGTCCACAACACTGAATCAGCGGACAATTCACTCACATATCACCAAGTCACGATCATCCATGACCAATTAATGACAACGGCAGTTGTAAGCATTCCTGCCTCTTTGATTGCCTACCGCTTTCCATCTAATCTAATTATCGCAGATTTGCAATCTATCAATCACTAATAATTCAATTTTTGAAGTGGGTGTATTCATTCAGAGCTTCGGCCGTAGACTCAACCATGCCGCACTCCTGGGGGTCGTTCAATAGCAGTCTTTCCACACTTGGGAGACCACCGTGGGAAACACAGCTTGACAAACGGATGTATCATAGCCAAATCGGTGAATTCATCCTCGAAGAGCAAGCGCTTTTTTCACGATATTCGGATCTGCCAAGATACGCTCGACTCTTAGCCAGCACCATGGAGGTATGTTTAGCAGTAATGTAGGTATGCTCCAAACCAAGATGGAAGCTCTCAATCATGCTCAATGATACTAGCAGGAAAATTGGTCAAAGTTGTCTCGATTGAAAGTCATCATGTATTTCTATCCATACAGCACTGAAAGAACACCCACTACAGGAAATTAATTGAAATAGCCAACAAGACAACATTTGAATTCCCTACGGCTCAAATGCTATCCCAGGCCGCACTTTAAGTCCAGCCTTGCGATAGGTTTCATCAACGGCCTCCATCTGCTTGATGCTATCCTCAGCATCAACCCAAACCCCCGAACCCTCTCGTCCCTTGACCTTATTCACAAACTCATGAAGCTGATAAAGATAACTTGTCCACCATCCCTGCTCAATACCAGCTCGCACATCACCAGCTGGCCACTGATACGCCTTCTCCCGCTTACACTCCGTCCACGTCTTCACCACCTGTCCACCGCGCCGAATCGCATGCGTATCCTCCACGTCCACGCGATGGTAAATGCTAGGCATGAGATGATTCCAAATAACCACAATCCGCTTCACAGTATGTACCCGGCCATCCGAGTCTTCCACGACTCGTTCTTCCAGCTCTACCTCGCACTTCGGCCACCCCAGCCGCGGGAGGTTCATCGTCCATGAAGTAGGTAGTAGAGGCCACCCGCCAGACGCCGACAGATCGGCGATAAGTGTCCCCGTCGCGCCATCGGCCATCCTATACCGAGCCGTTATCGCCTGGTCGACTTGATCCGCCTCTACAAGGCTAGCCGGGGGAGACGCGAGACCCCGATATGTCGCCTCCAGTACTTCGCTGGGCTCTTGCTTGAAGATCTGTCGGAGACAGTTCATCGTATACGTCCCGAAATCGATCATAGCCCCGCCGGCAAGATCGAAGCGCCAGCGGATATCATTATCCGGGATCACACCCTTGGGTAGGTATTGCTGGACAAAGGCGTTTTTCACCCGGCCCATTGCTGGATCGTGGATGTGCCCGAGGAAGGTCTGCCATGCGGGATGGAAGCGGTAGTGGAATGCTTCTAGGAGAATAGGTGCGTTGGGTGCTTTGAGGAGGGGGTGGGTGAATAGCGCACGGGTTTCTTCGGCGTTTGAGCATGAGGGTTTCTCTAGGAGGACGTGTTTGCCGGCGCGGAGGGAGCGGATCGCCCATTCGTAGTGGAGGCTATTTGGGAGTGCGATGTAGATGGCGTCGATGGACGGGTCTTGCAGGAGTTCTGGGTGTATTTCGAATTAGATTCGTTCTTGCTCATGTTTCCCGGTGGGAATACGCGGGATTGGGGGGTCCTGGGATACCTTCGTAAGAAGAATGGACGATGGGAATACCGTGCTTCTTTGCATATGCCTCGGCACGTGGACGGTCTCTGGCTGCGATTGCAGCGACTATAACCTCCGAGTGTGCCTTTGCGGGAGCGATCAAAGAAACAGGCCTGGATTGATGTGAGTATCGTTAGCGTGGGGAGGAGAATAGGTATAGATATGGGCATGATTACGCGATGCTGGATGCGCCGAGGAGTCCAAACCGAATAGCATCGTCACGCTTCTTAGCTGGCGGAGGGCTGATAAACCCCGCATAAATTCGGTATAACGCATCAAAACCCATCATGAAATGTCCCTGGATGAGTCGAGTCCCCGTGTACCGTATGCTCTCAGTCGGCGAGGGCTTATACTACCTACAATATCCATGTATATCGGCAGGCTAATTTAAAGGATAGAACAAACATAAAATAGACAACCTACAGAACTATTACGTCACGCCGCAAATGGTATCCTTTGCGAAGCCATCTTTGGTAGGACCACCGGAAACGGTTTAGACGCGGGTACATTGTGATATATTTCCATTTTGAAAATAATCTGACACATACGACCATAGGGTGTGGAGAACAGGGCTTCCCGTCCGCTCAGCCGTACTTAAGCCACACGCCGGCCAGTTAGTAGTATGGTGGGTGACCACATGCGAATCCTGGCTGTTGTATGTTTTTGTTTTTGGAGACTGAAATGAGCCTGATTGAGCCAGATCAGAGCTAAGGCGGAAATAGATTCACCGTGGCCACTACAACTGTCTGATCTGGTCTGGACTATCTCTTCTCTAAGGACGCGGTGAAGATTTTCAGGGAAGATGTGCAGAAGCGAAAGGCTCGCTGCGATGCAAATGAACAAAATTGAATTGCCCCTCCTCTATTGTACAACAGTACGTTGCGAAACCGGTGCAACCGCATCCACTCTCTGAGTGATTCGCTAGGCCCCCCGCCAAGAGACATTAGAACGCATTAGGAAAAGCACCAAATCATCAATATTCCTGTACCAGTCTCGATACTATCATTTACCATTACTTTGAATGATGATGATGATGATGATGATGATGATGCTGATGATGCTTACCGACCTGAATTGCCTAATTAATAGGAACGGGCCCCCTCGGATGCCCCTACCCCTGGTTACCCGGACCGCGAATGGACGCTATTAGTTATCTGCCCTTCACCCGATCCGAGGGCGTAGTTGGTGTCGGATTATGGTGGTTGGCATAAATCCTTGGGTGTGCACGAAGCGTTTGTGCACGGTCCAAGTCGAGAGATCGTAGAGATCGTGCAATCAAATCAATGATCCACGATTGTGGAAGATAACTCTATGAGGAAAAATCAAACGTGATAAAACTTCATCAAAAAGGTTAAACTTGTGCAATTTAGCTATGGAAAATAGGAAGTATTTTTTTTTTCAGAACGTAACGAAATATCATAGAAAAATCCGAAATAATCATGGGGGCATACGAGAGTGTTAGGAAACTCGTTGCTTTTCCATCTGATGTGATATGTGACGATTGAGGACGAAATGGAGTCGAAGGGTCAAGTAGCCAACTGGTCAACTGGTGTTTGATGGGAGGTTCCTTTCGCTTGTAAACAAAAGGGCCCTCCAACCTACTAGATAGATGCTTTCCTCCTTCTACAATATATTGTCGTTACTGCCTACCTTAAATCCTTAGGCGTGATCGATGACTTAGTGCTCGTGATGAAGGGTATACTAGGAGAATCACATATTGTGAGAAGAGAACTAATGCCTAATTCAACTGTATAATATTGATGGCGAACTCTTGCTTAATTACAATTCGCAATTTGACCAAGCGAATAGGACGAAAATAGTGAAAATCATATAAAGACCTTCGTGACTGAGAGTAATAAATGTGACCTTTGTTTTCGGAATGGTCAGAGGTGCGACTGTGCCGTGAATGGAATGGTCAGAGATGCGACTGTGCCGTGAATGGAATGCCCTGTTCAACCTGCAGGAACGACAACCAATCATGCAGGCCCCAGTCAACAGAAACTAAACGACTAGTAATTTTTGAGAACCGTCACGAACATATCAACAACTAGGCTTCTTGATCCTAGTCTTGGCGTACCTTGTCCTATTTGCTAGTTCGTATATACGTAATGAAACCAGTTGAGCGATGAGCACCCTGTTCAGCGGCAACCCTAGTTAATCCGACTCCCGCAAGACTCATCCGGCAGATCGGCTCATCTGGGTATAGCAGTCACCTGTTGTTGACATTGTACCCTTGCTGTACTAACATATGGCGGCGACTCGCGCACATGACTATCAGCCATTCCGTGCAGCAACACCATCCAAACTTAGTTTCGTCAAATGTGGCGTCTTGCGACCTGGACATCACATTCTTATTTGCATTCCAGACGCGGTAAAGATAGTCCAGTTATAGGGCACTACGCCCACGACATGGACACATGGTTTTAATCAACATAGATTCATTCAACATAAAATCCACTGTTTTGTTCAGCCCATTACTCTTCTGCTGCCACTTTCCATTTTGTGCCAAATTTCGGCGACGTATCCTATACTTATAACGCAACCTGGTTTACTGAGCTACATATCCAATGGCCCAACTCCTATTCGCCCTTGTCATCCTGACTTCCTTCGGTAGGCCGTCGTCCGTAATATCAACTTAAGCTCATGCTGATGTCTCCTACACATAGTGGCTACGATCTTGGCTCATGGAAACAATAATAACACCCTTGCTTGTGTTGAGTGGTGTACAGAGAATTTCTTATTCTCGAGCATCCCATGTATAGCGCTTGCAGCAACTCGGAAGGGACCTTGTTATACTTGTGGACCCCTTAAAACTAGTGCGAGTGAACGGCTCTGTTCTGGCACTTGCAAAGAAACCAATACTGACAGCAGTAATTGCGGGCGATGTGGCACCGTTGTAAGTTCGGGCGATGTTGTTATTAGTTCCAAGCTAACCGAGACTTACACTATCATAGTGCCCTATCGGATCGACTTGCTCATCAGGTGCCTGCATATGCACGAATTCTGGCTTATCTCCTTGTAATGGTTCTTGTCCCGCTCTGAACTCGGACAGCAATAACTGCGGGAGATGTGGCAACGTTGTAAGTTAGGGCGGGGTTCTGATTGCTAAGGCGATCAATGCTCACACTTTTATAGTGTCCCGCTGGATCCACTTGCTCATCAGGCGCCTGCGTACCATGCTCACAGGCGCCGACCACATTCGCCGTGGGGTCTGGTCCGTTCAGTGTCGCAGTGGGAGATTTTAACGGAGACGGTTATCTCGATATCGTCAATACGGATTTTCACGACAATACAGTGAGCGTCGTACTCGGGAACGGAGATGGGAGCTTCCAGGCTCAGACCGCATTCGCTGTAGGGTCCGGGCCATACGGTGTTGCAGTGGGCGATTTCGACAGAGATGGCCACCTCGACATCGTGGCTACGAGTTATGCTAGTAATACAGTGAGAGTCTTACTCGGGAACGGAGATGGGAGCTTCCAGGCTCAGACCACATTCGCCGTGGGGTCTGGTCCCTATCTTGTCGCAGTAGGTGATTTCAACGGAGATGGCCACCTCGATATCGTGGCTACGAGTTATGCTAGTAATACAGTGAGCGTCGTACTCGGGAACGGAGATGGGAGCTTCCAGGCTCAGACCGCATTCGCCGTGGGGTCTGGTCCGGTAGGTATTGCAGTAGGCGACTTCAACGGAGATGGCCATCTCGATATCGTGACTGGAAATCAGTCGGGCAATACAGTGAGCGTCTTACTTGGGAACGGAGATGGGAGCTTCCAGACGCAGGTCACATTCGCTGTGGGGTCTAGTCCGTTCACTGTCGCAGTGGGCGACTTCAACGGGGATGGTCACCTTGATATCGTGGCTGGAAATCAGTCGGGCAATACAGTGAGCGTCTTACTTGGGAACGGAGATGGGAGCTTCCAGGCTCAGACCACATTCGCCGTGGGGTCTGGTCCGGTGGGTATTGCAGTGGGCGACTTGAATGGAGATGGTCACCTCGATATCGTGGCTGCGAATCACGTTAGCAATACTGTGAGCGTCTTACTTGGGAACGGAGATGGGAGCTTCCAGGCTCAGACCACATTCGCCGTCGGGTCTGGTCCGGATGGTGTTGCAGTGGGGAACTTTAACGGAGATGGTGTTCTCGATATCGTGGCTGCGAATGAGTTGGGCAATACAGTGAGCGTCTTGCTCAGCCAGCATTGCAACGCCTAGGACAATGTTGAGGTGGGGCGAAGAGCCTCCCCTAGCCACTTTTCCCGATTAGCTGGCCAGATGTCTGCGTCCTACAACGATAGCGTAGTCCCGTTGCCTACCCGCCCGAGACAACTGCGCAGTTCTCCATCACATAGCCGTTTGGCTGTGTGGACGAACAGTCTTGTTGCTGCAGTTGGGTAGCTGGGCCATTCATTACGCTGACTTAGGATTGGTCGATTCTTTTCCCAGATCGGTACAGCCATCGCACTGTCAAGGGATAGCTCAACCTCTTGCCTTTTATACTCAATTTATTTCTTTCCTTTTTGGTCAGTTCAATCAATCCTTACATCTGATTCCGTCGACTCCCTTCTGCCCTTAGGCGGACAATCTCATACCATAATTCATAGACTTGACAGTAGACTTTGGGCTCAGCATGTTGTCTTTGCCTTTCTCTGGTCTTTGGAGTGTGTGGTCTCAGGGATAAAGTATCGCCCATCTCCCGGGCTCACTGAAATTTGGGCAGTTTTTGGCCTATCGTATGATAACTCGAGGTACAATGCGACCCACTCGACTCAAATGGTCGTTTGTGAAGAACGGCTCCCTCCAATCCCCCTTTTCTTGCTCTCGGCCAGGAGCAGTCAAAGTGAGTGCCTGCGAGGTTATCCTCTGGCCTTAAATGCACTGTGATAGTCGACTCAGAACCATTGTTTAACAAGATGCCTCTTTACGACTATAACGGGTATGTCGCTGTTATGCAAAGGAAATCTGTACAGCAGGACTTTATTTCTGCCTGTGCGGCTTTAATAAGTACCCGGATGAGGCTGTCAACCCTTGTCCGCGGCTGACTGCATCTCCACCAGAAATCGCGAGAATGCTGGCAATGCTGAATTTAAGATCCTAGACAACGATTGGGCGGCGGATGTGGTCTGTTAGTGTTTCTTTTTTCCTTTCTCAAGCTCAAATGGCGACGGTTTGTTGTGAAACCGGTGGGGAAGTTCTTCGATTGTAAGTGTAGGGTGGGATGTGTAGGTTAAGGTCTAGTCGTCAGTGGCGGTGAAGATGCGGTGGGCTGCTGGAGAACAGAGGCATATCTGTGCCCTCCGGTCCTGCCACCTCCGACGCCCCCACATCGCTTCTCTCTATGGGTGCGCCCCACCGATTTCGCCAATTTCATCGATTTCGCCAATTTTCACCACCTCGCATCCAATTCAATTAATTTCTCAATACAATGGCTCATTACCATAGAAAAATAGGTCCCCCCTCTCTCGCGCAGCCCTTTATCTCTCGATTGATAGATCGCTTTGCCTAGTAGGCGTTGGCAGCAGTTCTTCACCATACACTTCCTTCCACTGCTTCCTAAGACGCTTCTCAGCGGCGGCGGCCTCTTTGGCCTTCCTGGTTTTAATTGACCGATTGGCATCTCGCGGCTTCAATACACCAGTTTGGCTAAGAGGTTTAACCTGTCTCTTAGTGTATTGCCGACGTAGGGGCTCTTGGTAGGCCCTAATTCGCTGGATAGTATCTTCCGCCATAGAGAGACTCTCCTGCGCGGATTTATGGTAACGAAGCACCTTTGTAAGATCTCGTACCAATTTAGGGTCATAGGAATTATTTAAACGCTTCGAAATCTTCCTATGGGCCTTTTCAACACCCTCAATTGATTTTAGAGGGGTGTTTTCAACGCTTGAGGATAGTAGATTTAGTATTAGCGATGGTGTGCGGGAGTAATGAGATTAGAGGTCTGGCGCAATAAGATCTGGTATGACTAGTTGAGCACCTAGTTTATCCACTATCTTTAACCCATCGACCGGCCAGATACCACGGTCTTTAAAGGAATCTCGTATAATTCGCTAGTTAAAGGCTTTCTTGCGAATTAGACCGATTATACGAAGGAAATCAGATTTTCCCACTGGCTGGCCTACCCAGAAAGCAATCTCATTGTTGAATAGCCGAAAGTGCTGCTTAAAGCTAAGAAATGGCTTACCATCTAGTGGCTGGCAAAGATGGGTAGTATAAGGTAGGAAGCCGAATGGTATAATATCCCATTCCTCGCAAAACTGTAAGAACTCGAGGGTAAGATGCGTGCCGTAGCCATTAAATATTAGGACCCTTTTCTCTCGCGAATTCAATCGATCCGGACCAGAAGTAGCCTTATTAAATAGATCTAGCCATACGAGGGCTAATCTATCATTAATCCAGCCGGTAGGTGACGCGGCAACAGTAGTATTAGGAGGTAAATCCTCGCTGCCGTAGAACCAGCTTTCCATGAAGATCCCGCTGCTGGCGAATATAAGAAAAGGATCTCTCTGCCACCCATGGGCGGCAATGCATTCAATCATGGTGATGTTTTTGCCTCGAGATGATTCTGCTAGCTGAGAACCTTTCTGGCCGATGACCTTGCGAGATTTACCCTAGCCAGGGCAGAAACCACATTCATCAAAGTTATAGACTAGCCGCGATGGGATATCTTTCAAAAGGATGGCTAATTGATCGTACCAATGGGCAAGAATGCCAGCATCCTCTGCCTGGATACGATTGGATTCCTTAAGAGATTATTTGGTAGGACTAAGGTCATTTGGAAGACGTGCTATAAAGCGATGCGGCCAATTATCACCAACCTAGCGATCCTAGCCAGCGCGGGCCAGCGCACGATTCGCCCACGCGGCAACCAGCAAAGGGGTGATAGGCATATTACTATCCTTCATATGCCGAATCCAGTGTATTAGGGCTTCTTCCTGATAGGGCTCTAGGGCTTTATTGACCGGTGTATAGGCATTGTGAGCCCGATGGCGATTTTTGACACGGTTGGCAAGGGTACGCCGGTTAACGCCAAATTCGCGCGCAATTTTCGAGACATCCGGTTTCTCTTCAGCCTGTGCAGCAGTGAGGGCCTCCTGCATGAGGATATCGGTCGATTTGGTGGATTTAGGCATGGTTGGTGGTGGTAGTAGGCAATTGATTGATGAGGTAGGCAGATTTGTTGAAATTGGCGAAATCGGTGGGGCGCACCCATAGAGAGATGCGATGTGGGGGCGTCGGAGGTGGCAGGACCGGAGGGCACACCCTACATGTTGACGTCCTACGTTTCGCAAAGATCATTGCAGGTGAGCCAGTTCTGCAGCGGCTGCACCAATTGCCCCAGGCAGGTCGCGCTAGTTACTGCGGAGGAACCTGTCGTCGTTGCTTTGGTTGTGGTAGTAGCAGTTGTCATCCTTACGTATAAGGTGGAGGCTGAAGTGGTGTACGGCAGCGTTGTTGAGCAGTTTTTTTGAACAAGGTCGAACTGATCGATCAAGTAATCCGTGAAATTGGTGACAGGTAGCCAGAGATCCAGGAGACGTTGCCGATAAAGTTTCAAGAAACAATCATTGCAGAACTACCAGTTGACTTCTAGTCAGTAGACAGCCTCGATGGCACAGGTGCACTTCATATGTAAAAGTTCACATACCAATTTCTTGTCATATATATTGGTTAGAGCGGCCATCTCTGAATTGATATCACTGACGTCAAAATCCGGATCGTCGCATTGCGACGCGACTGTGCTGGTGTCATTCCCATCAGAGAAGCAAATTTCTGGATTCCAACGGATATAGTCACTTCCTTGCCATGCCTGAGACTCCAGGAAACACCAGTTCGATTAACTGTCCTTCATGCATACAAGATCAGAGTTATAGGTAAATGTCAAAGGCAGCGCTCTCGACTTGACCACGACATTACCCTGGATTGTGGTCTCTTCTGCACAGACTGTCTCAACATTATCCTTCCAGGAACTGAGGGACGATACACATTCTGTAGTGCAGAAGTTTTCTACCTCATCATTGGTCCAGACTGAGTCTGTTAGCTTCGCTTCTTTGTTACCAGACAACAACGTGTTTGGACATAGCAGGCTTATAGTGGATGTCTGCGTGGTGCCCTAGTAGGCCAATGGCGGTTTCATTTTAAGAAACGATGGTGTTCCTGGTAAGGCGTTAGAGCAATCAGACATTTCAGGGAGACGGTACTAGACGCAAGTACTCACACGAGCCATCCTATTATGGATTTGATTGAGAAAGCAATTGATTGGCCACAAGAACCAGAAAATTTCAAGTGACGCTCTAGGACCTTATTTAGCCTAGTACTACACTTAGTCCGGTACTCACTCCTCCTCCCACCATTCCTTCAATAGTATGGATGGAACCACCGCCCCCCCATCCCAGCTAGGATGTGGCCGGGCCATCGTCTTCTTTGCCGTAATTTCCGCTCTTGCATGGGGGTTAAAAGAAATTGTACTCCTGTCTTCTCTAGAGACTGGAGGTTGCTGTGCCATTGCCCTCAAGACCTCTCCGACAAAGGTCAGAGTGCCTTTTGCATATCAGTCCCTCATTAATATCATTCTCGGGTTGAGCTTTGGCAGCAGCGTCAATGCAAATCCTTCTGCCAGCGCTTCTTGCTCTCGCAAGCTGCGATATTGCCCAAGGTGATCAACATCACCACGGGAAACGCAACAGCGCGAGTGCATTGCCACATTTCACTCCAGTGCCTCAGTTGCCAAAGAAACTCATCGTCGGCTATGCCGCCTCTCTACTAGCCCTATTCGAAGAACAGACCTAAGTTCGAGAACGAGGCCCTGCTCCGGCAATTGTCTCAACATCCGGGGGAAAGAATTGACAGCCTTGACTCTGGCTCTGGCTCTGGCTCTCTGCGCAAAAGAGACCTGCTCGTAGGCTCTTGCGCACCTGGAGTACCATGCACTAATGGAGCATGTTGTTCCAACACTGGCGTTTGTTCCTTTGCCCCCTCGAGTTGCGCGGCTGACGTCTGCACTTCCAACTGCGACGCGAAAGCTCCTGGTGGCGAATACGCCAACCCCGATAATGCAACGTGCCCCCTGAACGTGTGTTGTTTGCAATATGGATTTTGTAAGTCTCTCGTTTGTTTGGACGTTACCCGTTCTTGAGGACCAAAAGCTGACCCCTTTCTTTTTTTCTTTACCCCAGGTGGCAGTAGTGATGACTTCTGTGGCACTGGTTGTCAGGAGGGATATGGCGGCCGTGGAGAAGCTCCGACTCCTTCTTGCTCTAGTGGAAGTAACTCGGCTTCTGCGCGGCGCATCGGGTACTACGAGAGTTGGGCGACGGAGCGGCCTTGTGATGTGGAAGACCTCGAGCTGACGGGTCTGACGTACATCACTTTTGCTTTCTCTTTCTTCGATTAGTCGACATTCCAGCCCTCGCCTATGGAATCTAATGTGGCCTCCCTTTATTCACGCTTACGGCACTTAAGGCGAAACAGCTAGGACTACAGGCGTGGCTATCAGTCTGCAGTTGGTCTTTTAATGATGCAACGAATTTGCCAGACACGCAGCATGCTTTCAGTAACATGGTCAGCTCCTCGGCGAATCGCAAAGCCTTCATCACTTTGCTGCGCAATTTCATGTAGACATACGGCTTTGACGGCGTGGACATTGACTGGGAATACCCTGCTGCCGACTAGGAAGGTTGAATTAAGGGCTTCGTTCGGGAGCGGGTTGGGAATCAGTGTGGCATTTCCATCCTCCTATTGGTACCTTCAGCACTTTGACGTTCTTGACATGGAGCCTAGCGTCGACTGGTTCAACTTCATGAGCTACGACATCCATGGCGTCTGGGACTCGAGCAACAAGTTCACTGGTCCTTATATCCGCCCGCATACGAATCTCACTGAAATGGTAAAATTGTAAATAACAGCCGTGACAGGCTTGGCAGAAAACAGGCAGAAGCACGGTAATTCAGGCCCTAGGTGGTGCCGCAAGTTTTCCCAGGTGGTGCCAACAGTCTCACCCTTGATTTTTTGATACCTTGAGATCATAGCTCTTAGTCTAACTAAATAGGACTACTCTTCTCTCCATTACCCCAGATCATATTCCTACATAGTATAGCCATGAGGCTTGGCTAAGTCAAAATATGCAAGAGATATAAGTTAACGCATTCCATAGGCATGTCGTAAACACAAGCGAGCCGTTCAACCCCCGAACACCTTCGCAAGTGCGATTTTTCAGGCCCTTAGATTATCAACAACGCGAGAACTACCTTACTCTATGCTTGATAATATAGATTTTTTTGGCAGAAAAAACAGAATCGCTGAATTGGAAGGGATTATAAATGATTATTTATATACATTACCAAAGATACGCTGTCAGGGAACGATGCAGATGTATATATTAATTACCTTACATCTGAATAAATCTCCGCATAACGAATATATGCGTATTAATCTTTCCCACTATCTAAGCCCCGAACTAGCAGTATTAACAGTGGTAGGAGAGAATCAAATCGGGAGTGGGATCCAGAACTAGCCAAAAATAAGGATTCCGCTGCGGGGAAAGTCAAGCAACAGCCCCCAATAATCTAAATAAAGGGCCAGTTGATCTGAATTAAAAAAAATGTGACTAACTTATGTTATTGAACGACGTTATGACCTATCCGGATTAGCTATATGATGCCGATTGAAAATAAACAGAAACATACTCCTTCTTTAAACTACCCAATAACAATATCTCTAAATTGCAGAACCCAGGAGGTCCGATCACCGTTGTGAATAATTACGCCAAATTTTTAAAGCTTCGAGATCGCACCGAGCTCTGCTATAAGGAGTGAGGAAATCCCGAGGAGCTATCGCCACTTTCTCCTATAATAGCCTCTGAGTAGTCACAATTAGGAAATCGGGTCCTGACATTATAATCGCTCTAAGCCTTTTGATCGTTAGAATCACTTCACTCTAATATCTCGCATTACCCGCAGCAGTTCGCGAAACCCCTAGGAAGCCCTCACAGGAGAAAGCTACTTAGAGGCCTTCCCTGTGTGGGACCTATAAGCGCCCGGCAATTTCGATTCCTTTAGTGCGGAGCGTTCGTAGAATGTGTGAGCGCACGCCGGTGCTAACACCGTTGATATAGAACCTATATTTAAGTTGTCAGTCGCAGATTCGCTTACTTATCAGGCTTAACCATGATCATTTCAGAGGTCCAGTCATATTCGTGATCTCATCGTTAGCATGAAAATTTTCTATCCCACCCTCAAGATTCATAACGCTGGCTGACATTCGGACTTATTCTTCAATTTAGCTTGCAACAATATTGCCCGCAGTTCCGCATCCTACAACGGCAAACTCGAAGCGAGAAACTATTTCGAACTCGTGATTAATATATAACAATTTTGTTGGGGCTTAGGCACTGGTCCCCCTAAGGCTAACGATGCACGCTACTTATATTAGCATATTTGGTTTTTTTTTTGGCCTATTCAGCTAGTGCACCCGGGCACGTGTCGTAACATTTTTATCCTCAACGAAGTAGAATTTGATCAAGGGGATTGCTTCAAATGTGCTTGAGCAGCCGTATTTCCTGTACTAAAAGGGATTCGGGCAAAAACATCTAGGTGATCTCATTAGTCGCGTATGATGGAAAAATAATCATAAATGACGTCTTGGAGGGAGTCTAAAATAATAATGGAGATACGGGCTGGGGCCTAACATGATCTCCTCTCCGTCGATTCCGAAGGGAAAACCAAATTTACTATCAACTTACAGAGAGAATCTGACGAATATCGAAGTCAACCGTTGAACGGATCTAATGGTACCAATGTGGAAATGGCTGAAGCAAGCTTTCCCGAGTGACCTGTTTGATAGGCTCGTAGGTTTTCCAAATCTGGGTCGCGTCTCAAATGAATTGCTTACCTTGGTTGGCTGCCGGGAACCATGGCTAATTTGAGCCTCATCTTGCGTTGTCTTTTCCCATGTTGAAAGATTTGAGCTACACCCTTTCAGACTGAAGAACCAACTATTTTAACAGTTTACTTTCAGATAGACTTCTATCGAAATTCACAAACTGAGTATAGCGTCAGCGAGCAAACTACTCACACACAGAGGAGCTTGAGCGATCAAATGGCCCGGTTCCAGCGGTGAGCTCGGAAGAGCACGG